AATTTCCTAAAGCGCCTCAGCTAGCCCGCCCGACTCCTCAAGAATCGGAAGGCAATTCTACTCGTACGCCCGAGTCCTCAAAGCATCTCTGCTAGCTCGCCATCCATTTTCTGAAAAATCTCTGCTAGCCTGCCCTCCAATCCCTCAAAAAATCTCTGCTAGCCTGCCCCTCAAATTCCCCCAGAATCACTGCTAGCTGCCTTTTCACTTCCTCAAGAATCCCCGCTAACTAGCCCTCCATATGCTTATCCAAGTGCAAGAATCCATTCCCCTAGTGCTAGTCTATAATCATCACCCGAGGGCACAACCTCGCGCCCCGTCCTTCCTCAATTTCCGGTGCATGGCCACCACTGACTGGCCACTAGCTCTCTCTCTCTCTCTCCCTCTCTCGCTCTCTCTCATCCTCATTATGGTGTGCACTGATTGATGACACAATTTCGCGCGCCCGCCTGGCTCGGCACCACTAACGGCTTGGTCACGCCCAGTCTTGGGTCATGATTTCGCAGTGGTCACTTGAAGCTGTTGCTCAAACTGTCTCTAAACCCTTATAAGTTCGTTTCGTTCGCTTGAAACACCTTTACTCGCTGTCGCTATCCCTTTAAATCCCCTGGCTGTCTGTCACGATCCCTTAAAAAGTTCGAACTTACTGTAGCAGTCCTTTAAAGCTACAAAAACCGATCACTGAACTTGAAAAACCTCGAAATCTGGCCACAAACTCTCCTTAAAAACTCAATCTCCTTTATATCGGCTGTTTTAGAATACCTACGCTACTGTCACCATCCCTTTAAAAAACCAAAACCGGATACATAGAGGTAAAAATCGCCAGAATCTCATCTTAGGCTCCCTTTAAGAGACTGACCCTTGTGTTGGCACGCCGCCAGCTGTCTCACTCCCTTTAAAACGATCACGATAAAGACGCCGCGTTGAAAATCTTCGGAATCTCACGTCACGCTACATATAGAGTCATTTCTAGCGTGTCCTGCCCCCTTTAAAACCCCAGAAAGTCCAAAAAAAAATTGTCGAGTTCATCACTTGTTGTCCGCCCAGGTTATTAGTGTCCAGTGGGTTGTTAGGAAAGGTCCCGACTCTCCCTGTGGATTGTTGGACCGAGCGAGGACTATGAGGGGAAGGTGTCCTGTTTCACAAATGGCCACAGAGAGAGAGAGAGAGAGAGAGAGAGAGAGAGAGAGAGCGAGAGAGATACAGGCATGCCGATCGTCCCTTCCCTTCCCTCTGCTGGTCTAAACATACCGCAATGTGTGTGCCCCCGGGCGGGTCTTTTGAACGCCCCCGCCCCCCGTTCTGTAATTGCTCGTGTTTAGGCCGGGGGTTAAAGGGCCATTGAAGTCAAGAATTTCGTCTATTTTTGACCTGGGCAGATTTCCAAGCAATTTGCCAGCGAATTTCGCATCGTAAAAAGCTTTTAAAAGGCTATTGAAGGCAAATTCTCGCCTCTCTATCAGCTTTAGCACCTTACCAAAGAATTTTTCACGCCAGCCGCCGAATTTCATGGCGTAATCTGTTTTAACGGGACGATGAAGTCAAATTTCCGACTTTTACGGGGCGTTGGCACTTGGCCAAGTGTCTATTCCAAATTATTCGCCATTTTCCTGTAGTAATCGATTTTTAGAGGACCATTTCAGTCTGTTTTTCGAAAATTACAGGCTTTGAAAATGTTTAAGGGCTGATTTCACGCCGTAATCAATTACGATGCCCAATTCCGGGCTCAAAATCGATGGCACGCTCATTTTCAGGGCAATTTTTCGATTACGACCTCTAATTCAATGTAAAAAATCCTCAAAATTCACGTCAATTCTAGGGTGTAACATGTTTTCCGCTTCCCCTACCGGTCAGCGAAGCATAAAAACACTCGGCGACGAGGTGCTAGGAAGGCGATAAAACGCGGGTGGTGCCAAGCGGGGTTTTATGCCCGCAGGGGGCCCCGCCGCAAAAGAACTGACTAGCTGGCTGACCGTCTGACCGTACGGAAGGAGTCAAAGGGAATGGACAGAAAGACAGAAAGACAGACACACATGTGGCACCCGATCGGAGCGCGAGCGGGTGTCGGAATGAGCCACAAAAGAGGAGCAGGAGGTGCCCGAATTGACCCATCCAAATGGCCCTCGACGCGGCTTCTTATAGAGAGTGCCCCCGCGAGTGAATGTGGGAAAGTGGGAGTTGGCGCGCAAATGGTCTTTGCTGGATTGCCCAAGTGCCCGTTTCAAATTTTTCCACAAGAATCTCTGCTATCCCCCGTCTCCTAGCAGGTCCCAAAAATTCCGCTGTTAGCTTGCCCAATTTCCTCAATGGTCTCCACAATTTTTTTAAAGCTCTTTTTGTAATTTCCACAAAAGTCTTTGCTAGACGTCCCGTCTCCTAATAGAAGACGTTTCCTAAATTTTCTCCGCTCGTTTGCCTCGAGGTTTCGACTAGCTGAGTCCTAAATTATCGCTGCTAGATTGCCAGTCGCAAATTGTCTCTGCTAGCCCTCTCAAACACCCATTTTCCTGCAAAGAATCACTGCCAGCCTGCCTTTTAGGTCTCTCTCTCTCTCTCTCTCTCTCTCTCTCTCTCTCTCTCTCTCTCTCTCTCTCTCTCTCTCTCTCTCTCTCTCTCTCTCTCTCTCTCGCTCTCCCTCTCTATTCGAAATTCCCAACTCATCTCTGCTGGCCCGCCCGATCCCCCATCTCGCCAATCGGCACCTATTGACACCCCGATCGGCTTTTCCCACCACCACCCCCACCCCTCCCTGCCAGCCGCCTTTCTGAATCATCCCCTGTCGGGTATGCAAATTAGTCATGTGTGCCCTGGGGGTACGGGACACAGCGCTCAAAAAGTTGGGCATTCAGGAGGGGGTGATCGATTTTTTAACAGTCTAGTGCTGTCTGTCAAAAGGGAAATTCCTCAAATTGTCTCCCTCAGCCCCCTCCCTCCCCGGAATGACGCAGCGGGCGGCGCGCGCGACAAATTGGCGTTATTCGCGGGCCCGGCGTGAGGGCGCGCGCTGTGGCGCAATGACATTCGAGAAGGGGGCACAGACAGCACTATTCGGGCCAGCTGGCCCTTAGACATGGCAGTCCTGTTAGATAGTACATTCCTTTCCTCGCAACAATTGTACTGTTTCGCCTATTGTCCACAATTTGTCAAAGAATATCTGCTAGCTTGCCCTATGATTTCTTAAAAAGGTATCTGCTAGTCTGCCCCTCTGCCCCCCCACCGGGCATTCCTAAAAAAATCTCTGCTAGCTTGCCTAGAAGAAGCAAAAATCCATAACAATCTCTGCTAACCCCTTGCCTCGAATTCCTCAAAGAATCTCGGCTCGTCTGCCGCTCAAGGAATCTCTGCTAGCCTACCCCCTTGCCCTCCAATTTCCCAAAGATCCCTGCTAGCCTGCCCTTCACTCTAAAACCTCGGTACAGGTACCGTAACCCTGAAAACAGTTTGGAAATCTTCAATCTGACCTTCATCCCCCTGAAACGCTAAACCGTAATGAGTAGCCGCGCGGAATTTACTACCTATCTCAAGAGCACCAGGTGCTTTTTCGGAAAGTCGGCGCCAGAGAGTGGCAGAGACCGTTTGGGAAATCGGCCGAAGGGGCCATTAAAGGGGCGGGAATCGAAAGGGGCCGAGCAGAAGATTTCAATCTCCCCCTCGGGGGGCCATTCCGAAATGTTCCACTCAACAGGTGGGCACTCACCCCCCGAAATGCAGTAAGAAACCGCGAATGGGTAGAGGGGGGAGGCGGATCAAGGACACAATCGCTACCTAACGGGGATTTGGAGGGCAAATTGGTTGAAAACGGGCTGACATCTCGGTGCGGGGGAGGCTGGCGGGGATTTTTGGGGAACGGGAGCTTGTCCAAATCGACTTCATTGTGCCCTTAAAATCAACGAAACCGGGGCGCTTGCTTCGAAAGAATCCTAAAAGATATCTGCTAGTTTGCCCGAGTCTAGCCGAATCCCAAAGAATCTCTGCTAGGTACTTGCGGGCAAGCTCCGCCCCTCTGCCTTCCACGGCCCTCTAAAGCCGCGAGTCGCGCCAGAGAGTGCCAAGAAACCCAGCTAGCCTGCCTTCAAATTCCTCAAAAGCCTTTGCAAGATGGCCAGGCTGCTCCTAAAGGTTCTCTGCTAGCTTGCCCTGACCGTTCCGAAAAGATCTCCGCTAGCCTGCTCCTCAAATCCCATATCCTCAAGAATTTCTGCTAGGTCGCGACAACCAAACCCCGCCCCTTTGCCACTTCACCACCCCTTTAAACCCGATTTTTAACGTGTATTCCCCCCAAAACTGGCTGGGTGCCAATAGATCCCGGGGTCCGCCTTGTCATTTCTGGGTGTGGACAGGGGAGAAGGGCGTAAAAGTGGGCGGGGCCTGGCAAGGGGTTCAGCGGCGGCACCCCCACCAAAAACCCCACCCATCTAACAAACCGCTTCTGGCTAGTCTCCTAAGCTGATTTTCAGCATTTTCATGTCGTAACCGACGCAGTTTCGCTATTTTGCCTTCACTGGCCCTTTAAAATGGGCGAGAAGGCTCATTTTTCGTGTTACACGCTCTAAAAAAAATCTGTTTCATGTCGTAACTGATTTAGCTCTATGATTTCTGCCTTCACTGGTCCTTTAAAATGGACTTAATGATCTCAAAAAATGAACTACATCGTAAAATCGTTCTTATTCCCGAATTTCATGTTTTAATCGATTCCAACCGATAATTTCTAACTTCAATGGCCCTTTAAAATGGTCTAAAATGTCGATTTTCCAAGCAAACTTTGACTTCAATGGTCCTTTAAAACAAAATGAGAGCTCTTCGAAAGCCATTTTCATGCCGTCATCGATTTATCTACCTATTCTCTGGCTTCACTACTCCCTTAAAATGACAATAGAAAAATTTACTGATTTCTGATTTCCGCTTTCCCATTTTCATCTCGTAACAAATTAACCCCCGGGATTTTCAGCGCGTAAACGATTCCGCCACAGCCCAAAGAGGAGCATTGGCTTGGTTTCCTGATGGAGAGGGCCCGTGTGCCCTCCTCGGCTTTACCCCCGAGACCCCAGCAGAGACGGGTAAGCTTCGAAGCTTTAGCCTAAGTCTAAATCTAGGCCTGAGTCTAATCCTAAGCCTAAGCCAAAGGAAAACAAAGTCAGGCAAAGCCTAAGCAAAGCCAAGCCTAAACCGAATTTTCAGGTTCGAGTCCTCGGCCGTCTCGCCCCGGCCGACGCCTGGATCTCACAAAACCCGCAAACCGGCCAAATCTCGTTACGAGGGGTCGAAAAGCCACAACTGAAGGGGGCGTTTGATGCGTTGTTCGCACCAGAAGTCAACCAGGTGGGGGAGGGCGGGCTAGCAGAGGTTCATTGGGGAAGAAAAAGCTGGAACAACTAGCAGGGACCATTTAAGAAAACGAGAAAGCCGAGGCGGGCTAGCAGAGACCATTTAGGAGCCTCTAAATCTCGTCTATTTTAGGAAGAAGTCTCCTCAACCGTCCTCCCCGACCTGCTCCACAGCCTTTTTAATGGCATCGACTCGTCGCTGGTGTCGTTTGGAGGGTTCTCGAAAGGTTGGTGTCACTGTGCCTTTGCAATTCCATATAGGTATTTGCTAGTTTGCCTTCAAAATTCTCAGAAAGATCACTGCTAGCTTGCCACTACTCCCGGAACTCCACAAGATACTCTGCTAGCCTCCTTCCTCCATTCTCAAAAAATCACTGCTAACTTACCATGGAGCCAGTGGATTTCGCAAAAAAACCTCTGCCCGGTCCAGAATTCCCCAAGAATCTCCGCTAGCCTGCCCAATCCTCAATGATCTCTGCAAACTGCGATATCTCCCGAATTTTCTACTTTTTATCGAGTAAAAAATCAGGATAAACCGGGAGGGCTAATCTGGCGTCAAATCAAGGAAAATGTTTGTCTGTGTCTTGCGCGTTCAGTTCGACTTTCTGTCCTCCAAAAAAAAAACGGTCGGTTGGGGGTGTTGTGTGAGAGTGATGGATCAGCGATCGGGGGCACTCGACATTCCCTACAGATACCTTTTCTTCTTAGCACCCCACGGGTTTTCGACAAATCGGTTACCCTTGAGAAAAAGATCCGCTGAAGTTGGTAGAAAATTTCCGCAGGACTCTCTGCTGGCCTGCCCTGCAATTCCTCAAAGGATCTCTGCTAGCCTGCCCGCCGATTCCTCAAATGACCTCTGTTAGCCTGCACCCTGCACCTCAAGGAATCCCTGCTAGCCTGCCCTCCGCCATTTCCTCAAAGAATCTCTGCGAGCTTGCCTGTCCCAAATTTTGGGGGATCAAGCCGAAAAACCCATCCACTTGACATTGAAATTCCGGCGGGCAGATGGCTGCCAGATCAGGCGAGAGAGAGAGAGAGAGAGCGACAGTCCGAATTGCCATCTACCCCCTTCGGGGTCATAAAGATCGGATCTGAACCCTCCACCCATAATCCACCCCGACCGGAAGGCACCAGAAAAGACACTATCTGGATGCCATAAAAATCGACATTTTGGCTTGTTAGTCCCTTTATGATCGTGGGCAACCTAGCAGAGAAAATTTGAGGAAGCCCTTGGAATTAGTGACCGACTAGCAGAGATCATGGAGGAATCGCAAAAAAATGTTTTTACGATTTTTGCCTTCCTGGCCTCTTTAAAAGAATTTTGACGGGATTTAAAGATACCTCGTAGTGTAACAATCCCTTTAAAAGCAAGCTTCTAGCTGTTACCATCCCTTTAAAATAATCCTTAGTGATTTTTCTGGCACTCGAACAGCTGAAAATACTTTTCTAGCGTTCCTCACACCTTTAAAATCATCCACGGTAATTTTTTGGGCTTGCCAACACCTTTAAAATAATTCTCTAGCTATCAGGATTCCTCTAAAGACAAATTTCTAGCTGTCACCGTCCCTTTAAAACCGCGCTTTGTCTCCAAACTGACCCTAAAGCAAAAGCCTAGCACTCTGGAAGGCAGCTGAAGTGGCAATCGGGGCTGAGAGCATTGCCATTTCGATGGTCGGGGGCTCCCCGTTTGGGGGTTGCCCCCAATTTTGGCATTATGCCAAACCGGGTGGTGTGCCCTGGGGCTATATCACGCAATCGGCTATATAGTCTCTCCTCCCTGCCCCCCAAATACGGCCTCATTAACCGAGCTCACCACCCGGGGGCAGGTGTCAACGGGGGGAGCGTTGCGGAAACCTGGCACTGGCGGGTGGGCTGGCAGAGGAAATTGGGGAATTTTTGGCTAAAGGTATGGGCAAGCCAGCAGCAAAAATTCCGGAACTTTGGAAAGCCTCAGATCCACTTGAAAAATCCCTAAATCCTGAAAGACGAAAACTGCTTTCAAGACACGAGAAATCTTGTGATCGATTTAAAAAAATATTCTAAAGTTACAAAAACTATTCTGAAGCGTATTCCGACGTTGTTTTGTGCGTAGATTCAGAAAATCGCGGTTAGAAACACTCGCCCTGGGGAAAATAAGACGGAAAAAGCCCTCAAAGTGTCAAAAATCAAAAATTCGAGATGCAATCTAGCAAAAATCATTTGCCCCTAAACCCGGAAAATTCCAGGAAAAGCGGATTGCCTCTACGACCCGGCCGGCCTGTACCGAAGTGCCATCTACTGGGCATTTCAACTCCTCGATGAGTATCGACTAAAAAGACCGGATTGCCGGTTTTCGCTCAGGTACTGTAGAATCTCCAAAACCCAAAAAAAATATTTTTAGACTATCCGCCCTCTACTACCAACAACGCGACGGGCTGCTCGACGATTTGTTTGGGCAGTTTAACAGTGGTAAGTCAATTTGGCAACTTGGCAACAGTCGCTAAGAAGGTTGACTGTCAGGCGAGGGGTCAGGGTTCGAGTTCCGGGACCGGAAATGTTTTGATATTTGGTCTGGGTGCAGTTTGGAGCCTAAGAAAGACGATTAACGTGATTGGGAACCTTGGAAACTCCATAAACTTTAAAAAAAACTCCGAAAAATTCTAGACCGACGCCGGCAAGGAGTTCGAGTGGTCGAGGAGCCATCTACCGGCCCGAGGACGGAATTCGAGAGCGAGCTGGCCGTGGACAGTCTCGAGCAGGCGCTTTTCTACCTCGATTCGGCAATTTCGAAGCGGTTAGGAGGTACGGTGGATGCTTTAAAGGGAAGGGACAGCCAAAACTTCTGCAAAAGAACGATTTCTAGGCGTTTTTATAACTTTAAAAGGGCAGTGACATCCAAAATTCATTACAAATCGCCTGAAACGTTAGAAAACCCCGCTAAACGGTTTTAAAGGGATCGCGACACCTAGATTCAGCCAAAAACAGATTTCTAGGGCATTTAAAGGGATGGTGACACCTGACTTCACCAGATTTTGTTCAACTACAGGCTACAAAGTTACAAACTACAAACTAAGATTTTTAGACGATGAAGATGCCCATCGTTCTCGTCACCTATTCGTCACCCTCTCCCTGTACGCTTACAGAGCGGGTACGGTAGGGGCGGAGTGTGGCGGAAAATCGAGAATGACGATGGTAAGTCGGGGACGGCAAGCTAGGAGTGGCCATTTGACAACTAGCAGAGATCATTTGAGAAGAATTTGCCTCAAGGCAAGCTAGCAAAGATCACTTGAGTCCCATTTTCCGGCCAGCGCAATCTAGCAGAAACCATTAGTCCCTCAATTCCAGATCGATCTCGGTCTCGGCGAGCGAAATTCCCAGCACGGCGAGCTGACGATGCCCGTCATCGGGAATATGCTTTTAATGCTGCTGCAAGGCCAAAAACATCTACCAGCCAGGTGGGAATGACTAACCAAATTTCATGTCGTAACCTATTCTCTGACCCGAGGTCTGCCTTCAATAAGCGGAAAAACGCGAATTTTTGTGCTTTTCACGATTCCTGTAGTCTACGTTCCTCTAATTTCATCTCGTAATCGATTTCTCTCTGCGCCAAAATCCTAATTTAATGTCGTCATCGGTTTTCGCGCCTTCAATGGTCCTTCAAATTTGCAAAATGTCATTTTTTTTTGCTTTTCTCGATTTCGAATGCCTCAGCTCCTCGAATTTAATGTCGTAAACGATTTCTCTAGCCCGATGGCGCAAAAATTCCATGTGGTAATCGATTCCCCTAGCCCAAAGTCTCGAAAATTTCACGTCGTAATCGATACTGCCATACCCAAATCTCGCAATTAATTGTGTAATCGATTAGCAGGATTCTAAATTCCCGAATTTCATCGCGTAATCGATTGCTCTAGCCCAAAAATGCGAAAATTGATGTCGTAAGCGATTCCGACAATCACCAAAATCCGAAAAATTCCATTCTTCCCAAATTCCACCAATTTCCTTTGATAGATCCCTTTACGGCCCTCGAAAACACCGATTGTCAGCCCCAAAATTTCCTGAAAAATCGCCGCCACAAAAACTCCGAATTTTACGGGCATTTCGGAGGGGGGTGTCCAGCGCGGAAAGTGGGTGGGCAGTCATATAATCCCGCTTTTGGCGCCCGGAAAGGAAAGGGGGAGAAGCGACGGCGGCACCCTTTGATGTCGCCGCGCCTTTAAAGGAGGAGAGAGAGAGAGAGAGAGAGAGAGAGAGAGAGGCAATGAATTGACTCACCCCTCCAAAAGCATCTTCCGCTCCTCCCAAAAATGGGCGCTTTTTGGACACACACTATTATGACCCGTCTAGAAAATGGGGAGATCTAAGGGACCGGCGAAAACAAAACAATTCCGAGGCATTCCAAAGGACGGGGGACCCAAAAAAATGAGGCAAGCTAGCGGAGATCACTTGGGAGGGGCAGGCTAGCAGAGATTCTTTAGGAAATTTATATGCGCGAAGCTAGCAAAGCTACTTGGAAAGCTAGCAAAGATGAGTTGCGGAAGCAAGTCTAGGCAAGCTAGCAAAGCCCATTTAGGCGTCTAATAGGCAAACTAGCAGAACTCCTTAAAAATCATGACCTGGCGATCTAGCAGAGATTCTTTGTCTAAACTTCCCCCAATGCCCCAAATCAACCATCTGTTTCCGTCTGGCATATTTGTGCCCCCCGGCAAGTGTCAATAGCCCACCGGGGGGGGGGGCACGAAGATTTGTGGCATTTTTCGGGCTGCTTCTTCTTGTCCCCCCCCCCTTTCCGCTTGTTCATATGATTTGTGGGTGTGTTTCGTAGCCCCAGGGTATTCCCCCCTCCTCTTGTTGCCCCCTTTTTGCATTGCCGGCCCCTTTAAAGGAAAGCGGCGCTAGGTCGGGGGGACTGGACCCGGGGGAATTCTAATAGAATTCCGAAAGGCGGGGGGCCAAGCCATGGCTAGCCTTTCGGCTAGGGCAACAAAATTCCCCTGGATATATATGGAAAACGAGACCCAAAAAGGGGTCAACCAGTAGAAAATTGGGGATATAATGACGTAATTGGTTGTACATTGTAGTCTGGAGCTCAGAAAAAAACATACCGTAACCAGTTGCCTTGCCTTCGCTTCAAAAATTAGGGGTCAAACTTTAAAAAAACTGAGGAATTAATGTCGTAATTGGCTGCTCCTACGCATTTAAAATAGGGAAATTCAACGGATAATCGTACGCAGCTAAAAAAAAAGACTATTTTAAGGCCGTAATTTGTAGTCTTTATCCCATTAAAAAAATTGCAATTCAAGGCGTAGGTGATTATACCATCAAATCTATGCACTCTTGTCCTACAAAATCTCTTAAATCTAAAAAATCGCCAAAATAACCCAGCGTAATCGATTACGCAAGACAATCCGCAATTTTCTAACCTTCACAAGCAGTCCTTTAAAACCGTAAAATCACCAAATGTAGCCTAGCGTAATAGATTACGTAATTAAATTCACCGTTTTCTAGGCTTTACACTCCCTTTAGACCGCAAAATTGCGACAATAACCTTGTGTAATCTATTACGATCTGTCACCATCCCTTTAAAACCAACAAATCCTCGCTTTTTCAGGGACAATCTACTGTACCGCCTACTCCGGGTCGGACTGACCCCCTCGAAAAACACGACACTCCTGTGTACATTCACCGGAAGGGCCGATGAGGACGAGAGTATGCTTCAGCTGGTGGCGAAGATTGCAAAAGCGAAGCGGGCGGCAAGGAGGGTCAAGGTAGGCAGCTAGCAGAGAGCGTTGGGGGAACATTTACCTCAACGGCAAGCTAGCAGCGTTCCTTGCGGAAACAGACGCTCGGAAACGGACGTCTAGCAGAAATTTTTTGAACCAAAACCTTGTCAATCTTCCCTTTCTCATATTAAACCCGTAATTTCGAGCTCTAGGCAAGCTAGCAGCGGCCTTCTGTGAAAAAAATTTTGCTTTTGCCTAGCAGCGCCTCGGAATTTATTAGCCCCAAAAGAATAAGCGCCCCGGATGGCGCGCGGCCATAGGGGACCCGCCATCAGTCATTCGATTGTCCGATTTTTCGCGCTCTTTCTCTTTCGCTCTCTCTCTCTCTCTCCTCTCTCTCTCTCTCTCTCGCTCTCTCTCTCTCTATCTTTCTCTCTCGCCCTGCATTCTTCCCGATAAATTTGAGAAATGTTTCTTGTCATTTCTTGGCCCAACCGGGGGTGATGGCCAAAGATTTATGACCTTTTGGGGTAGCCGCCGGGAGGGCCCAAAAAGATATACGAAAAATGGAAATTATTAGGCGGAAGAAGGGGGCAAGCTAGCAGAGATTCTTTGCGCCCCTCAAAAACCCACGCTAATCTGCCCAATTTTTAGACTCTGAGCGATGGCGGGTCAAGAAGAGGGGAACTACGCTCTTCAGAAGTGGAATCATCAAGTGAACAAAGTGGAGCGGAGACTATCATTTTCCTGGGGGCCAATGGGTACGTTGCAGAGAGAATTTAGGAAGTTCAACGAAAAGTAGGAGCAGGCAACCGCAGAGATTCTTGAGGGAAAGGAAAAGCCAAAAAATCAATTTCAGTTCCCCACGGATCCTTCCGAAATCTGCCTCTGCCAGTTCCGGACTATCGAATGGTACTTTAAATGTGCCAAACACCTCGATACCGCCCCTGTTAAAGGTAAGACACCTTGAAAGCCTAGAAATATGGCAAATGCAGAATCATACCCCGTTTTTCTCGCCCGTGTCCCGGCTCTACGACGATTTGTGCAGTCCTAGTGGTTCAGAGACGCAACGTCCTTTCTATGTAAGTCGGCTTAGCTTAGGTTTAGGCTTATGCTTCGGCTTAGTATTGGGCTTAGGATTGGGTTTAAGCTTAGGCTCCGGCTTAGGCTAAGGCTTAGGCTTAGGCATAGGCATAGGCTTGGCCTAGGCTTAGGCGGACTTTAAAATGACCTGAACAAGCTTGAAAAAAAAACCTAAAAATTTAGAAACAAAGCAACAGCTTCGACGGGTGCAGCCTGGAGCCTACCATTTCCCCCCGATCACTCTCCACGACGCTCCAAATTACGGTAAGCCTTCTCAAAGAATCGCTGCTAGCCTCCCCACCCTCCAATTCCTCAAGGAATCCCTGCTAGCCTGCCCGTTCCTAATGGCGGTCACTTTCAAGGGGTGCACTAGCCATTGTCGGTCTCTAATTACCCCCACCCCGTTAAATATTTGCGCAGGCAGTTGTATGCAAATTTTGTATGTGGCTGGGGGCATAAAGGGGGGGGGGAGCGATTCATTGAATAAACCCACCACACCAACAGGCAAACAATATCGGGGTCTCCTGCAATCTCTGCTAGATGGCCCAATCCCCGGAAATCCGTTTGAGGGGCCGGCTAGCCGGGATTCTTTGGGAATGGGCTAAAAATTGCTTCTAGCTGTCGCTGGCTCTTTAAAAAAGCGAATTCTATAGATTTTTCTCAAAAACCTTTGCTAGCTTGCCTAGATCCCGAAATTCCTAATTCTTTAATTCCGCTTTTTAGTGCCGAAATGGAGGAAGAGCGGCGCAAAGCAATCCTGGAATGGATGGATGGGCATCAAGCAGAGACCATGGAGATGGGAATACAATGCGGTGACGGGGATGTTTCAGAGGATGAGGAGGCGCCGGGGAGCTGCTGCCCGAGTCCGAGGTACGGTAGCTTGGAGATTTAAGGGTAACTGTAGCTTGGCTGCTTTGACAGGTCCTTTAAAAGTCAGAATAAACGCGGAAAAGCCGAAGAATATCGAAAAAATCAAGTTTGGAGGTTACTGTCGCTCAGAAAAGCCGGCGTTCACCTTAAAAGCTCAAAAAGAACGCGAAAAAACTTGATAGATCGAAGAAGTCAGATTTTTCGGCTGCTGTACCTCAGGAAAATTGCCGGTACCTTGAAAATTCATCAAATTCAGTAATACTGAATCATCAAAACATTTCGTACAGCTGTCAACTAGCAGAGACCCCTTGTAGGTCGTAATACCCGCTAATAGATCCCGATAAGTTTTTGCCCCCCCCGCCATGACACCTAGTAGCGGTCATTTATCTGTCTGTTTACGCGGCGGCTGACCGCTTGGTCATCACCTAGCTGTTAGTCAATCTGTCACTTCTTACGTCCATTACGCTACGATGGTTCCGCAATTCCTCAAAGAATCTCTGCTAGCCTGTCCCTCCAGTCCAATTTCTCCAAGAATCACTGTTAGCTTGCCTCTAGGCTGAGAATCCGATACAGGGCAAGTTAGTAAAGCTCCTTTCGGAATTTAATTGTCGAAATCGCAATTAAAGTCCCGGGAAAGCGGTTTTCCGCAAAGGATCCCTGCTAGCCTGCCTCCAGATCAAAATTTCTCACTTCCGGGCAAGCTAGCAGAGATCCTTGAGGGGAAAATCGTCGAATTTGGGAGTAAGAGCTTCCCCAAAAAATTTGTCACCAAAACCCCTGCTAGTTGCCCCGGTCTGTCTAGCAACCAGCCTATCTATTTCGAGGTAAACCACATCGGCTTGTCTCGGGTGGTTAGCAGCCACAGGTCCTTGTCCCCCTCCCCTCATTCTTTGATGTGCCCATCTATCAACTCGAGCTCTGGGTGGGTCATGCCCTCAAGGCGCACATCATAAATCGCCACCCATTTTGTCTGTAGGTCTCTCTCTCACCCTCTCACTCTCTAGCCCTCTATCGCTTCCGCCGTGTGTTTTTTGGGGGTGACCCTCGGCTGGCATGGGTACTAAAGGTGCGGCTAGCAGCGATTCTAGAGGATTTTGTCTCCTCCTCAAGAAACCCTGCTAGTCTGCCTCGTATCTAAAAACCATCAACATAGCAGCGATCCTTGGGCAAAAATTTCTAAATAATCTCTGCTAGCCTGCCCCCGCAAAAGGGCAAAAAAAAAGTTTCTTAGGACACCCCTCGAATTTTCTCAATAAACCCTGCTAGCCTGCCTGTTTTTTTAAATCGGCAAGCTAGCAGAGATCCTTGGGGAAAGCTATCTACATTTCCCCAAGAAAGTGTGCTAGCCTATCAGCAGTAAACTAGCGGAGATTTTTTAGGAAGTCGACTTTCATTTCCCTAATGTTCTGCCAGCATGCCGGTACTGTCGAAACAGCAGGAAAGCAAGCTAGCAAAGATCCTTTAGGAATTTCCCTTTTATCAGCTCTCTAGTCAACTACTCTATTGAGCCACTTTCCCTTCAACGGCCCTTTAAAGTGCATTTTTGGCTGCATTTTTTGCCTTTTTGTCTCATTGCTGCCCTTCCCCCGCTATGCTCTCAACTATTTGGAGGTAGTCATAAAAGTTGGGGGCTTTTATGGGCCGCCCCAATTATCATCCCCCAGGTCGGTCCACCACTCAAAAGCCGAAAATCCCGATTTTTACTCCTAAAACTGCGCCGAAAATCGCTATTTTTAGATTCTAAACCTTCCGGGCACCTTGCTAAAACTAAAAAGATTGAAAAATCACATTTCTGTATAACAAAAAATAGATTTTGAAAGATTTTAGGTTTTCCGCACTTTTTTATCTTCCTCACCCTAAAACTCCAAGCTTCCATTCCCTTGAAAGCGCGAAGCAATTTTTTGAATGTGTTAACGTTAATTTAACTTCTTAATGTATTTTGCCTTACCCGACCTCGGATCTTTTGCCAAAATCCATGACTAGACCTCCCAATGCCACGACTACGCACCCGTAAAAGCGGAAACGTCATGCTGACGGTATTCCTCGCGGATATCATAAGGCGGGCCAAGGATCGGTAGGTGGCACGGTAGTCGGTTGAGTTCAATGGTCCTTTGAAGCTGAAAAATCAGCCATTTAAGCCCAATTTTTCGCAAGATTCAAGAAGAGGTAAAAAAGGCAAAAATGACAAGTGCAAAAAAAATCGTAAAAACCCTCCAAAAAACGGTCCGGTATTCTAGGGTATTTAGGCGCCTTCAGCGGCCCTTTAAAACTGGATAATCCGCTAGGAAAACCTAGTTTTAAACGAAAAATGACAAATAACCCCAAAAAACCACCGAAATCCCCAAAAAATCTCATTTTTTTAGAGAATCCCTGCCCGTAACCCGCGCCCCCCTGGAGGACATCATCGAGATGGACGAGGACTCGATGAAGAGCTCGACCAGGTCGATGCGAGACCGGCAGGACGGGTCGGCCGATGGTCGACAGACTAATGGCAGGGAACGGGAATCGCTGGCACAGCGGAGCCCATCTACTGATCATCATCCGCTCTCTATACTTTCGCGAGAAGGGATCAATCACGTCTCATCTACCAATGCCTCCGTCTTCAAGCAGGTCAGCCTTAATCTGTTAAAAATTCCACTTTCCCTTTAAAACGCGCTACGCTGAGCTACAAACTACAACTACATTTTTAGGAGGAGGGTAGCGAATCGGAACTCGCCCGAATGATGGCCGCCTCGGTGAACAACTCCATGAGGAGTCACGAAATTTTGAGCCGGGTGCTGAAGGTGAGCGTTGAATTCTGAGCCTACGCCTAAGCCTAAGCCAAGCCCCAAGCGTAAGCCGAAGTCTAACATAAGCTATTTTTTTTGTAATTTTTCGAGCTGTCACCGTCCCTTTAAAATAGAAATGTAGCCCTGCCCCCGAGACTAATCGCAAAAAGCGGTGTTATGGCAGCAGTCGGTGGTCCCCCCCTCAGCCGATAGCCCCGGGGCATTTGTGATGGATTATCGCGGGGAGCAGTTGTTAATCAAAAGCCCCCGAGAGTCGGGGAGCACCAGCTTTTCCGCAAGTGCTCTCTGCTAGTTCTCTCTCCCTCTCTCTCTCTCTCTCTCTCTCTCTCTCTCTCTCTCGCCTCTGCCTCCCGATTCCATTTCTCAATCTAGCGCCTTCTGTTCCCTATTTTATTGCCCTCAGCCCCCACCTCTCGATAATTGACTGCGCCATTAGAATGAACTGCTCGATGACGGAGACCCTAATCTCCTTGTCAACAATGGTAGGCTAGCACAGATTGTTTGAGGAATTGGAGGGAGGGGCAGGCTAGCAGAAATTCTTTGAGGGGTTCCAAAAAGTCTCGTTTTCAGCGCGGCTCGAGCCAGACGGGGAGTGAGTTGATACTCAAGGACCCGATGACGATGCCGACGTCGAAGTTGTTGGAAAATCGGGTAGGAAATCGTGATATTTTTGTTTTAAAGCGACCTGGAAGGCAAATCGAGCTAGTCAGCCTAGCGGAGACAATTTGCCAATTCCAACAAGTTCAAGAAGTTCAGGGCAAGCTAGCAAATCCCTTTTAGGAAGAGGAGCGCCGGAAAAAGAAGATGGCCAACGGCTTGTTGGGCTGCTGCCAACAGCAACAGTCCACCAGCTCGTCGATAATGGCCGGAGGGGTGGAGGACGAGCAGAAGAAGTGGAAGGACGAGTTGAGGAGGAGGAGGGACGAGTTGAAAGGTAAACATCTTAGAAAGTTTCTTCAAAAAAAGCAAAACGCAAAAGGTTTGTCGCGGCCAGGCCTCGAACCCTCGAGCTTGTTAACATGGCGTAATCGATTACGACATAAAAACCGGTTCTTTAGCATTATCGGGGGGACCCACTTTTTTCTTAGGAACTAATTTTTCAATTATAAATAGTCGAAGTGTTTCTAAATGTTTTTTTACTATTTCGAAACTTTACAAATTCGTATTAAAAAATACCAAAGTTGTAATTTTCGACCAAAAATGGCCGATTTTTCACCAAAATGTCGACTTTTTAAACTTTTTAGATAGCTTTTTATTTGAAAAATAGTTCTATATTACGAAAAACGAATTTAAACAATTTCTATTAAGTTACTAGGCATTTCTAGACACACAAAAAACTTTCGGCCCCCCCGATAATGCGAAAAACAACCAAATACTTCCAAATTTCAGCAAAAGAAGTGGAAACACGTCGACAACGTATCGAACTCGATAAATACATCGACGATCCACCCAAAATCCCGCCAATCGCCTCCACGATCGCCCGACAAATCACCCAACAACTCCACAAATTTAACCTCGGCAAAAGGTAGGCTGGCAGGGATTTTTGGGGAATTTTGAGCGTGAATTTTATTGGGGATCTAGCAGAGACTATTGAGGAAAATCCTAGGATTGGGCAAGCTAGCAGAGACTTTTTAGCCCTACCCACATTCCGCACCCCCTCAAATCGTCCGACTCGCTGCCGACGACGCCTTCGACAAGTCATCGACGGCTACCGTCTTCTGTTTCTCATATCCCGAGGGCTCCATCGCTTAGTCATATCGATCAAAGGTGAGTGGCAGCTAGCAGAAAGATTTTAGGAATCGATTACGCCACTAAAAAAGCCAAACTCTTGCTGTCACGCTTCCTTTGAATAAGTTAACCAGCGGAGAAAATTTGAGAATCAATTGCGCAGCTCAAAAACCTTAAATTCTTACTGTCACGCTTCCTTTAAAGTAGTTAACTAGCGGAAAAAGTTTGGGAATCGATTAGGCCATTAAATTAAGCAAAATTCTGATTGCCACACTCCCTTTAAAACAGGTAAACTAGCAGCGAGCATTTAGGAAACGAATACGCGTCTGAAATTGGCCATCAGCTTTTTGAAACGCTCCCTTTAGAGCGGCAAGCTAGCAGAGAAAATTTAGGAATCGATCACGCCATTAAAAATGCAAAATTAATCGATTACGCTTCGAAGTTCCCAACTGCCACCCTCCCTTTCAAAGCCATTTTCAGGGCCGGTAAACCCAACGGAAAGCCCCTGTGCTTCCAGCCGCTCGCGCCGCGCACGCGTCACGGCTCGCAGCGGAGGGACAGCAGGGAGTCGAGAGAGCGCAGAGAGGGCAAGACGAGACAGAGAGAGAGGATGGGAAGTGATCCGACGAAGGAGAAGGCATTCACGCTACAGTCACCGTATCATAAGGTACGTTGCAGGGATTATTGGGGAAGTCGGAGGGGGTAGGCTAGCAAGGACGGTTGAGGAAATGCAGGCTAGCCGAGATTCCTCAGGAAACCGGCCAGTCCAATGGTAGCTAGCCGAGATTCTTGAGGAAACGGGGCTAACTTGCAGAACTTCTTTGAGGAATTTGAGGGGATAGGCTAGCAGAGATTCATTGAGAATTGTGGAGGGGCAGGCTAGCAAAGCTTCCTTGAGCAACTAGGCTAACTTTCAGAGATTCTTTAAGAAAACGAGGGCAGGTTAGCAGCGATTCTTTGAGAAAATGGGGGCAGCAATCAAAAAATTTTTGCGGAAATGGAGGGCCGGCTGATTTTTTGCGCAACTCCAATTTTTCAGGTGACGGAAGTGAAGCAATCTGCGGGCTGCGGGTCGTCAGGAAGAGGTTCAGACGATAACGCGAGCGCAATTCTACCCCCACACCAACTCAGAAGATCGGCGAGTTATCGGTACGTTCTTAGGTGTATTTTGTATTCAAAAAAATACCGTATTCACTAAAAACTAAGCCACGCCCCTTTTCTAGGAATCGAAATCGGGACAGCTATTCGGCGAGTTCGGGCTACGAGAGCGCGTCTGCGGACTACCACAAATTTCACGGGAAGCAACCGCCGGCGACGCTTCGACTTTTGGCCGAGGTAGGCTGGCAGAGATTATTGGGGAAGCGGGCAAGCTAGCAGAGATCCTTTGAGGAACTATGTAGAGACGACTAGCGGAAGCTATCAAGGAATTGAGGGCCAACCAGCAGAGATTCTGGTTCTTTCGCATTATCGGGAGGACCGAAATTTTTTGTATAAGCCTAGAAATGCCTAGTAACGAAATACAAAAGTGTTTTAAAAGTAAAAGTTCTAACTTTAAAAAAGTCAAAAATTTTGGTCAAAAGAAGTCATTTTCGTCGAAAAATCGATATTTTTGCTATTTTTTAATACAAATTTGTAAAGTTTTCACGTTTGGGAATAGCAAAAAACCATTTAGAAACACTTCCACTATTTTTATTTCAAAAATTAGATCCTAGGAAAAAAAGTTAGTCCCTCCCGATAATGTGAAAGAACCGAGATTCTTTGGGAAACCTCTAAAAATGGGGCCAACTATCAGAGACCACTTAGGAATTGGTCAATGTCTTTTAGGAAGCGAGCAGAGATTCTTTGCGAAATTCCAAAGCTCTCAAAAAATAATTTTTTAGAAGCCAACCACGAACTTGCGCGAAATCGAAGGTCTTCGAGAAGAGCAGAGGACCTTAAGACGACAGCTATCCGGTAGGGCAGGCTAGCAGAGATCATTTGAGGAACTGTTTTTTAGCTGCTTATGAACGAATGGGACAAAGTCCGAGGGCAGAAGTGTGGATCGGAGAGCCGCATGAAGCCTCACTGGCAGCCCCGGGGACCATTACGGAAGCGTTGAGACAGGTGAGAGAAAGCTAGAGAGCGAGAGAGGGAGAGAGCGAGAGAGAGAAAGAGAGATAGAGAGAGAGAGAGAGAGAGAGAGAGAGAGAGAGAGCTAGAGAGAAAGATAGAGAGGTCCTAGCAATCGAGAGCTACTCAAAAAGCAAAAATCATACGTCGGCCCCGGCGGGGATTTGAACCCTTGACCTGTTTCTTGTTAAATCTCGGCTTAAAATACTTAAATTTTTACGAAATACGCTTTCTGGCGTCGAAAATGTCCCAAGAATCCAAGAAAACCTTGAAAATGCAAAAAGCAAAAAATCTGTCCCCTGCGGGGTTCGAACCCTTGACTCATTTCTGAATGAGTTTCATTACTTAATCGATCGAGGGAGGTAATTACATAGCGTAATCGGTTCCGAAAAGGTGTTTTACGCCCATCTCGCTTCAAAAAACCAAAAAGCAAAAAGATTGCCGCGTGCGGGGCGCGAACCCTTAACCCTTTTCTTTATCGCTTAAAAAATTATAATGCAATTATGCGCAAAAATCAAAATTATAAGCTATTTAGGAAAACCGCATCCTCGAAAAACGCCTTCTCGCTACCCAAAATCACTGTATGCTCGTCACGGCATTTTTGTAGAAAAATTTGATTTTTGCGAAAATGGATTTTTCGATTTTCCGCTCAAATCCAATTTTTTCTTTTTCTTTTTCAATCTGTTTCAAAAGAAATCCTCATTTTCATGCTCCAATTCCCCCAAATAAAAGAGTCCTCAAGAATCCCCGTGCTCAGTTTGTCAATCCAGCAGCCAGTGATACTTTGCAATTTTTTTTTAATTAATTATTTGAATTGATCTTTTTGTTGGCGTTTCTTTCGTTTTCTAATATTCTTCTGTGATTTGTGATATCCCGGAAATTGAGAAGAAGAATCAGGATAAATTATCTAAAAAAAGCTGGAATGTCCGCAAAAAGACAAAATATTGGATTTGAAGACATCCAGAACTACGGAAACTCCTCAAAAAAATACGGAATTTTACGGGGGACTATCTCGAAAAGTACAGTAACTTGAAACTACCGGAACCCGGTCAAAATAAAAATTTCCAATGCTACCGTAGTGGCAGCGAGAACTCGGAAACGTCCAAAAATAGAGTACCCAGACTCCAAAAACACAAGAAAGCCGCAGGAATTAAGGAAAAGAAAAATACATCATTAAAAGAAAGCTAAAAAGCTACAATATCCCCCAAAAATGCAAAATATCGGATTTTACGACTACAGCAAGCACCTCAAAAAATGCCGGTTTTTCGCAAAGTACAGTAACTTAAAAATGCCGAAATTCGCCCAAAAAAGCCCAGAAATACCGTAGTCTACGCGTGATCTCGGAAACGACCAAAAATACAGTACCCAGAACCCCCAAAAACCCTCAAGAAACGCGCAACATAAAAAATGTGCGGAAATGCAGTAGTCACTCGCTGGAGAAATGAAAAGTTGAGCAATACAGTACCCCCGGGAACGAAAAGAAATACTGTAACTACGAGCCAGAAAAGCTAAAAAAAATATATATATATATTTTCCTAAAAGTCCAGAGTTACAGTAGGACAGTCAAATACGTGCTTTTTAGGTATCGTAAGCCATTCCCCCACATTTAATGGATTCCCCCTTCACAAAGGCATTTTTGAGCCAATTTCACCTATTTTTAAAAATTCCCCATCCTTTAGACACAAAATACAGCAAATCAACCCCAGAAAAACCCACTGCCGTAAGCCTATCACCCGTCAAAAAATCCTACAGTAACCCCAAAAATCACCTTCCCAAGGTCTTCGCTTCACTTCCCATCAATCCACCAAAATCGATTGATTCGAGCAGGGAAGGCGAGCAGGGGCCATTTGCGGAACCGGCGATCCATCTGACGGTCTCTTCACTGCAGGAAAACCCTGGAATAATTGGCTACGACATGAAAATAGCGAAATACCTTTAGATTTCTGCGGAAAACTGGGCCGGGCCAGCTAGCAGAGATCCCTGAGGAAGCCGGGTAGGCTAGAAAGGATTCTTGAGGAAGTAGAACACCTAAAATGAATCTGTTACGCTATTGAAATAGCTAAATACCTATAATTTCCTCCATAAAATCCATCAATTCCAGGGCCCGGGCAGGCTAGCAGAGATTCTTGAGGAAGTCTACCAGGCCTAAAACTGCATTAGGCAACGAAAATCCCAAAATACCTAGAATTTCCTTTAAAAGCCCGAATTCTAGGCCCGGGCAGACTAGCAGAGATTCTTGAGGAGCAAGTCGGGCAGTCTGGCTAGAACAGCTTCTTGGGGGCCCGCTAAAACGGTTCGTCTGTTTTGGTGTTCCATGATAAGAAAAATTCATACAAAAAAAAATAATAATACCGCACTGCTCTGCAAATCACGTATTTTCAAGTACCCGACAAATCAATAAATAAAACTCTTTATAAACACCCAATAAACATAGAGAGAAACGTTAAAAAACGCAAATACCCTTGAAAATTGACCGGCAAGCAACGGGGGGTGGGGGAAATAATACAATTTTCGGCGTGGGGAAATGGCAATGGAAAAGCTAGAGAGAGAGGAGAGAGAGAGAGAGAGAGAGAGAGAGAGAGAGAGAGAGAGAGAGTAGGAAATGTATATCAACATTTTATAGAGATAAATTAAAGGGACAAGAAAGTAAATAATATTAAAATGGCCGCAAAAATTCGAAAAATCAACAAATCAATCGATATTATGTAAAGATCCGTGTGGTTCGTTCCGCTTCACTACTCGATACGCTCGACGCCCTGCTCGGGCTGCAGCATCTTGTAGGCGGTCACCTCGCTGAGCAACGTCTCCGAGTCGCCGCCCGGCACCGTGATCGGCTTCTCGTCTTTCGGCTGCAAAAATGGGTTAAAAATAGCTTGCAAAGTTTTAAAGATAAAAATTGAAAATTTCATATTTCGACATTTTCTGTGATTTTAAAATCTGGCTAAATATGCTTAAAATCCATTAACATAGCCTTAAATTTAAAAAAAGATGTTTCAAGGGGCTTAAAGGTCGAAAAAGTTATGTCTTTAAAAATTCCCTCTAAAAGCCAAGATCTCGAAAAAATCGTCTCTCAGCTGCAAAAATAAGATTGAAATGTTTGGAAAAAGTAAATCAGCAAAGCCTAGAACCGGAAAAATACGCATATTTCCACATTTTTTGGTATTTTAAAAACTTCTCAACTCGCTAAATAATTTTAAAAGCTAGCTTTAACGAGCTTACGGAAGTGAAGCCGGCTTAAAAAGTATCAAAACCCGTTTTACAGCATTTTAGAGATTAAAAACTACTGTCATCTTCCCTTTACAAGCCAAAATCCCGACAAACGTCGATAGTTGGTCCATGAGCATCGAAAAGCCTTTAAAATTGGCTCGAACGATCAAAAATCGTTTTGTAGGGAACGCAAAAAATCAGAATTTGTCGTTTTATATGGAGAGTGACAACTCAAAATTCAACTCAAAAACGTGAAGCCTGTCGCTACACTCCTGTCCAAGCAAAAAAACGGACCTTGGGAGCCGGACTGGGCCAATCGAGCCGTGCCGGCTTCTTCGTCGGGCTTTGCTGCCCGGCAGCTCCACCGGCTGATGTCGGTCCGTCAGCTCCCTCTCTTCTTTCCTTGTCCTCGTAGCTGATCCGCCGCTCTTCCACCACACTACCCAGCTCTTGACTGCCGGCTGGGGGTTCGCTGTTGTCGCGTTTTTGCCTGTAAAATGGGAGTAAATGAGGGGTAGGCTAGCAGAGATCTTTGAGGAGGGCAAGCTAGCAACGATTTTTCAGGAGGGCAAGCCAGCAAAGATTCTTTGACGAAGGGCAGGCTAGCAGAGACAATTTGAGGAGCCTTACCTCGATAAATTGCCGAAACTCTTCGTCCTCCTCGGCGTGCGCTCGTCTCCAATGATAGAGGCAACGGCGGGAGAGCGGGGCTCGCCAAGCTAAAAATGTTTAGAAATCAAATTAGTCAACCAAAATTAGATATTTTGAATTGTTTCGTTAAAGTAAAAAATCACCTTGAGATGCTCGAGCTGCGTCAGCACATCCGAAATCGTGAAGCCGTGCGTGGTTGAGGGTTGATGACAAATGTCTGGAAAAAGGAAATGATTGCGCCATGAAAATCGAGAAAGAGAGAGAGAGAGAGAGAGAGAGAGAGAGAGAGAGAGAGCGCGAGATCCATATAGCTCAAAAATTACCATTAAAATCGATGATGCTGATCTTGGGGCTGCTCGGGGCGCTCTTGCTCTTCTTCCCGGTGATGCGCTGCCTAAAATAGCGAATTCTAGTGCCCCAGAAAAACTGCCAATACCTGAAGATCCGGTTCTGCTCGGCCTGCTTCTGCAGCTCGCGATAGGCGGACACGTGCTGGCAGGCGTTGACCATCAGCGCGACGCCGTTGCCGACCTTGATCGAGAGCATCAGCACCCAGACGAGGCCTAAAATTTGGATTTTTAGAGGAACAAAGGGTCTTTGCTAGCTTGCCCGGAAATCCGCTATTTCTTCAAGACGCCCTGCCAGCTTCCCGAGAAACGAGAATTTCCCTGATTGTCACTGCTAGTTTGTCCTTCGGAAATCTGATTTTTAATGCCCGAAAGAACCCCTGCTAGCATACCCGCTCAAAAACCCACCAAAAAGGACCAAATTCGTCGTGTTGGTGAGGCTGAACGTCTGGTGGAGCACGTGGAAAATCATCACCAGCAGGGGGATCGGGATGAAGCCCATTCGGCGGGAGACCTGGAAATTACAGAAATGGATCGCGTAACCGATTACGCTATAAAAATCAGACATCGAATTATAGCGTAATCGATTACGCCACAAAACCACAAAAATAAACTACGTAATCGATTACGCTATCGAAATCCAGTCATGGCATTAAACGGCGCAATCGATTCTGGAAGGAAAATGGGCTACATTACGTAATCGATTACGCCATAAAAAGCCAGACGTCGAAGTAAATCCCGTAATACATCCCTCCAGTACCTGATCGGAATAATGCGTGAACGCGCCGTCATCCCGGCTCTTCACCACGTCGAACGCGATCGTCAACGTGTAATCTGAAGTTTGGGGACATCAATACATCGAAAACCGGAGAAAATTACCTTGATACACCTCGGCGTTGATCTCGTTGAACTTGGTGATGAAGGCGTGCTTCAAGTAGTCGACGATCAGCTCGGCAACGAGGACGATCACCTGAAAATTGAGGAAATCGACGCTGCTTGACTGCCCGAGCTGATTGAACTTTTCCTACATTTCTCTGCTAGCTTGCCCTGGTCTGGAAACTCCGGCAGGCTAGCAGAGACTCTTTGGGAATAAAAATCGAAGGCAAGCTAGCAGAGATCACTGAAAAATCCTTACAAAATCCGGTAGCATCTCCTTCAGATGGTCGACGCTCCAGTTGACGGCCATCATATTGCGCATGAAGACGACGAACAGGAGAGCCATGATGTGGAAGCGCTCGCGGATGTCACTAAAAATAGCAGGGATTCTTTGCGGAATACGGGAGAAGGGCTGGCAGCGAATTTTGAGGAACTTTGCCTAGAGTCTCTGCTCGCGGTCTAAAAAATGTTAGTAAAAAGCATATTTTGAGAGGAAAACTAGCAGAGATTCTTTCGGGAATCGGAGGGCTAGCAGCGTTTTTTGAGGAACGTCGCCAAGAATTCGCGCTCCAAACCAACCTGCAGCTCATCTGGAACAGGTTGGCCTTGGCGAACTTCTTGAAGACGGAGCCCTTGATCTCGACAAAGTTGTTGCTCATCAGTATCATCAGCAGCGACTGGTTGTGCGAGTTGAAGGCCACGTTCAGGGTTGTCGCCTGAAAAAATGAGATTTTCTCAAAGAATCTGTGCTAACCTGCCCTTCATTTCCTCGAAAAATCTCTGCTAGCCACCCACCTGCAGCAGTACCAAAAACGTGTGCCCGGTCACGTAGAAAATGGCCATCCCGAGGTGAAACGTCGTCCAGAAAACGTTTCCACGTCTTTTCCTCTCGTTTGCCGTCCAGAATAGCGAATCGAGGACGTCCTGAATTTTATGGCATAATTGGATACTGGCAAATTGAGCTTTTTACCTGCCCAAAACTGCTCAACAATTTATCGGCCACTTCCAGCATGTTGAACATCATATACAGCTTTATCACGCCCTGGCCGCGTACCTAAAAATTTGAAATTTCTGAACAAACTGTATAAAACTTACCAAATGATAGACCACCGACGTGTCGATATATTGCATAAAGTAGGAAGAAGTAACGATGATCACAACCTAAAATTAAGCTTTTTAACCTCCTCTGGAAGTTTTTATACCTTTAAAATATCACAAATCTCGGCCGTGGCGAACCAGCGACGTTGGAAGAGCGCGTTGAGTAGAGATATCTGCAAAAATGGACTTTTGAGGCCGAAAATTGAGATTTGCAACTAATCAACCTAGTCGATTTGTTTTAGTTTTCAGAAACGAGTAACCCACCAAAAATCGTATCGGCAAAAAGGTGACGAGGTACAGGAACGCGTCCACGCACTGCAACGTCCCGAAAAGCACAAACTTCTCGAACTCGTAGGGGATTTGGAAGAAGGCGTAGACCTTCCGTCGCTTTTCCGTGTACCGAGTCTGGTCGTTGTCGAGGGAGTAGCCTCTAAAACGTCAAAAGGTTAAGAAAATTGCGCTCTAAAATTACCTCGTCAACTCGGACCAGAAATACGACAGAAACCCGAGGGAATCCGCGGATTCCGGGTTTTTTGGCGAGGCTTTTGGCTCATCCCTACACAGTGGCTCCGTGTCACTCGTCGATGGGGTTTCTAAATTCGATTTTAAAGCTTAAAAACATTCCCCAACCTGTATCGCAGATTATCGTCAACTTCTCGTCGAGCCGCACGTGTGAATTCTTCTTGCGAAGCCGGAGGGCGGGCTAAAAATAGTAGTATGAGCCGAAAATAAGGTACTTGGAGTCATTTTGAAGCATATTTTCGAATTTTGAAACTCGAAGCTACCTTTTCTATACAAAAACGAAACAGAATAACCCTGTCTACAAAATTTATAACAATTTTTCAAAAACGGCAAAACTTTCGCACCTCATTCTCGTCGTCGCTGCCTAAATGAAAGCCCGATGCGCCCGGTGGATCTTCCTCTGGCATATACCTGTAAAATAGCGCTAAATATGATAGAAATTTATTTAGTTTTCATAGTTTTAGTATTCGAAACCTAAGTTCACGCTACTTTTTTTGGAAAATCGGTCACGCCGGGCTCCAAACTACGCGTTATAGGTGCACTGCGTCGCTTATTGGTTCGCCGAAAGCCGGCGCTGGCCTCGTTTTACTAACTTTTTATAGAGTTTTTAAATGTATTTTGATAATATTTCATTTTTAAAATGTTCTCCAGTATGTTTAGAATCGAAAATAGCTTTTTGCTGAATTAGCGGACGTTTTAAAACGTTAGAAAACGCATTCATAGGCTTCGTCTACTTTCTGGGAACTTTTTTTGGTTCGTAGTATGATTTTCGAGACGTTTCCTGATGATTTAGATACTTCCTAAGATCGAAAAACCGTCTTCTATGCAATTCAGTCGATCTTTGCCTTCTAAAAAGTTGTATTTGGCTAAACTCGCGATATTCAAGGCATGACGCTTTTTAGCTTCTTTTTCTTGACATTTCCTGATTGTATTTTCATTATGCTATTCTATTTCTGGAATTTTATGGCTTTACAACGTTAACACGGGCATTTTGCAGGTATGGCCACACAGCGACTGCTCGTCGCCACTCGGCCCACGCTCAGGCATCTGCCCTTCCGGGCGGCCTCCAGCTTGCAGACGTGAGTTCATCCTCTCACTGTTTTATTCCCTTTTTTAGTGACCACAAGGTGATGTGGAAGGAGATCAACCGGCTGGCCTCCGAAGGGAAATGGGATGCGATCAACAACAAGCCCGAGATGTGGCTCTACGGCGACGCCAAGAAGGACGCGTACTCCGTCTACCAGATCTTTGTGAGTTTGCAGTTGCGATTTTTGTCTTTCCGGAAGTTTTCGAAGTCGTTTAAAACCTGGAAAACGTGTATAGTTGCGTTTTGATGTACTCGAAAACCGAAAAATAGGAGATTTTCGCGCTTTTCGAAACTCTTAGATCATGTTTAACGATTTCGGAAGGTTTTAAGCTTGTTTTTGTTCAGCTTTTGGCTTCAAAAACTTGTTGAGGAACGGAAGAAGTCAATTTTTGGAGTCCTGAGCATTCTTTTTACAAAAAAACCGATTTAAAGATCATTTTCGACGAGTTCAGCGAGTTTTAAAAACACATAAATTCCTTTAATTTCGTGTTTATGTATATTTTACGTTTCAGAACAAATCGCACAACTTCTTCGACGGCACCCCCTACGGCCCGATCCTCTACTTCATCTGGCGGATGGCACTTTTGGCGGGTGAGGATTTTTCGGTTTTTGTAGCATGTTGCTCGTCAGGAAATTGTTTCAAATCGCATAAAGTTTTGTCATTTTTAGGGCTTTTTTTGCTTCAAAAAAACCTATTTTGCGTTTTTCACGTCTAAAAATAATTTTCAATTTTATTCGCCTTTTTCAGCAATCGTCAAAGTGAGCTGCCTGGTCTACGAGTTCGTCGTGCCCGAGCAGAAGCGCCTCCACTACAAATATCGCCACCACGGACACCACGACGACGGGCACCACGGCGGACATCAGGAAGCCGCCGCCGCCCACCACTAGGACCTCTTCCCCCCACATTTTTGTACGAGTTTTTCGAAGGATTTATTAGTAGTTTCGCGCCCCCGTTTTTGAACATATATAAAGTTGTATAATACACGTTAAGCCTAGACGATTTTTGTGAGCGGGAAATTGCACCCAAAAGACGAACAAATTCTTGATTTTTAGCGACCCGGAATTCTTTTTGCTGTAGCTTTTACACTAGCCCTTTTTGCTGTACCATTTATTTAGCCACACGCTGTCTCTACCACGCATTAATGATTCGCCGTCGACAATAAAAAGAGTTAGAAAATTATTGCAGGGTTTCGGGTTACCTGCCGTAATACGGGTTGCTCTGGCCGGAGTATGGGTAGGGGCTGTATGTTGGTGGTGGGGAGGGGCGAGCAGGTATGGGGGCTGAAAATTAGATCTTTTTAGAACAGTTATAGCTTTTAATGGGCATTGAAGGGTGATAAAGCTGGCGTAATCGATTTTCCCGACGCTTTTTTTTGCGTTTTTTTATGGTTTTTTATGGTTGGAAGCTTGTCGGACGAAAAGTTTAGCTTTTAAATGGTCAGTGAATGCTATAAAAGTAGCTTAATGGATTTCTACGACTACCTTTCAGGTTTTTTTTTAGGTAAAACGATGTTTGTAGGCGTACCAAGACTCTAAAATCCTTGTAGAATAGGTTTTTGGTAAATTACCTGTTGCGGAATGGCCGGCAGAGCTGTTGGGATATTTTGCGCGTAGGTCGTGGGGGTGGGTAGACTTTGACGGGGCGGCTCGAGTGGTGGAGGCATCGGGTAGCTGGCCGGCGGCATTATTGGCAGGGCTGATGGGCGAGGGCATCCGAATCTAGGGAGGGGAGGCTAGCAGAGGTTATTTAGGGAATTTGAGGCCCTGGGGAGCTAGCAACGATTCTTTAGGAAATTGGCGCCAGAGCTAGCTAGCAGAGGTTCTTTAGAAAATTAACGACTCCGTACGCTAGCCCAGACTTGAGGTTTAGGAAATTGGCGTCATAGCCAACTAACCGAGATTATTTAGGAAATTGCAGACCCGGCAGGCTAGCAGAACCTCTTAAGGAAAATTTTTATACAGTCAGCCCTAAACCATTTGCAAAATTTGGAGCTAAAGAAACTAGCATTGGTAATTTGGGAAATTCGAGGCTTGGTAAGCTAGCAGAGATCTTTTAGGTGTTCAAGAGGAGGCCAACTAGCAACGATTACTCAGGAAAACTTACGGACAAGGGTACTGCGACATGTAGTAATATTGAGAAACGTGGACCGGCAGCAGCGCCACCAGTATTTGAAGGCAAAAAAGCATAGGCCAAGTTTTTTGAGGTCGTTCTGTCGATTTCAGGGTTTTTATAGCAGCCACTAGTGGGGGTAGTAAATATAATGCTGCTTATAGGTTGGCCGGCGAGAGAAAGTGAGTGAGAGAGAGAAAGAAAGAGAGAGAGAGAGAGAGAGAGAGAGAGAGAGAGAGAGAGAGAGAGAGAGAGAGAGAGGGGAGAGAGACCGCCGAGATGATTATTTGTAGAAAGCCATTTGGGGGCAACACTTGAGACAAACAAGTCGAAGAAGAGGTAGAAGTAGAAGATGCCCACTTGACCACTTCACCATTCCGGAGGGAGGGGGGGAAGTGCCGGTGAAGTAGCCCCCAGTAACAATTTGCGAACGGCTTCAAAGTTTTTAGTGGAATTTAGGAAATTAAGCTGCTAGCTTGCTGCGAAAAATCAGGGTGAGATTTAGGTTTTTTGGGCCTGGAACTTCCAGGAGAAAATGGTAAAACGTTTTTTGATGGAAACCTGCGGTTTCCTCGTCGATACAAGTTATTTTCTGCAATTGTTCGCATAGAGATTCTCAAATAATCGCTGCTAGCTTGCCCCAGGGTCTGGAAGAAACTCTGCTAGTTTGCCCCTAAATCGTTCCAAGGGTTTCTCTAGCGTTCCCAAAGGATCTACGCTAGTTTGCCTGTCAGAAAAACGGGGTTTTTTTCAGAAGGCATGTTCTTTCAAATGAATTTTAGAGTATGACTTTTAGAAAATCGTTGAAAATTGCTCCAGGATTTTTTAGTTTCCAAAATGATCTCGGCTAGATGACGTCGGAATAGTTTTAGAATTCCCCCATTCCTCAATGATCTCTGCTAGTTTGCCCAGCCCCAATCGGCCATTGCCAAGTTGAGAGGCTGCCAATTAGCCCATTTGCGATGTGTGTCTACCCCGCGACTTGCAAAAAGTATGTGGCAACCGGGTGGAAATGCGTGGTTGGGGTGCAAAAAGCCCCTCATTCGACTCCTTCGAGACTAGCCAATCTTATAAAGGACTGCGGTGAGGTTTGGAACGTTTCGATTTCCATCATCAGCCGTTACTATTCACGATATTGATGAAGTTATTATTATTTCTAGCTATTCTAGGCTGTTTCTTTTTGTTAGTAGAATCGCAACAACCTGGCCGTTGCCCATCGCGATGCCGGTAAGCCGGAAATGCTTAGTTTTTGACGTTTTATTAGGTTTTTATGGTTTTTTAATATCTTGCTCAGCATGTAATAAAGCGGTTTTTTGTTTGGGTTGCTTTTAATACTAATTTTCGAATGATTTTTAGGCTTTTAAAATTTTAAATAAAGTTATTTTTTGCTGGAATTTGCTTTTATGAAGATTTGCTTGATTTATAATATATAGATAAGATTTTGCTGGTTTTAGGGAAGCGCTAAGCGGCGCAAAACTCACTTTTTGAAGCTATTGAGGTCGCGTTCCGGGTTTTTTTTTTAGGTTTTTGGCGAAGTTATGAAGGTGTGATTTTTCCTATTCGTAATAATTTTATTATATCGCCAATATTTCTGGATTTCAGGGAGACCCCGGCGGGATGTATGTGCCCGTTTATACGAGACGCTCCGCCGCCCCCTCCCCAACATCAACAAATCACGGCGATGAGGAGGGTGAGGCTGATCCCGCATCAAGGAGATGTTCAAGCACCTCAAGGGCCACAACGTCAACAGGTTCGTTTTCCGCAAAGAATCTCTGCTGGCCTGCCCCTCCAATTCGTCAAGGAATCTCTGCTAGCCTGCCCTGCATCTAAATTCCTCAAGAATCGCTGCTAGCCTGCCCCTCCAATTCCTCAAAGAATCTCTGCTAGCCTGTCCTGCATCTAAATTCCTCAAGAATCGCTGCTAGCCTGCCTGTCACACTCCTTTAATTTCATGTCGTAATCAAATGCAATTTTTTCAGCGCCTCCTTCGAGTCCCATCTCGTGCTCGAAAACAGTCGTACGACGGCTACGAGGCTCACCCGATCGGCTCGGTCTCCGGCTACGATCTGAGTGGCGCTCCATCTGCTTCACCTACGGAATTGCCGATCCGTTCGACACCGGTGCCCGTCAACTATGGACAGCCGGCCGCTGCTGTCCGACCGGCGCTTCCGAGGATTATTGTGAGTTTTTGTAATTTTCGGATTCCCTAAGGGGTCTCTGCTAGCCTGCCAAATTTCGGGCATTTCCTAAAAAATCTCTGCTAGCATTTTATGGGCTCTAAAGGGAGTGTAACACGAAAATCTACGTTTTAAGCGCCCCGAGCCGGCCATCCCGGCGCCAGAGCAGCTGCTGCCCAGGCCACCGGCTGAAGCAGTAGATGGAGAGAGCGATGAAGAAGATCAGCGAGGAGAGGTGGAGGACATCAGCCGCCCTCAACAGCCGCAACAAGTACAGACGACAACCGGAAGCGCCCAACCCGTTCAACTTCCAGTAGCTACACAGGGACAGGGACAAGGTGCAGGTACCGATTTGTGGTTTTCTGAAGTGATTTTGGCTTTTGAGTGTCTGGATTTTTTCATTTTTTTTCTAAGCGTTCTCTGCCAGCTTGCCTTTTCTGGGCCGTATGAAACTGGTGGTTTTCGGGGTTCCCAAATGATTTATGCTAGTTTGCCACCTTTGAACCCCCTGAAATTTTGCGCTTTCGAGATTCCCAAATGATTTCTGCTAGCTGACCTTCTTCGAATCTCGCGAAATTTTGCGTATTCGAGATTCACAAGTGCTTTCTGCTAGCTTGCCGTCTTTGAGTCTCTTGAAATCGTGCATTTTGGAGATTCCCAAATGATTTCTGCTAGCTTGCCTTCTCTGAGTATCCTAAAATCTTAGATTTTCGAGGTGCCCAAATGGTTTCTGCTAGCTGGCCTTCTTTGATTCTCACAAAATCTGATGTTTTCCGAATTCTAAAATGATGTCTGCTAGCTTGTCTTATCTTCTTCTCCATAAATCTTAGGTTTTTGAGATTCCGAAATGTATTTGCTAGCGTACCTTTTTCGAGTCTCGCGAAATTTTTGGGTATCCTAGATTCCCAAATGATTTCTGCGAGCCTGCATTGTTTGAGTCTTCTGAAATCTTGCGTTTTCCAGATTCCCAAACGATTTCTGCTAGCTTGCCCTTTTTGGGTCTTTCCACTTTTTCATTTTAAAGTTTCTTTGTCAAGTTTCTGTATCTTTTTCGAAGTTTTCTCTCTTCTCTGTCTCCGCAAAAAGCCACTGCTAGCTTGCCTTTCGTTTTCTTGGATTTTGCCGGGTTCTGCACGTTCTGCACATTTTGATTTTCTTAGTCTTGCAAAAATTCCACAAAAGTGTTTGCTAGTTGCCCTTTCGGCAGAGCTTGCCATTTTGGCTTTTCAGATAGAACTAGGCTCCTTACTGAATTTTTGTAGCGACTCTGCTATCGTTTCTCTTATCTTCAACTCTCATTCCCAAATGATTACTGGTAGCCTGCTTAAAAATTATGACTAACACACTGAGTGTCGTGAAACGCTTACTGATTTTTTATAATTTTGATTTTCGCCATTTCAAGCCGTTTTTGTTTGCAATTCTAAACCTTGCCCTAGCTACCGTACCCCAAGAGCCGGTTGCCCCATCAGCGGCCGGGCCGATGGAAGTGGCGCCGGCCGAGGATAGCGAGGAAATAGGTGAGATTTTAGGTATCAAATTACCTCTGCTAGCCTGCCCTCAAATCCCTCAAAAATCCCGGCTTGCCTGCCCTGAAATTCCTCAAAGAATCTCTGCTAGCCGGCCTTGCTGACTCTAAAATTATGCTCAGATACCGTAATCGGAGAGGAGGGCGCGGATGCGGAGGAGATTCCGGATGAGGAGGCGGAACCGGAAGCTCCGGAAGAAGAGGAAAAGCATAGATTAGCCCTGGAGCACGGGCATGCCAAAAAGCCGAAACTCCCGAAATTCCCGCAACAACCGCTCGTCTGGGTGCCAGATCCGGAGGACCCGATGAGTCCAAAGGTAAGAGTAGGAGTATATTTAGCCTTCAAGGGTCCTTTAGAATACTTTGGATTTCCCAAATTATCTCTGCTAGCCTGCCAAAGTGCTAAATTGCCTTGAATGGCCCTTTAAAAGGAATTTTAGCCTTTTTTTAATCCACAAGAAATCTCTGCTAGCATGTCCGGAGGGCTATTTGATTTCAACGGTCCTTTAAAAGCCGGATCGTTTCCTAAATTGTCTCTGCTAGCCTACCCCTCGCTTCTTCAGCTCGGCGCTCTCAGCACATCAGATGCTGCTGAAGGCGAGGATCGTACGGTGATCATCGAGGTGCCGAACGGGGCCCAGCCTCCTCAACACTACCTCCCGCCACCGGACCTGCCAGCCGGAACTGTAAGCTATTCTTTAGACTACGGACCAGAACAGGAATTTTTGGCGTAACGTAAAGTAGCTTTAAAGGCCCATTGAAGAAAAATCCAGGTCTCCGAGCTGCCCGCTCGGTTCAACTTCATCCTCGGCGCGGACGATACGCCGGAAAACCCGCATGCGACGGCCCCGAAAAATCCGGCCCTGCTAGGGAAAGGGGCCCTCAAGCCGAAGCAGTCCAAGGTAAGCGAAAAAATTACGCAGTGTAATTCGGGGAGCTCTAGGTGTACGACATTGTCGTGTCGGACGGCACCGGAACACCCTCGCCGATTACCACAACTACAACGACTACAGAGCCACCTCTGGAGGTCTGTAGTCGTTGAGATTTGCCTTCAATGTCCCTTTAATGGGCTTTAATCGTTCGGCATCCCCAACAAAGAATCTCTGCTAGATTGCCCCTCCATTCCTCGGGGATCCGCAGCTGTTGAGTGCGGTCACTGGTCTTTTGACGGCTGGTGCGCTGCTTCCGGCCCTGGGATTGGCCGATGGGATGCCGATGGTTGGGGGAGCAGGTAGCTCTCTCTCTCTCTCTCTCTCTCTCTCTCTCTCTCTCTCTCTCTCTTTCCACGAAATCCCGTTTTTAAAGGTGCCGGTAACACTGGCTACGCACAAGTCCCTGGCCAAGGCCAATTCGGAGGCTACGGCCAGAATGGCGGAAGCGCCGGATTTACGCAGGTAAATTAATAGTGTTAATTCTCGAGCTTTTAATCGATTTTAGGTGTCCGCAATTACAAAAGACGGGTTTACAGTAGCCGGCGCGGATGGGTTGAACCATTCCGGTGTTTCCGGCTTCTTTGTCCCCGAGCAGTTTGAACAGGTTCAGAGTTTTTTCTGAACTTTCTGGACTTTCCTGGCTTCCTCGTTTCGGACTCCCTTTAAAACGCAAAAATCGGCATTTCTGTCGATTTTTTGGCGTGAATTCCCCCTGTCACGCTCCCTTTAAGACCCAACAGCAACAGCAACGCCCCGAGACGAAGCGGGGTACCGTGTCCGAGGTGAACCCGGGATCGTTCCCCGGCTCCAGAGTAAGTTTTAGGCCACAAACTACACTTTTTAGGGATCGAGTAGATGGTAGGCGAAGGAGACAGACTACAATCTACAGAATTCGGACTACAAAGTCGATTTTTTTCCCCTTTTTAGATAACCTCTCTCGGCGAGGCCTGGGGTCCGAGCATAAACCCGTTCGGTTTTGGGCATGGCCGAGTGACGGAGAAGCCGCAGACTCCGACATGGGTATAGGCGACTACAAACTACAAAGTATATATTTATTATTATGCTTATTTATCGAAATAAAGATGAAAGATATTTATGAACAAACAGACGTGTTGCGCTCAAAGAATCACTGCTAGACTGCCAGTCCCGACAGCCTAAATGACCTCTGCTAGCTTGCTCTCGATGACTAAGATTCCTCAAGGATCTCGGCTAATCTGCCCGGAAGCATTTCGGCTTCCTAAATGGACTCTGATAGTCTGCCTTTCCGGAAAGTCTTGCTCCCAGATTCCTCAATGATTATTGCTAGTTTGCCCTCATCAGGATCGAATTTCTGGCGGGGATTCCTCAATGGTTTCTTAGAATTTTGCTAAATTACCGCTGCTAGCCTGCCCCTATTCAACAGTGATTTCCTAAATGCTCTCTGCTAGCCTACCCCTTCCTCAAATGTCTCTTCTTGATTGCCTTGCTTCCTCGAAGGCCTTCGCTAGCTTGCTTTCCTAAAATATCGCTGCTAGCCTACCGGAAAAGGCAGAATCTCCACATTTCCAAAATTTCTCTGCTAGCCCGCCTTGTACATGCCAGACCACCAACCCCTAAAAACGGTGCCACGACATTTGCGGCCCGACCATTTGCGGCCCGACACTTGCGGCCCGACATTTGCGGCCGCGACACTTGCGGCCCGACACTTGCGGCCCGTCACTTGCGCCCGAAAGTTGCGGCCCGACATTTGCGGCCCAGACAATTGCGGCCCAAAGCTGTAGTTAATCACACGACTGAAGCTTTTAACCGTCCGGAAGGCTAGTTTTCTGAACGGGGTTTGATCGCTTGTACCCTGGTCTTGACCTAAAAATAAGGCTTCGTGCCACCTGGGGCCTAGTCGCTTCGGATGGGTGCGAGCTCGTACAGGGTTTCGAAATCGGGGCGCCCGAGGCACGCGTAGCGGCCAGGCGCCCCGATTTCGAAAGAGTGGAGCGGCAGCCCATCCGAAGCGACGGTCCGCCTTGCCTGAAAATGCTTTAGACCCTTACTAACCCTCTTTTTAATTTTATATTGAGAAAATTGGGCTGAATAGGACGGGCCGCAAATGTCGGGCCGCATCTGTCGGGGAGCCCTAAAAACTGCCCTCCTCGCGTTGCTCTGGATGTGTTATTTTCTCGGAATTTATGAGTTTTCCCAGCCCTCCCTTCCTATCTGCGTGTGCCATCTAGCAGAGATTCTTTAGGAACATCCTGAAAATTCTCCCAACACCTCGCTTCTCCCCTTTGCCCTAAAAAGGACCGGAAAACAGGCTGGAATCTGCCAGCCCTCCCCGCTTTCGACTCCCCCCGTTCGACCACAGGCTGCCGGAAAAAAGTGCCGAAATCTGCGTGTCGCTCTCTGGAGGAGGAGGATTCGAATCCGATCCACCGCAGAACGAGGGTGAAGAGATGTTCCTCAAATTTACACACAAATACACCGCCTTGAACGGGCGTTGTTTTCCCAAATTGCCTCTGCTAGCTCGTCCTCCTCAACGACCCCTGCTAGCCAGCAAAACATTTTTTGCAAGTTTCTTTCAGACACTGAATGATGTCAGCCATTTCCCGAAGTGGCTCTGCTAACTTGCCTGACTTCTAGCTTAATCTTCTCTGCTCGCCTGCCAGGCCCTCCCCTGAATTCCGAGCTCCTTTAAAATGAAAAATGGTTTCTACTGTCTAACTAATCTTCTCTGCTAGCTTGCCCTTGGACTCGCAAACGGTCTGTGCTAATTTGCCCTTAACCTCCAAATCTTCTCCGCTAGCTTACCATTGCTCTTGAAACCCTATGCCCTCGGTCAGCTTTCTAACCTCTTTATCTTCTCGGCTCTGCAAAATCCAAAAATACCTGTGCTAGCCTGCCATACCAATTTTCTAGTTTCTAGATTTTCTCTTTTAGTTTCCCCGTATCCCCAAGTATCTCTGCTAGCTTTGATTTTTTCGATCCGCCCATTTCTGATCTTTCGATCCTTCGACAATCCGCAACTTTCCAAGGGTATGGCTGACGCAGTTGGAAGCCCGGGTCGCACAATCCGCAAGAATCCTATCAACACCCCCAGGCACCCCAAAAACCCAATCTTTAATCCTGTGGATCTCACGCTCCGGTTTTTCCGTCTGGTTACGGTCTATAGGGAAACCGGATCCTTAACTTTTACATTAGATGCCAGCTGCCCCGGAATTCGCCATTTCCTGAAAAATCTCTGCTAGCTTGCGCTTTGATTACAAATTTCCGAACGACCCTGCTAGCAAACCCTTGCAGCGAGACAACGAGGCTAGCAGAGTAGCGTCCTAAAGTATCTCTGCCAGCTCACTATGGTCTTCGATTTCTCCAAGAATCTCTGCTAGCCTGCCCCTCTCTAGCGTCCAATTCAAATGGCACACAAACCCTGTTTCACGGCCGGTATGTAGAATTGGAACATGGCAGCAGCGGGGGTTCCGCTTGAATGAGCCCCATTTCATTTCCCTTTTTCTTGGCTTTCTGCTTTCCGCTTTGCCCCCGAAAATGTGCATTCCGGGCGAGAGAGAGAAAGAGACAGGGAGAAAAGCATAGAGAAAAAGATCAAAACTCGAACCTGCCTATCATTTAAAGGCCCATTGAACCTCCGGGGGCAATTTGCGGGCACGCAGCTTTACGTGGCGTAATCGATTCTGGGGATGGGTTGGGCTGTTTCCGGCGTCTGGGCTTGAGACAGTAGCAGCTTTCCTCAAAAATCACTGCTAGCCTGCCCTCTAATGACGACTCAATGGTCTCTGCTAACTTGCCCAAAGCATTCGTGTTCCTAAAGGTTCCTCTGCAAAATGGTCTGTAGCGTTGGACGATAAATGGTCTCTGCTAGCATGCCCCAATCAGGGTGGATCCTTACGCAAAGAATCATCCCTGCTGGCCTGCCTTCAAAGCGTTCCTAAAGGACCTCTGCTAGCTTTCACGCTACTTTTGCGTCTCCAAATTGTCTCTGCTCGCCTGCCCGGGAAATATTTTCACTTCCAAGTCTCTTTAAAACGCCATCGACACATCGGTGCCTTTTTGTCAAGCCCATCAATTTCCCCATATTTTCATGGCGTCACCGATTCCTCAGGGGGTGCCGATTTCCAGTCCGCCGCTGCGCCTTGACCTTTCGAGAATAGGGGCGAGCGTCTCACTTTCTCGAGAGCTTATCATCATCTGCTCTCTCTCTCTCTCTCCCTCTCTCTCTCTCTCTCTCTCTCTCTCTCTCTCTCCGAGACCGGTTTTTCCGGCTAGGAAAAGCCGTTTTCATTGTCACTCGCCCTAGCTTTTGGCAATTTCCCCATACCGACATCAAATTAGACAATCAGATCAGTCATTTTGGGGGTCGAGAGGGGAAAGGTCATGCTCATGCTCCCCGACTGATTGAGCCTGAGGGCGTGAAATCAAGTGCGAAACGAAAAACGTTTCTGTTCTCTAGACGTCTCGGCTGGTTTGCCTGCGGTACGGTTGCGAAAAACGTGAAATCGTGAAAAAAACAACATTGAAATGAAAAGCAAAAAGCAAAGCTTTGACGACGGAAGAAATTGAGCCCGGCCCATTTGCTTAGAAAATAGGATTTTTTAGAAAAAAAAAAGATATTTTTAGAAAAATTTCATTTCGATATTTTAAATTTCGATTTTCAAGTGCACAGACCAAAAGTCAAAGGAGCCTTCCGGAATTCCGGAATACCGGACAGACTCGGGCCGGTCCGGCGGATTTTTCAGCATCCTTGTAATCGCGGGCAGCCGATCTTTGCGCCTGCGAAATATGCGCTTTCGCGGTTTTGCGGTTTTTGCCGATTTCCAGACCGCAACCCACATAAGCTGGTCGATTTATTTATGGCACAAAGGCCTTGGTCTTCGTAAAGAATACCTGCTAGTCTGCCTTATCAGGAGAATGCAGTTCTTGCTGTCGTCGTTCCTTTAGAAAATCTGGTTTCGGCCAATTCCCTAGTGATCTCTGCTAGCCTTCCCCAGGGTCTCTGGTAGCCTAGTGTCCTCAAAAATCTTCGCTAGCCTGCCATTCCCAAATGTCAGTGCAGTAATTCCTAAATAATCCTTGCTAGTTTGCCCTGCTCAAAAATGCCGCGAGGGTTTTTGCTTGCTAGCCCTAGATCTCAAATTTTCCTGAATGAACCCTGCTGAACTGGCAACGAATTTCCGCAAATGATCTTTGCTCGCATGCCCTTGTCGTGCTCCTTAAAGCCACCGCCATCTCTCTGCTCTTTCCTGCCGTTATTCCTTCCATTTGGCTGTCAGCACGTATGCCCTCGGAACTCCTCCTGGGGGACATTTTCCTTTTTTATGATTTCCAGAGATGGGGAGGGCAGCTGATGAGGATGATGATAATTTCAAACCATTGCCCTGCCATTCCATTTCGATACTCCATTCCGTTTGGCGGCATGCCCATAGGCTTAGGCGTAGGCTTGGCTTAAGCTTGGCTTAGGCTTGGCTTAGGCTTGGCTTAAGCTTGGCTTAGGCTTGGCTTAAGCTTGGCTTAGGCTTGGCTTAGGCTTAGGCGTAGGATTGGCTTAGGTTGAGGCTTGGTGGGCTTAGGCTTAGCATTAGGCTTTGGTCAGCTAGCAGAGATTTTTGAAGATTTCCTCGTCATGCCCTCATGCTCTTTTCGCGGTCTATTTTCGATTTTATTTGGCAGTTTCCAAACCCTGCCAAGTTCCGAGTCACCGCGGCATGTTTTGAGTGGGAATGACGTCCCCAAGTACCTCTGCTAGCTTGCCCAGCGTTATCCTATTTTCCTCAAGGGTCTCCGCTAGCTACTCGCGTTTTAAAATCGTTGCGAATTCGGGTTTCCAAATGATCTCTGCTAGCTCTCTCAAGCCGCATTTCCGCAATGATCTCTGCTATTCTCCCACATCGTTAAACTTTTCAACCTCCCTCCCTCGGAACCTCGGCTAGCTTGCCCTGGCCATAAGCCAATCTGCTGATTACAACCTCCCCATTTTTCTGAAGGTCTTTTTCTCGACGTGACAGTCTCAGGGCTTTTCCGGTCGACTGGAATGGCAGCCAATTTGCCGCTGCCCCCGGCCCGTTTTCCCCAATTTTCTCTGCTGCCACTTACGCGTTGCCCTAAAGCGGCAAGTACGCTTTTTCCTCTTGACGCGCTTCTGGAATCTTGGGCATCGGGAAAAGGGCAAGAATGTAGTTCCAGAGATCAGGTTTTTCGGTGGGGAAATTTGACTTCAATGGTTCTTTAAAAGGGTCTAAGTCTTCTCTAAGGATCTCTGTTAGCCTGCCTATTCGTTTAGCGATCTTTTAAGGATATAGGGGTATTTCAAATTCCTCAATAACCTCCGCTAGCTTGCCCCGGCTCTAATTCCTCAAAGAATCTCTGCTAGCTACCCCCATTTCCTCAAAAAATCTCTGCTAGCCTGCCCTCCTCGAAGACGTCATGTTTTTGCAAATGACGAGGTGAAAGTGATGGATTCGGTCTCGGCCCTCTTGTTTTTCGAATCGTCCGGGAGCGGAAGTGGTTCTATACCTTTACAAGCGCCAAAAAAAACCTAATAATTACATTAAAAAAAAGGGTTTAATAAATAATGTTAAAGTTCCTATTACGTAAAAGGGGGTTTTTCCAAAGGAAAAAGGTCAGCAATAATATCGGGGAACCCAAAAGGGTTCGTTTTGTCATTTCCCGGGTGAGCGGGGGTTTTTTCAGTTTATTTCAAATTTTGGGGAATATATTTGGCTGTATAGGTTTTTTGCCTTTTTTTTGGCTTTGTGCCCCCCAGGGGTTGGGTGGGCTCGGGTTCTGCCGCTCCGGGGGGGGGGGTGTTCCGGGGCTGGGGGGGGGGGGGGGCGGGCGCTTGGGCGCGCGTTGGGGGGGGGGGGGCCCGGGGGGGCGGGGGGGGGGGGGTGTTCCCTTTTTTTTTTTTTTTTTTTTTTTTTTTTTGGGGGTTGAGGCGGGGAAGTTCCACGGAACCGAAACTTCCCTAGCTTCAACCTCTGGTCTCGGCAGACTAGCAGAGGTCATTTGGGGGATGATGGAGTTCTCAAAGAATCTTTGCTAGCCTGCCCCTCCAATTCCTCAAAGAATCTCTGCTAGCCTGCCCCTCCAATTCCTCAAAGAATCTCTGCTAGCCTGCTCTCGACATCTCCTGAGGTCGAGAGCGAGATATTCTGGATTTCGAGAGATCTAGAGAAACAGAGCGCAGAGAGCGAGAGTTCTCGCTCCACTCGAAACGGCACTCCCCCTTCCCCCTCCGGGCATTTGAAGTAGAGGATTGAGATGGGGCTCAAGGACAAGGCTTCTTGGCACAGGCACTTGTATTCTTTTCTCGCCCTCGAACAGTGCCGTGTAATCTATGAATCCTTGTTCCGCAAAGGTGACTGCTAGCTTGCCGCGGATTCCTGCTGGCCAGCTTTGTCTTAAAAATTTTTTGTTGCTGCGAATCGTCTCTGCAAGTTTTTAGTCTTTTCACGCTCAATTGCTAAGAATCTATGCTAGCTTGCCATGGCCCGATTCGTTTTTCGGTTTTCTCTAACGGTCTCTGCTAGCTTGCATCGTAGAACTCTTAAAAGCCAAAAAGACGTCTTTCCTGGATGCTCACTGCTAGCCATCCCATAATTTTATAGCGTTTCCTAATGGTCACTGCTAGCTAGCTAACTAAAAGGTCACCAAAATTCCTAAAACCTACTTTTCTAATGAATCTCCGCTAGCTTGCATAAAGCCGCCGTCATCTAGCAGTCCGGCTCGGTTCGGTCTCGAAAAGGATTGCTGCTGGGTTTCTTCTAGCCTGCCGCGAATAGAATTTGCTCAAATTCTCGCTGCTAGCTTACCTAGAGCAAATGTTTTGCAAAGTACCACTACATTTTCTGAGTTTGTCAATAAACCAAGCGCGATTGCCCGAACCTACGTGGCTTCTTAAAAGATCCCTGTTATCTCTCTCTCTCGCACTCTCTCTCTCTCTCTCTCTCTCTCTCTTCCAAATTCCCGAACACCTCGCTGATTTCTGCTCGCTTACCTGGTGTTTTATCTCTTCCGAAATGGTCGCTGTTCGTTCCCTCGCCTTCCGAAATGGCCTCCACCAGCTTGCCCCTAGTATTGCACCTAGGTACTTCAGACCGGTCCCCTCGAATTTTATCGCCTTACGTCGCCACCCACAATTTGGGGGTGTCGCACAAAAATGGACAGAGCGACAAACTGGCAGATTGACTAACAGACTGATAGAATGGCACAGAAACGGCTCATTTCGCAAGGGGAAATTGACCGTGAAATCGGGAGGTGCCACCTGGGGGCAATTTACTGTCGTATGGACTGACAAAAAGACCGGCAGACAAACAGAAAGTGCAGACAGACTGAAAACTCAACCTGGTAGAAGCCACGCCTCTAGATGCCCTCAGGCTGTTGGCAGTCTCACCCAAGACCGGAACCCCCCACTTGTGACATTTTGAGGCGTTTTATTGTTTCTCCGAATTGCTGTGCCTGTCTGGCTTCCGGGGGCTACTGTAGAATTTCCGCAAAGCGCCATTGCTAGCTTGCCTTTGGAGTTATTCTCGATTTTCTCGAATCTATGCTCTGCTGTGCCAATTTCTCAAGGAGTCTCGGCTAGCGCGCCATCCTGGTTTCCCGTTCCTCAAGTTTCTCTGCTAGCTTGTCCTCTTGAAAAGCACTGCTTATTTCTCCAGGAACCGCTGCTAGCCTGCCGGCTGGGTCTGCTTTCCCCAAGCGACACTGCTAGTTTTCCTAGTCCGATTCCCCAAGGTTCTCTGCTAGCTTCCCTGTGTCAAAAGCGCTTTCGGTGGCTAAAGAATCTCTGCTAGACCTTCCGTTTTCCTTAACTTGATCGATGCTAGCCTGCGCCTATACCATGTTAGTAGCTTTTTTAGATGTCTCGCTTTGTCGCTCTCTCTCTCTCTCTCTCTCTCTCTCTCTCTATCTCTCTCTCTGTATGTGGTTTCATTCAAGGGTATCCAACCCATTCAGCTTCTCCCCCACCCCCATTTGAATATAAAAGGTGCCCTGGGGGTACGCGACACGACTGTGACTTGCTACTATGGATACGAGATTGGCATGGTGGAGGGGGGATGTTACAGGTGTTGCTTTTTTCGAGCCGGGGTGTGGCAGGGATTCTTGAGGAATTGAGGGATTGGGGCAGCCTAGCAGGGATTCTTTGGGAAATGTTGGAACCTAAAGGCAATAGCGGAGAAGCTTGAGGAAGACAGGACTAGCAGAGACGATTCGGATTGTTATTTGGTTTTTTCGGGGTGAGATAATCACTAGCAGGGATTTTTCAGGAAAAAGGCGATAGGGCGAGCTGCCAGAGACTCTTTAAGAATTTTCCAATGAGTTTTTAAGCAGGTAGGCTAGCAGTGTTTCTTTCGGCACCACGTAGTCTGTTTTTCTGGACTAGACAGGCTAGCAGATATTTTTCAGGAAGCGGGCGCTAGGTAGGGCAATCTAGCAGATAACTTTTGAGAATTTCGGGCTCTTGTTTTCGTGGTTAAGGCAATCTAGCTGTGACTTTTAGGGAATAGAAAGGCTAGGCAAGCTAGTCGCGTTTTTGTAGCTAGTTTGTTGTATCCGGAGGTCAGGCCAGCTAGCAGAGAACCTGGAAAATATGGCGATCTCGTTTTCCTTGAGTGGGGCCAGCTAGCAATTATTTTTGAGGAATACTGAGGCCGGGCAACCTAGCAAACTTCATTTCGGAAAGGGAAAACTGGCGGCGCTTCTTTGGGATTCTCTGGTTTCGCGGCAGCAAGGCAAGCTAGCAGAGTTTCTTGAGGAAACAAATGCCTGCTTTTCTCACTTCAGGCGAGCTAGCAGTGATTTTTTCGGACTACAGAAAACAGGGCAAGCTAGCAAACGTCCTTTACCACCTCCTGGCTCCCATCCAAGCCCTGAATGCCCTGCCAACACATAGTGAAAGGGTTTCGAGCCACAGCACCCAGCCCGGCGCTCCTGAGAGCGCCTGGATATGCCCTGGGGCAACTGGTCATCGTATTTGCATGCTTCTCCTCCTTGTTTCTCTCTCTCTCTCTCTCTCTCTCTCTCTCTCTCTCGCCTCCAATGTCGACACTTTCGCCTTCTTTCTTCTTCTGCCTCCGATGCATTGCTCCTGTTTCCTTCCGCTTCTTCAGCGGCTTCTTGTAGTTGTACGAATTCCGGGGGGTTGCCGTTTTCCGCAAGGATCTCTGCTAGCTTGCCCTGTCAGCTTTCTCTAAGGGACTCTGTTAGCTTGTCTCCAAATAACCTTTGGCATTCCACAAATGGTCACTGCTAGCTGGCCCGGTTGTCCTCAATGGTTGCTGCTATCTTGCCTCGAAACACAAAGTCTTTAATGTTCTCTCTATATCTCGCTCTCTCTCTCTCCCTCTCTCCCTCTTTCTCTCTCTCTCTCTCTCTCTCTCTCTCTCTATCTCTGTCTGTGCCTCTCTCTTTCCCTAAATATCTGCTAGCCTGTTCGGTTCTGGACTGTTAGCGGGGGAGTACAATTTTTCCTGTTTTTCCTCAGAGTCTCCGCTCGTTTGCCCTATCTAATTTTCCAATTTTCAGCAATGGCTGGCCACCGGATACGGGCCCTCCTCGTCCCGCTCGGCATTTTGATGATCGCCAACTCGGCGACAGCCTGCATTTGCCTGCCACAACTCTCCCTCCCGCCTCTACCACTTTTCGGTTAGTTTTTTTTTGCATTTTTGGGGCGGGCTAGCAGGGATTATTTGGGGAATTCGGGTGCAGTTTTGAGCGCAGATTCAAAATAGATTGATGAGAAGCACTCGCTCTGGCAAACTAACACGAAAAATGGCCTCATAGTACGAAACGCGCCTGTGAACGACGCGAACACTTCTCATCAATTTATGAAAATATTCTAAGCTTAAAAAAATTATTCTGTGGCGTATTCCGACGTAGTTTTGTGCGTATATTCAGAAAATCATAGGCAGAAGCATTCGCCCTGGAGTTTTCAGGCTTAAATTCGATTAACTCCAAAAACGCTTTCTAAATCTTCGTTTTCAGGCGGCTCCTCATGCTGTCCGCCACCTCCAGCTCCGAGCTGCTGTGGAGGCGCTGCGCCGCCGCCATGTGGAGGTACCGTTTTTGAGGCAGGCTAGCAGAGGCTTTTTGAAGAATTTGGGGGAGACTAGCAGAGAATTCTTAACAAAATTGATAATTTCTATTTTTCAGGTCTTCTCGGCGGAGGCTGTGGTGGAGGTGCTGCTCCTCCTCCTCCTCCCCCACCTCCACTTCAATCATATGGCCAACTAGGGGGCTACGTTCCGCCGCCACCACCGCCGAACCCGGTCCAATTTCCGCAACAACCGCTGCTCTCCAATATGGTCAGTTTTGTGTGTTGTGGATTTTTGGCTTCAATGGCCCTTTAAAATAGACTACGGAACTGGTAGAGGGCCTTTAGGATGTTTTGTAGGTCTTTAGAAGTTGTGGATAATCGATTACGACCTGTAACTTAGTGCCTGATGGACTCAAAGAATCACTGCTAGCCCTCCTAGAACTTTTGCTAACTTTCGGGGTTTTTTTTGGGCGTTTTAAGGGCATTACGGCATGAGATCGGAGCGTGAAACTAGCAAAGAAAGGCTACTAGCCTGCCCAGTAACCGTTTTGCGTTCTCTTCGACTGCTTTTGAATATAATCCGCCTTTTTAAAGGACCTGTGAAGTCTAGAATAATCAATTACGGCATATATTTATTGACTGTTTTTATTTCAGAATCCGCTATACGCCACGGGCGGCGGTGGAGGCGGTGGCTTCAACCAGGGCCCTACCCAGACAATGGTCGCGTCGTCCCAGTTCGTCTCGCAGAATCGTCCGGAAACGTCTGGTACGTCGTTTGAACGATTTTCAAGGACTGCTGAAGTCCCAATTTTTATGGATTTTATGGAGCGTTTTTAATCGGGTTTTTTTGCAGACCTCGGCTCGAACGGCTTCACCGGCACGGGGACGAACAACTACGGCAGCACGGGGGTGAGGATTTGTTGGATAGAATTTATCTCTCTCTGTCTCGCTTTCTCTCTCTCTGTCCCTCTCTCCGTCTCGCTCTTTCTCTCTCTCTCTCTCTCTCTCTCTCTCTCTCTCTCTCTCGTTCCCGAAAAATCTCGGTAGCCTGCTCTACCTTCATTTTTCAGCGCCAACCCGAGGTGGCCGACGGCGGCGACGAGTACGACGATGTGGATGAAGGATCTACCCCGGGTACGGTAGCCGGAAATGCCGGCCGAGAGGGCATTGATAAGGTGTCGCTTTCCTCAAAGCTCCCTGCTAACCTGCCAGTAGGAGGTCTCCGAATATGAGGATGTCGAGAGCGAGGTCGTCCAGCCGATCGCTCCCAGCACTACCGGAGGCTCCTCTGCACAGGCCAAGCCACAGACTTCAGAGTACACCGAGAGTGGGTTATTTGGGTTTAGGGGGGCCTTTAAAGGGTTTGTTTAAAAGTTTGATGATTTTAATCCTCCTTTGAAATTTTTTTGGGTGTTCAAAAATAATTTTAAACCATTTCTAGCTTCAATGTAAAAAGCCCTGTAGATGAAAAAAATGCTGAAAATTTTTTTTTGCATTTTTCTAATAGAATTTCGAATTTTTCTGACCTAACCTGACTTTCCTTGAAAACATTCCAATTCCGCTAAAAACCCTACTTTAAATTTTGCAATTGTCATTTTTCCCTACGTCTAGAAATTTTTAGAATTTTTTTTGTGGCTTAATGTTCCTTTAAAAAATCCAAATGTCATTCAAGTCCAACCTTATTTTGTAAATGGCATTTGCCCCTTTTTCTAGGACTTTTTAGAATTTTTTCTGACTTTAATGCGCCTTTAAAACATCTCAATTTTTCTAAAAATCCTTCCTTATGTGTTGCAACTATAATTTTGTGTTTTTTCAGGCGTCCACACGCCTACAAATGCGATCAACCCTCCTACTGGGGAAACGGCAAATTATGGACAGCCCAAATCAACTGCCGGGAATACGGTAGACGACTACGGGGATGAAGAGGATCAGCTGGCGACTACGGTACGAATTTTCCCAATTCTTAAATGGTCTCTGCTAGCTTGCCCGATATTTTTGGCGTCTGGCAAGCTAGCAGAGGCCATTTGGGACAATTTTCTGGCCTTAGAGCTCCTTTAGAATAATTTTTTAGCAACGCCCCGCTCCCGCCGAGGTGCCCTACAGTATCCCGTCATCGCGCGAAAATCAGCGACCGGCTGAGGAGGTGCCCTATCAACTGCCGAGGGGAGGAAGCCAGGAGGTACTGTATTTTCCAGAATTCCGCAAGGAATCTCTGCTAGCCTGCCCCTCCAACTTCTCAAAGAATCTCTGCTAGCCTGCCCCTCCACTTCCTCAAGGATCTCTGCAAATTTGCCCATTTCCAGATCCCGGAACTCATCACTCCGTCTCCATCCGGGTCCTACAACGGCCCCTCCTACAGTACCCCGGCTTCACCAGCTCCTGGAGGTGATCAAGGAGAAGATGGATACAGCGAAGGCGACGAGAAGGAGGCCGAGCTCCCGAATGCTCTCCAGTACAAGCCCACCCCATCTACCGTACCCCAGCCAGGCGGCGGAAACTCGGATTACGAAGAGCTCCCCGATGCACCGGCTGAGGTACTGTAATTTGTATTTATTTTTCCTAAAACACCGCTGCTAGCTACCCGGTTCTTTCGCATTATCGGGGGGGAGAGCATTTTTTTAATTGTTCCCCGATGTTTTTTTTTTTTTAAAAATTTTAAAAAATTTTTTTTTTTTTTTCTTTTTTTTTAAATTTTTTATTTTTTTTTAAAAAATTAAAAAAAAAAAAAAAAAAAAAAAAAAAAAAAAAAAAAAAAAAAAAAAAAAAAAAAAAAAAAAAAAAAAAAAAAATTTTATAAAAATTAATTTTTAAAAAAAATTTTTTTTTTTTTAAAATTTTAAAAAAAAAAAAAAAAAAAAAAAAATAAAAAAAAATAAAAAAAAAAAAATATTTCTAAAAAAAAAATAAAATTAAATTTAAATATCCAATTTTTATTTCTTATAAATAATTTTTATTTTTAAAAAATTTAAAAAAAAAAAAACAAAACAAAATTTTTTTTATAAAAAAAAAAATTTTTAATTTTAATTTTTAACGGCCGTTTTTTGGTAAAAAAAACGGATTTTTTGTATTTTTTAATAATAATTTGCAAAGATTTTGAATTTAGGAATAGTAAAAAACGGTTTAGCAACACTTACGCAATCTATATTTCAGAAATTGGTTGCTAAGAAAAATGTCTTCCCCCCCCCCCGATAATACGAAAGAACCGCCTTCCCATTTTCTTTAAAAGGCGTCAAAGATCTCTGCTCGTTTGCCCGAATTTCCGCAAGAATCTCTGCTAGCCTCTAATCTCTAGAATAATTTAAATTTAATTTAAATGAATTTAACTTTCAGGTCCCCGTTTCCGGCGGCTACAACGGAGGCCAACCCGCCCCGACCATGATCCCGCTACCGTACCACCCGGCCCCCACGGCTGCCCCGGTGCCCTACGGCGCCGGCCGAGAAATTGGAGGTGTTCAGGAGGGTTACGGTAACGGAAATTCCGGTAACTCCGGACCGGCTCAACCGGTTATCACATCCAATTCCGGTAGTTACGGAAATGGCCAAAGTACGGCCGGCCAATCGATTACGCCATCAAATTCCGGCAGCTACGGAAATGGGCAAAACACTAATTCAAACACTGGCTACCCCTCGGCCGGCCAACCGGTTACGACAGGAAATTCCGGAAACTACGGAAGTGGCCAAAATACGGGTTATCCGTCCGCGGGCCAACCGGTTACGACAGGAAATACCGGAAGTTACGGAAGTGGCCAAAATACGGGATATCCGTCCACCGGACAATCGGTTACGACAGGAAATTCCGGAAGTTACGGTAGCACGCAAAATACGGGATATCCGTCCGCCGGACAACCGATTACGACAGGAAACTCCGGAAACTACGGAACTGGCCAAATTACGGCTGGCCAATCGCTTACCCCGTCAAATTCCGGAGGCTATCAGGTGTCGGGTGGAAACTCTGGAAATGAGTACGCCGGGCAACCGATTACGTCAGTAAATTCCGGAAATGGCCCGGCTACAAACTCGAATACCGGCTACCCCTCGAGCCAACCAATCACGACATCAAATTCCGGGTCTCAAGGCTATGAAAATGGCCAAAATTCTGGAAAGCAACCGGATGACGGTTTGGCCGGAATTCTGACGGATTATGGTGATTCCGGGGAGTACGGTACCCCGGGAGGCCACGCCCCCTTGGCCCCGCTGGCCCCTCCGATGGCCCACGTGGGGCCGATGGGCGTGCCGGCCGGGTATCCGGCTCCGGTTGATGCGGGATACGGTAGACAGGCTCCGGGAGGGCAGACCACAGACTACAACCCTGCGCCATCCTCTGGCGGCCAATCTGGACCTCAAACTACAGACTACAACTCTGGAAATGACAAAAATGACCGAAACGGACCCCAAACTACAGACTACAACTCTGGAAATGGTCAAAACGGAGGCCAGACTACAGACTACAACCCTGCTCCAGCCTCTGGCGGCCAAACCGGACCTCAAACTACAGACTACAACGCTGGAAATGGCCCCTCTGCGCCCCAAACTACAGACTACAACCCTCAAAATGGCGGCCAGACTACAAACTACAACCCGGCTCCCCAACCTACAGACTACAACACCGGAAATGGGCAGCAAACGGGTGGCCAGGCTACAGACTACAACCCCGCCCCGCCACAGACCACAGAACCCCCGAGGTTGGCGTATACCGATGACCCTTATGCAAAGTCGGTGACGGACGCCCCAGTGCAGCAACAGACTGTGGCGCTGCCTGGAGAGTTGCAGACGGAAGGTGAGGTTTTTTGGGTTAGCTAATCCTTTAAAAAAAGTATTTTTTTTGGCTTTAAGGGTCCTTTAACTATTTTCTGACTTCGGAGGTCCTTTAAAACGTATTTTTTTGCTTCAGTAGTTCTGGAATTTTCTCGCTTCAGTAGCCTTTTAAAAAGGATTTTTCCGCTTTGGTAAACGTTTAAAAATGTTTAAGCTATCGTAAACGTTTTATTTCATTTTGCTTTCTTTGGATCCCTAAAATTAGCTTCAAATTTTTCGTTGCCTTCCATGGTCCTTTAAAATCTAAGTTTTCAGCCCCTCGACCGTCTACAGAAGACGCGTACGCAAAGATTGTCACGGAGGCTACGACGACGCAAGGTAATTTTTTTTGCGATGTGGGCCAGCGGGCAGTGTTTGTTGGGGATTTCGACCTTGGCAAATTTTCCTGAAGCCTCTCTGCTAGCTTGCCTAATTCTCTTTTTTTTCAGGTTACGCGGAAACGCCCGCCCCCACTGAAGATCCGTACGCCAAGATCGTTACGGTCGCGTCAACGCCGTACGCTCACGTAGCCACCGCCGGGACTACGGTAGGTGTTTTCGTGGCGTAGTCGGTTGTCGTGTATTATTGTATTGGTGTGTAGTCGCAATTAACGTACCCATTTCAGGCCCCACCCGCTCCGCTACCCGCCGATCCGTACGCCGCCATCGTCACCGAAGCCCCGCCCCCTCCCGCCGCTACGCAGGGCTACGTCGCCGAACGGCCGTCCGGCGATCTGGCCAGCTCGGGATACGATCGGAATGACATGATTCCGATCGAATACCCCAAGCCGGTTAAGGTATCGATTTTTCGGGGGATTTGGGGGGATTTAAATGGTCTAATCGGTTACGCTAGGAAAATCGGTTTTTGCTAAATTCCCGGATTTTCTATATCAATACGGTTTCGTATGGGAATTAGCGACATTTTTTAATTTAAATTACCAAGATAAGATATTGCGACATCAAAACTAAAATTTCTAAAAAATACAATTCTTAAAAATATTTTTTTTCACAAAATATAAAAAGTACCATTGACTTTTTCTGATTAAATTATAATTTTTTTGTAAATAACTAATGAATATTTCAGGTGGACGCCAATCTGGCGAAAGAGGCCGCGAAACTCGGCTACCGTAGGCGGTGAAAAAATTAAAAAATTGAAATTAAAAGGTTCTGAATTTTACTAACCACGCTCCCTTATAGCTCAAATAGCTCAAAATTTGTATTAAAAAATGATAATTAATACCGTATCATTATACCGTATCCCATTTCTCAATTTTCCTCCCCCAACTTGCTCAAGGACTTGATTAAATTTTTAAATAATTTTTTAACCATTAAAATTCGTGTTTCTATCCCTTGTGAAGATTCTGTGATCACGTGCAATCCAGTACCTCTCTTTATTAATTTATTCGTATTTTAAGGTATTTTTAATTTATTGAAAAATGCAGTCTACTTCGTTCAAGTTATTAAAACGTCAATGAAATAATAAAACTATGCAAATTTTATGAAATGCGGTAACACTTCGAAAAAATCAGACAAACGACAAAACTGCAAAAATACATTTTAAAGAGAAAGAAATCTATTTGAGAATCGATTACGCGACGTATCTTTAAGTTGTGAACTCCTTTAAGCCACCAAAACGTCTGTTTAATAATAATAATAAAATTATACAAATTTTATAAAAGACTGTAGCACTGAGAATAGGACAGCAAGACAACAAACCTGGTAGATGGACTAAAATAATTTTTTCGGTTTTTCTTTATGATTTATATAAATATGGATATTGCTAGTATTCTTTATTGTTTGATTTTATAGACTCGAAAAATTAGCTATAAACCTCCTATTTATGCGCGATTTGTCCATCAGATATCTACTGAGACCTGCCGCCTCCGATTTAGCGCGGTTTCTAAAATTTTGAGATTTATCCGGATCTTACTGTAACTTCTATTTCTCATCTGATTGTTCCTCGATTTTTTGTTTTCCATTTTTCGCAAATTCCAATGCGCTATTTTAAGTTTTTTTTTGCAGGTATCAAGTGGTCAGGTCCTCGCAAATGGTCTCTGCTAGCTTGCCCGCCCACCGGCGACTTCCTCAAGAATCTCTGCTAGCCTGCCCGGGCTCTGGAATTCGCGATTTTGAGGAAGTTATAGGTATTTCACGATTTTCATCGCGTGACGCATTTATTCTAGGTATTCTACTTCCTCAAGGACCCCTGCTATCCTACCCGGTTTCCTCAAGGATCCCTGCTAGCCTGCCCGGGCCAATTTTCGACGATAATCTAAAGGTATTTCATTGGTTTCATGTCGTAATCGATTATTCTAGGCATTTTCCTGCCGGGGAAGAACCGTCAGATGAATCGCCACTTCCGCAAATGGCCCTGCCACAACAAACCAACCACCCCAGAAGCCCCAACCCCAACAAAAAAAAAAAAAAACAAAAACCAAAAAAAAAAAAAAAAAAATAAACAAACAAAAAAAAAGAAAAAAAAGAAGAAACCAAAAAACCAAAACACCATCACCCACCACCAACCACCAAAACAACTCAAAGAAAAAAAAAGAAAACAACCCCCACCAAACCAAACACACCGACAGTAAACCCCACCCCAAAGGACACGGACACGGACCCACCAGCCGAACCGCGACCCCCCCACCACACCAACCCGCAACCACCGACAACCCAAAAACCAAAAATAACAACCCCAACCCCCAACAACAAAACACCGACAAAACCAAAGCCGGAAACAACCCACAACACCCACCCCCACCCCACACACCCAAAAAAAAGACCACCATCCAACAAAAAAAAAACAAAAAAGAAAAAAAAACACAAGAGAAAGAAAAAAGGAAGAAAGTAAGGAAAAAAAGGGACCCAGTTTCTCCCAAGGAAAATCCCAAAACCCCCACACGGCTAAAACCAGGGAAAAGAAACAGGGAAACAGAAGAAGAGGGAAGGGGGCAAAAAAAAGGAAAAGGCTCCCCCTGCTCGCATGCTCTACTCGAATCAATCGATTTTGGTGGATTGATGGGAAGGGAAGCGAAGCAGTGAGATACCTTGGGGAATCGATTTTTAATTTTTGGGGTTATTGAGGATTTTTGGGGTTCTGGGGGGTTACGGTAGTGGGTTTTCGGGTTTGCATTTAGGTTTGCTGCATTTTGTGTCTAACGGGATGTGGGATTCAAAAAAAATTAGTAGAAACAAAAATTGAGTCACGGTATTTTGGGCAGTACAGTATTTATGAGAACTTTTAAAATATATTAAAAGGCTACAAAAAGGTATAAAAATTCTGGGTTTTGTTGTACCCTACTTGACTGGGGGTTACGGTAAGCGCCGCTGGACTTTTTTTGCGCGCGTTTTTCGGGGCTGGGCTACGTTATTTTTGCACTCATTTTTTTACTTTTAACGACCACTAGCTAAGGATTTTCCGATTTTCCGTCGCTTGCGTAACTTCTAATCGATTACGCAACTTAATTCATCTCAGGATTCCGCAATTATTTCCCTTTTGCCTCGACTTATTTCCACGCGGCGTCTGACTGATTACACTAGCTTATTGAGCTCTTTCATGATTTTCACGTCGTAATGGCTTTATTAGGTTTGGACTCGGGGCCGGGGGTACGTAGCAGAGATCATTTAGTGGTAGGGGGCAGCGCCGGATGGGGCAGCCGGGGCCTGATATCCCACCACCTCCGACTTGACCGACACTTCCGGGGCCACGGGAAGGGCATTGTAGGCCGGGCCGTGCGTGCGCATTCCTATAATTTGGATCGATTACGTATTTTAATTCATTGCATTACAGGTGATTTTCGAAAAAATCTGCGAAACGCAGCTTACAACGGCGGATTGTAATTAGCGACGTAATCGATTACGCCATTTAAATGGTGACACATGACTGCGAATAGATTACGATATGTCATTTTCAAGAAATCTACCAATTCTAGGCATGCAGCGTACAAAGGCGCGTAAAGAGGTGTGGAACGGAAAGTTCCATTTTCCATTTCTGCTGCCACCAGCTAACAATAGCAATTTGGAGGCTTCTCCCTCAATGGTACTAGTACTTTCCCTCAAGCTATTTTTCGCTCTCAAGACAAGGTCACCAGGCTCTTCTTTTCGTTTTCCGGTCCCTTTAATAGTCGCATTCTGGGCTAAAAACTACATTCTAGTGTACACTAGTTTCCAGATTCAAGCTAAGATACTTAGAATAATTTTTGACAATTTTTTGAGGTCAAGTGGGCTCAAAAGTTATTGATTTTTACTTCCGGTCTCCTTAATTTTTCGATCCCTATTTTCCTTCCTTTAAACCCCACCATTGACAACCATGAGGGTGAAGGGGCGCCCGTCTCGAAGTGGGGCATTGTCGATCGGCATGAAGAACCTGGAAAACCGGCCAATTTTGGGGGAGAAGCCGGAAAGGACCGGCCGAAAAACAGGACTGATAGCCACTCCCGTAGGCTGAAATCAGGGGAACCCGTTTCAACGAATTCACGAGGGGTCAGAAGTACGCGCGGGCTTCCTTCCTGGTTTCTTTTCATGGAGATGGTGATGCGTTTTTAAGGATTCCTGGGTTTGATGGGTTGTAAAGGGATGGTGACACTTGAAATTCCATTGCGATACGTAATTTTCCCAAAATTTTTGGGGCCCTTTTGCGCGAATTTTGTAGTGTTCAAGTCGTAGATCGCTAAATTGAGGGTGCACATTAACTTCGAAGTTTGGAAAGCATGAAAATCCGAATTTTGGGCGTTTTGGCTATTCGATTACGCTATGAAAATACGAAACGGTTTTTTAATCGGGGTTAGTGAATTTTTGGGCTTTTTAAAAATATTGGGCGCTGGATGCAGCTCCAGAATCGTTTTCGAACTTAAAAAATCGAAAAAATTAGACCGTTTTGGCTATTCGATGGCGCTATGAAGATAGAAAATGCTTTTTAAATGCACTTTTTAGTGAATTTTTAGGCTTTTTCGAGATGCAGCGCGCTGAATTGGGCTTCAGGATCGATTTTCTACCTATAAAAAGCGCAAAAAACTTAGCTTTTAGACGGTTGTTGGCTATTCAATTACGCGATGAAAGTCGTCTCGTTTTTTGTAGATTTTTAAGGCTGAGTTTGGGCTTTTAAAAGGTGCATTTTACTGAATTTGTAACAGACCTAGGCCATGAGTGCATTTTAAAGCAATCAATTAGGCCATTAAATCGGCTTACCCGTTCGGCTTCTGATTCGGCTCGGATGGGTTGGCGGAGAAGCCGGGCGGCAAAACGGAGGCCTGACCGGTGGTGTCGGGGTTTTGGATGACGTACAGGGGGTGTTGCTGAATTTGGAGGTTATAGCTAGCAGAAACAATTTGCGGAAATCTCGAATTCCTCAAAGATCTCTGCTAGCTCACCTCATTGCCTCCCATCCTGGTGAACTGTCCCTCGTTCATCGGCGGAATGTCGGCCGGGTTGTTGACGTAGTCGGCGGGGGCGGCGACTGGGGTGAGGAGGTATCCAGTAAGGCGACCCTGGAAATTTGGATTTTAAAGAGACGGACAAGGCACGGCTGGGATTTTGGCATACTAGGAAATTTTTGCCGCGAAACGCAACGCATCAGCGACACGCAACACGCTATCAGCACGCAACAGCCGCAACACGCAATGGGCTAGCGACGCTCGCCTCGACGTGTCTCGAGGGGCTCCAGATTTTACGCCTTTAAAGGCCGATTGAAGTCTAGCGTACCTGTTGCTCCTGTTGCTGGGGTTGCTGCTGTTGTTGGATTTGCTGCTGGAATTGGGGCTGCTGCGGAACCTGTTGCTGTTGCGGCTGCTGATAGCTCTGAACCGGCTGCTGTTGTTGCTGGATCTGTTGTTGGAATTGGGGCTGGGGGAACTGTTGTTGTTGTTGGATGTACTGGGGCTGCTGCTGGGGTTGTTGAGGAATATATTGCTGCTGCTGGGGTGGCTGCGGGGCGAAGGCTTGCTGGTATTCTAAAAATCAAGTTTCTGCGGGCAGGCTAGCAGAGATTCTTTGCGAAAATCTTTTGGCTAGGCAGGCTAGCAGAAACAATTGGGGAAGTCCTTTTTGGGCGACTAGGCTAGCAGAAACAATTTAGGAACACCTTAAGCTAGGGCGAGCTAGCAGTGATTCTTTGGGGAACTTTGGCTTAGGCAGGCTAGCAGAAACAATTTTGGAAAATATCTTTTTAAGGTGAGCTAGCTGGGATTCTTTTGGGGAAAATCTGGCCTTGGTGGGCCGAGGCAGGCTAGCAGAGGAAAGTTTCGGATCGAAGTTTTTATTTGCCCTGAGCAGAGATTCTTTAAGGAAATCGCTCTTCTCTAGGCCTGGACAGCATAGCAGAGACATTTGGAGACCCAAATTTCATGCATTTAAGGCAGGCTAGCAGAGATTCTTTGAGAAATTAGCCACAAACTTACGAGCAAGGGCCTGAGCAACAAAAACAGCAGAAATTACTGTCCGGAGCAGCATTCTAACGATTTTTCGAGTTCAAGGAGTACGGTAGCTAGCGGAATCCGGTGGTGTCAAGTGGAGCCTCGCGTAGTCGGGCAGTGAATTCGATCTTTTCTTGCTATAGGGTTCGAGACTGACCATCAGCAGCTAGCTGGAGATCCCGCCCCTTTGGGGAGTCTCCTTTGATTTCACTTTCCGCAATATTCCCCCACATTTCTTGAGCATGAGGAGCAGCATTCAAAGAGACTCTCTCTCTCGTTCTCGCTCTCTCTCTCGCTCTCCCGCTCCCTCTGAAGTGGAAATCTCGCGCAACCTCCCTTGAGAAAACCCGATCCCACAAACAGGAAAATTTTGTGTGATTTGCGGTCAAGAAAATAGCGAGGGCAGGCTAGGAGGGATTCTTTAGGAATGTCGTGGCTAGGTAGCGGACATTATTTGGGATCGGCTAGGGTCGGTAAGGCTAACCAGCAGAGATCTTGGAGATGGCCAGGGCAAACTAGCAGAGACTCTTGAGAAATTTCTGGGGGGGGGTCAGACGCTGTGACAGCAGGTATCTGAGCTAACTTTTTGTGTGTTGCCCAGAGCGAGCGCTTCTAACTATGATTTTCTGAATCTACGCACAAAACTGCGTCGGAGTGCGCTTCAGAATATTTTTTGTAAAATTAGATATTTCTATAAATCTCTCTATGGCAGTTTTGATGCTTTTAGGGCACTTCCGGGCCGCTGTTTCGAAAGAAATCGCTAAAGCTGGCCGTAGCGAATTGTGCCATTCTATTTTCGAGTTCGAAAGTGAAAGCGCAACAAAAATAGTGCCGAAAACAGTTTCGGCTGAAACCCGAGAGGCTCTGCTTTGATTTATATGATTTTTTGAAGTGTTGACTATGACCCCCTGGCGGCCTTCTACCTTTCCAGGGCTATTTGAAGGCGATCGGGCTTTTTCAACACGTCATTCAATTTGCATCTGAAGAGCATCAAAAATAGTGCCGAAAACAGTTTCGACTGAAACCCGAGAGGCCCTGGTGTGGTTGCTAGGATTTTTTGAAGTTTTGAGTTTTCGTGTTTTCCAAGCAAAGGGGGGACCAATCGGATTTTTTTGGAATTTTGCCATAAAAATTTCGTAGGATACGGCCGTAGCGGATTGTGCCGTTCGAAAAAGCCCCAAAAATATAGTCTCGAAAAACGTTTGGTCCAAAGCCCTAGCGGACCTGCTGTAGTTTGTAGTTGCTAGAATTTTTTGAAGTCTTGACTTTGGTGTGCTTTTGGAGTAAAGGGGGGACCACATGAATTTTTCGCTATTTCGCCGCAAAATCGAAAGATTCCCCCGTAGCGAATTGTACAATTCGAAAGAGCATCAAAAATAGTCCCTAAAAACGTTCGGCCCAAAGCCCTGAAGGCCCTGGTGTAGTTGCTAGGATTTTTTTTTGAAGTATTGTCGTTTGGGGTTTTTGTAGTTGCTACCCCCGCAGCTCCGCATAATAAATATCTTTATTTCTCTAGATCTCTCATATATCTTTTTTTTCACTCTTTCTCACATTCGGTAGATCACAACAAATAGGCAAATCAATAAATTAAAACTTCAATAAATTATGAATTTTTGAAAAAAATATTTTCGGGCCCGTTTTTGGTAGTTTTCGGGGGGAACACAGTAGTAGGAGGAGGTCTGATAGGGGTATGGTAATCTCATAAAAGTTTAGTTTTGAGGGTATTTTTAGGAAATTTGGACTTGGGCAGGCTAGCAGAGACGATTGAGGAAAAGAGCGGGGCTGGATTTCCACTTCGGTGGGCCGTTAAAGCCTTGAAGGCAGAAAACCACGAATTTCCTCTGTTTTCTCTTCCCTCTCTCGATTTTCCGCACTCTCTCTCTCTCTCGCCGCCTCTCTAGTACTGGTAGCAGATCTTGTATCCACAAGTCGTCATGCAGCACGACGGCTGCTGCGTGTTCTCGCGTCCCAGGCAATCCGAGTCCGTGTTGCACGCGTCGGCGTGGGCGAACAGGCAGTTCAGCCCGGTGTTCGCGTCAGCCGGGCAGCTCGGCGTGCCGGTGATACCTTAAATGGATAGAGCATTAAAAATTATACTATGCACAATTTAAAAAAATCTTTTTTCCAAAAGGCAAAAATTTTTGACTTCGGGCGAGATCGAGCCCCTCAGACCGCCAAAACTATTGGATCAATCGATTAGGGCATGAAATGAGGGCAGGGCAAATTACTTACCGCTACTTCCACAGGTCGCCTGGCAGCTGGCCAACGACTGGAAGTTGTTCGCATTTCCTCCACAGCCAGAATACATGAATTGGGTGCATCTAGAAATCGAAAATTGAATTCTTAATTTGGAAATTTTAATTTTTAAATGTTTAAATTTTAAAGGGATGATGACACCAGAAAGCCGTCAGAAAATAAATTTGGACATTCCAAATTCGCATAAAAATCTGATGAAATTGGAGTTTAAAGGACCACTAAAGTCACACGAACCTTCCCGCCCCGGCGTCGTAGTAGTAGCGGACGGTGGGCGCGGTGCACGAGCCGACGGCGAGGGGTTGATTGCAGATGGAACTGCCTGAAGCTGTTAGCAGGGATTAGAGGGGAATTATAAAATAGTTAGAAGAATATAGGCTACAGAATACAAACTACACTACAGACTACGGAAAACCACAAACTACAAATTTCCCAAAAAACGCTCCGCTACGCAGAGTACGATACGTACTATGTAGAATACAATGTAGAGTACGCTATGCTACGATAAAATACGGAGGACGTCGAGTACGTTAAGTTACGATAGAGTACCCTATGCTACGCATAGTACGGTATGGCGCGCTATGATAGATTAAAGAAAGACTACGCTGAGTACGCTCAGTTACGCTAGAGTACGCCACGCCACGTTTGTGTACGCCTGTGTAGGACAGAGTACGCTAGGCTACGGTAGAATACTCAAGAGGACGCTGCGCTACGGTACTGCTGAAAAGTTAGAAGCTTCGTAGCCCAAAAGTTGGCAAAAAAGAGATATAGTGAAAGTTGACGATGCGAAAAAGTAAAAATATAAACTGTAAAGTACGTTCTGCTACGCTTACTACGGTAAAAGAAGCTAGAAGCTCTAAACGCAAGCGAATAGAAAGAGGCAGCCGGAAATAAGGCGAAATTTCTAAGCTAAAAAGCACATCATTTCGATAGATACGCAGAGAAGTATCCGGCCCCCACGGCATACGCACCGAACTCACTGCTGATGCCGACCGGGTCTCGGCAAATTCGCGTCGCCGAATTTGTCACCGGGTTCGGCTCGACGCAACACTTCTGGATACCCGGACAGTTGGCGTCCAGCCAGCAGCCAATCGTCGTGTCCTAAATGGTCACTGCTGGTTGCCGATTGGTTTCTGTCTCCTCTCCTTTTTGGTGGTTGGTTTCCTCTCTTTTCTCTCTCTCCCTCTCTCTCTCGCTCTCTCTCTTTCTCTCTCACTTTCTCTCTCGCTCTCTCCCTCCCAAATGTTCTCTGCTGGCTGACCTGTAGAACTGAGATTCCAAGAGGACGGGGGCAGCTTCCAGATTTTGCGTTGATCTCAGAGGCAGGGATTCCTGAAAAAACGATGGCTTTCGGTTTTAAAGGGACTGGGAAGTCAATGGTCTATGCTAGCTTGCGTAAAAATGGTGGGTTATGGATTACGAGATTAAAATTCTCTTTTGGGCTTGCTTTTCTCGATCCTGGAGGGGTTTGAGAAGCCAATGGTCTCTGCTAGTTTGCCCGGTGGACTCCAGAAAAGGGTGGGATCAATTTCTAGTTTGATCTCGATCCCAAATGGTCTCTGCTGGATTGCCCAGCTAGGAAATAACGCACCGGAAGTGACAATCTGGCAGCACTTGTTGCCGTCGCTTTGCACGCAGATCTGCCCGGAAAGGGGGCACGCCTGCAGGTCACCAGTGCACTGGATTAGGGCTGCAGAGCTGAAATTGCGGGGTTTAAAGGGCTATGGAAGTTCTTGAGATAAGAGGTCTTGAGGCGTAAAAAATAAAAGGGGGGATATGTTGGTGGCGAGGGGGGGAAAAAGATCGATTACGCAATGAAATTCCTAAATGACTTACCTCGGGCAAAATCCGAGAATCGGCCTCGTCACCGGCTCTGGTCGTGGCGCGTCGGTGGAGGGGAAGATTTTCTCCAGCTAAAAATCAAGTTTTTGAAGCTTTCGAAGCCGGCTTTGTTTTTTAAAGGACCATTGAAGGCTTGGTTCTTCAAATGCCAAAAAACTCACGACATCCGGCGGGGCGCCCCTCAGACATTCCGGGTGCTCGTGGAGCTTGCCAACGAGCTCGTAGTACTTGCAGAGGTCGAGCGCCGAGGCCGAGTACTGTAATTGGGGTATTTTGAGAACTAGACGGTTTTCAAGGCAATCTAGCAGGGACTCCTTGCGGATTTCCTACGTATTCTGACTTTCCGGCTCCTTTAAAATGGTTTAAAGGACTAAAAAGCTCTTTGAAATCGAGCAGCTAATTTTAATTTACTAGAAGGGTTCAGGAAGCTCAAGACAAACGAGCAGAGATCATTTGCAAATTCCTAAGGATTCTGACTTCCACTTCACTTTAAAAGCAAAAAAAAACGAACAGCAAACGCGCAGAAGATGAGGGCGATGGGCAGCCGCATCGTGGGGTGGCTGGGGTGGGGGATTGTCGCGGAATGGCACAGATAGCGCGCCGGGCCGCCGGACACTTCCCCCGCCAGCGCGCGAAGCGCCCAGGGCCCAGCCCCCTTCCGCGTCCGCTTCTCTCGGCTCTCTCTTTCTCCCCTCGCTCTCTCTCTCTCTCACTTTCTCTCTTCTCTCTCGCTGTTGCTGTCTCTCCAATTTTCCCTGATCTCTCGCCCCTTCTGGTGGTGAGCTGAAAAACAGTCGACACGTCAAATGCCCCCTCATATTCAGGGTGGACTGAGTGACAAACAAAAAAGGGTAGCAGACAGACTAGCAGACAGTCAGACAGACAAACGAACAAGGCAAATAAGTGTTGCGTGTCAGACAGACATGCTTACTGTAGTGGGTGTAGTCTGTAGCTTACGCACTCTTCCTAAATAAACTCTGCTAGTCTGCCTTGTTCCAACCAAAATGAATTTCCTAGCGTAATCGGATCATCCCCAAGGATCACTGCTAGTTGGCCAGATTCAAGCCAAAAAATTTCGCTCCCTTGACGCGAGCCGTACCTCAAGGGTCTCTGCTAGCTGGCCTAATCGTGAACCAAAGTTTACATTCCTCAAGGATCTTTGCTAGCCTGCCTCTGCCAATTTTCAAGAACGTTTGCTAGCTATCCAAAAATAAAGCGACGCTTCGATTCCTCAATGGTCTTTGCTAGCCTGCCTCCAACTTCCTCAAGAATCTTTGCTAGCCTGCCTCATCGAACCTCAAGGGTTTCTGCTAACTTTCCTAAAGCCTAATCCTAAGCCCAGGGCCTGCCCATTTCCAGCCACTTCCTCAATGGCCCCCGCTTGCTTGCTTGCTTGCTGCCATCCCTGACCATCATCTCCTTCCATGGGGGTATCATGGGCACTGTTTGTCGCGGCCAATCTGTCTCTCTGTCCACCCCTTTCCAATTCTGTTTGCCCACTGAATGCCCGCTGTCCTCCCGCCGGTCCGATATTTCCGGTCCATTTGGAGGAACGGGTCCCTGCGGGCTGATCGCCTTATTTGAGCAGTCTCTTTCCCTCTGTCTCTCTCGCTTTAGACGTCTCTCTCTCCACTGACCGGACACTCTCAAACACGTAATCCACACGTCCACCGGGCGAAGCGTCACGTCAAGTCCTTTTTTGGGGGCGGCGACGATATGGGGCCTGAAAAAGAGGAAAAGTGAAGTTCCTAAGCCTAAGCCTACGCCCAAGGCTTAAACCTAAGCCTAAGCCAAGCCCAAATCTAAGTCCAGCCTAAGCCTAATCTGAAGCCTAAGTCACGTTAGGCCAAGCCCCAGCCTAACCTGAATCACTAAGGATCTTTGCTAGTTGGCCCCTTTTCTCTCCACGATCCAGCTCTTTGGCCAAAGGCAAAGCAAAAGCTGTCGCGTCCGGGGGTCGAACTAGCGTGTCTCGTGATGCCAATTTCAGTGGTTAAACTATTTGATTACGCTAGGAAATTGATTTCTAATTGTTAATTAAATAGGTCTAAAATTAGCAAAAAGCAAAAATTCCTGTCCCGGCCGGGATCGAACCCTCGGAGATGATTTTCAGCGACCTAGACCTCAAATTTTGTGTTTTTTAGCGCTACGGATTTGCCAGATCGCTAGGGGGCCAAACGTCCTTTCCTAAATGCTCTCTGCTAGCCTCCCCGGGGACCTAATACCTCCGGAAGTGCATATCCACACCCCGGGGTTTGATGGCTTTCCGAATCCCGCTCCCGGATCGCCCGCATCTTCCTGGTCCGGAGATCTGATGGGTGCATTCGCTCTGCATCTCTCTCCCTCTCTCTCTCTCTCGCTTTGTTTGTGTGTGTGTCCTCAAGCGGGCGGTTCTGATGAGAGCCCTCCCTCGCCCCTTCCGATTCCGATCCACACCTGCCAACGGAACGTCTCCCCGGGGGTCCCGCCACGAAACAACAGAGGGCGAGAGAGAGAGAGAGAGAGCGTGAAAGAGAGAGAGAGGGAACGATCCCGCCCGGGCCCTCAAGGAAATTCGAACCCGCGAATTATGAATCCAGCGGGATCGAGGAGGCGAATTAGGGGTCTGCTAGCTTGCTTCAGTCCAAAAAAGCGCTAAAAAACCTATTGTAATCGATTACAGCATTTAAAGACTTGAAAATCACGTTGGTACGCGTAACTAATGTTCCCAAATAATCTCTGCTAGCTTGCCTGTGCCTTGGTTTTAGTATTGCAATCAGTTATCCCAGTTAAATCACGATTTTTCCTTTTCCGGCCGGTTTTTGTAGTCTGTAGTGTTCGTAGTTTATTGTCGTGGACACGTATATACCTTTTGTAATTAGTTTATCGACTGTACACTTTATTCCTAAAGCCGCTACGGTGGCTACCGTCATCTCTCCAGGGAAATCTCCTTTTTCGCTTTGTGACAAGTGAGACAGCAAATCTCCGAGAAATCCTTCGCGTTGCAGTAGTGCCGCAGCTTTGATTTTGAATATTTTCGACATAGGTCGGCATTCAGATCTTTGCACGCTGAAAAATGAGCAAAAAATTGATTTTAAAGGGAACGTGACAGTAGTGAATAATTGGTATTTTCTTTCGGGGGGAAAAATTTTTTTAAAAAAAAAAAAAAAAAAAAAAAAAAAAAAAAAAAAAAAAAAAAATTAAAAAAAAATAAAAAAAAAAAAAAAAAAAAAAAAAAATAAAAAAAAAAAAAAAAAAAAAAAAAAAAAAAAAAAAAAAAAAAAAAAAAAAAAAAAAAAAAAAAAAAAAAAAAAAAAAAAAAAAAAAAAAAAAAAAAAAAAAAAAAAAAAAAAAAAAAAAAAAAAAAAAAAAAAAAAAAAAAAAAAAAATAAAAAAAAAAAAAAAAAAAAAAAAAAAAAAAAAAAAAAAAAAAAAAAAATTTTTAACACTAGCTCACCTAGCATTTTCTTCGCATTGTCGATACAGTGTCCCTTTTGGCACCACTAAAAAGGGCATATGGAGTAGAATTGGATTTTCCGCAAGAATCTCTGCTAGCCTGCCCGCCCGCCAACCCAACCTGCTGTGCCCTTCACCCCGCTCTAATTCCACGAAGAATCTCTGCTAGACTGCCCCTCCAGTTCCACAAAGAATCTTTGCTAGCCTGCCCTTACCCTATTCATTCCACACTGTGTCCCATCCAACGCCGGGAAGAAGGGCAACGTCTCGCACGGTCCGTCCCAGTCCTGTTGACGGTCTTTACACCAGACTCGCCGGCAAGGATCTCCGCCCAGATCTTTGTACTCGGGCTTCTGAAACCGAGACTGCAGGCTACAACCTCCAATCTACAGTAACCCACCGTACACAGCCCATAGCCCTTGCCAAACGCCAGCTGGCACTGTAGGGAGGCGCTCCAGCGCTCCCCCGGAAATGAGTCCGTCAGTGGGTTTGGGGCGGAGACGCGTCTTCTGCTTTTCTTCCGGACGCAGAAGGCCTCTGGACGGCTAAAAAAGGTGGAGTGTAGGCTTGACTCCGGCTTAGGCCTGGCTTGGCTTGGCCTAGGCATAGGGCTTGGACTTTCGACTAGTTTAGGTTTAGGCTAGACTTGGGTTTAGGCTTAGGCGGGGTGCATAGGCTTATGCTTGGGCTCGGCATGGGCTTGGATTACGCTTAGGTACAGGCAGGCTAGGCTTAGGCGGCTTAGCTATGTTTGGCTTCGGCGTAGGCTTTAGGCTTGGGCTCAGGCTTACCTTAGATATTCCTCGACGTCACTTCTACTACAAGGGCTTAGCCTGCGTACGTTGAAGAAGCGCGCGTCGTCGACCTTGACGGAGACTACAAAGTACACCTCTGGTCTAGACAGACTACAAACTACAAACCTGAGGGTGCCATCAGAAATGTATGATGCTGATGGCATTCCTCGGTTAGATTTGGGTGATCGTGAGAAGCGCCGAGGCTGGAAGCGAGCAGAGATCGTTCGGGAATCGTTTTCAAGGTCCATTGAAGGCAGAAAACCCTCCTTTAAAGGACCCTAAAGCTTACTTGTGCCCCAATTCGTGAGCAGCTATGATGGCGGTGGCCATCGCTCCGACGTCCTCAACGACCGAGGAAGATTCCCCTCCTTTGCAAAGCGCGGCAAGTGGTGCCATCCCTTGAGAGGAATCTGAGCCGGACCAGGAGAGGAGGTCGAGTCTGAAATGGGGGCAGTCTAGTGGGGGTTCTTGAGGAAAAATCAAAGCTTCGGTAGGGCAGGCTAGCAGCGTTTATTTACGGAATTGCGCTAGGACTTTGCTTGTTTTTGTAGGCCGTGATGAGACTGAGTTGAGCAGGCTAGCAGAGACTCTTAGGGCAATCCCTAGGGAATCCACTCACTTTGTCAACAGCATCGTGTGATCGTGAACTGGCAGCAAATCCTCGTGCCGCTTTTTCCACCCAAAAATCTTTGACAGGGCCTCGGGACCTTTGTATTGTTGGAGCAGGCTGAAAAAACCAATATTTTCGGGCGATTACGCCAGGTAAATACTTGCATTTTCTAGGAAAGAGTTTTAAAATCGATTGTTACAATCGTTACGACGTTTCATTCGCCGAATTTTCGTGCATACAGTGGAATCTCGGGTTCTTTCCGCATTATCGGGGGCGAACTTTTGTATAATTCTAGAAAGGCCTAGTAAGTTAGTAAAAAGTGTTTTAATATTGTTTTTAGAAATATATAACTTTATTCCGACTAGAAAAACTATCTTAAAACTTTAAACAAGGCGAAAATTTTGATCAAAAATCGACCTTATGGACGAAAAATCGATATTGCTGATATTTTTAATACAAATTTGTAAAGTTTTCGCGTTTAGGAATAGTAAAAACCATTGAGAAACATTTCCGCTAATTATATTTGAAAAATTGGAGCCTAACAAAACTTTGGATCCCCCGATAATTCGAAAAAAACCTAAATCGTGGCCTCTGTTCGATTACGACATGTAATTTCCTGGGCTGAGAAACCAATTTATCGAAAAAGGGCAATATGAACTGATTACGCTATTTAATTCGCAAATTGAACCAATTAGGCTAGGTAATTCCTGGATCCCTACCTTCCCTCATCATCCCCATCCAAATCCTCCAATGTGATATTCCCGTCCATTTCGATCGGGGCTTGATCGTCAGGCTAGAAAGGTGCCTAGTTTACGTCCAAGCTACAGTATCCAGTATCCCGAATTACCTGTAGTAATGGACAATCGGCAGGACGAATGGCTACAAAAGTACCGGCTAGCTGTAAATGAAGTTTCCCGAACGAGAATTCCATGTCGTCATAGATTGCGCGGACCTGAATGGGGGTCTCAAATGGTCGCTGCTAGTTTGCCCAGTCTCCAATTCCTCCAAGAACCTCTGCTAGCCTGCCCCTCCAATTCCCCACATAATCTCTGCTAGCCCGCCCATCGCTTACCTGCTCGAAGATGGCGGTCAAATACTCCGTAGCATACCGTAGTCCCCCGTCCTCGTCCCCAGCAATGTCTACAAAATTCTAAAACATCACCCGCCGGCTACCGTAGCTCTTCACTTACCCTGTAGAGGGCGTAATCCCCAACCAGGAGCAGACTGACGCCCATATAGCTATTCCGAGCCGTTCCATTTGACGACGGCAGGGAAATGTTGGAGAATTTGGCTTCCTGGATTTGGCTTTGGATTTAGTGGGGGCTTAGTCTGAGCTTGAGCAGGAGCCTCAGCCTGAGCTTAGCCAAGCCTAAGCCTAAGCCTAAGCCTAAGCCTAGGCCCAAGACTCCGCTTTTCCTTCACCTTTATGAGCTTCGTCTTCCCGAGCGTGTCTTGTCGCCTCAGCTTAACGATTCCATTCGTAGTACACAGCAATACAGTGAGCGTAATGAGTACAGTCGCGTAGGGGCGGGGTGTCATTTTGAGTGTCTGGCATTCCGTGTCTTGCCTCCAGGGCCCCCCTCCCCCACGTGCGCCGTAAACAGTCACCAGCTGACCATAAACAAATGGCTAGCCCAGGGGTTCGGCTGGGCTGTGCATAGTACTGCCACGGAATCTGGGAGGCTGACCGTGCGTTCCAGGACTGATTTTTGCGAGAAATCAACCGTGCGAAATCGTTTTGATGTCTGAATCTGAAAGAGCACGCCGAATAGTGCTGACAAAAGTTCTGTTACCAGACTTGGAGGCCCTGGTGTGGTTGCTTTGATTTTTTGAAATGTTGGCTCTGGCCCCCTGGCGGCCTTGTACCTTTCCAGGCCTATTTGAAGGCGATCGGGCATTTTCAACACGTCATTCGATTTGCATCTGAAAGAGCATCAAAAATAGTCCCTAAAAACGTTTCGACTGAAACCCGAGAGGCCCTGGTGTGGTTGCTAGGATTTTTCGAAATGGTCACTTTTCGTGTTTTCGAGCAATTTGGAATCGGACCACGTAGGATTTTTCGAAAATCCGGCCGTCAGCTCGTCCAGAATTCGCAAGAGCACCAAAAATAGTACCGAAAACAGTTTCGACTGGATTATGAGTTTGTGGTTTTTACGATTTTTTGAAGTTGCGACGAAACACCCGGCAGCCCTCCCCCCAATCGGTCATGCCTTCAAAGGCTGATTTCACGAGAAATCAACGGTGCGAAATCGTTTTAATGTCTGAATCTGAAAGAGCATGAAAAATAGTGCCGAAAATAGTTTCGTATGAAGCTCGTAAGGCCTGGGTTCGATTTCTATGATTTTTTGAAGCTGAACATGTTTGCAAACTTTCAAATTGCCGGTAAAACAGCTCCGGGTTTTCATACCATAATCGATTAAACGCGCCTAACATAGGGATCTAGTGTCGAGTCTAGTGACAGACTACAAGCTATACCTATTGTCACACGCCCAGGGTTCAACGCTTTTCATGGCGTAACTGGTTCGGTGATCCCTGGGCTTTCGGAAGCTATTGTTCTCCGGCTCGAAGCTCATCCAGGATTCCAAACCACGTAGATCCCCTCCTCTTGCCTCCTAACCTGCAGAAACAGGTGTGTAGTGTGTGTCAAGAGGAACAATGCGGAAGGAAGGGAGAAGCTCAAGCTCATTACTAAAACTCGTTGCGCGGCTAGAGTCACCTGCCTTCCCACGCGATATATAAGGAAGAGCAGCTGGCACGTAGGTATCATTAATGCGCGACTCGCTCTGTATCTCTCTCTCTCTCTCTCTCTCTCTCTCTCTCTCTCTCTCTCTCTCTCTCGCTTTTCCACTACGCTCCTAAAAACAAAAATTGAGGACGAAATTTGAGCCCTCGTGGCTTAGTGTTGGAAGCCCGGAATTTCCGGAATAATCTCAGGATTTCCGGGTCCAAAAATGGACCCCGCCTGCGTCAGCGCTTCCCAAATAGGCTGGCCAGCTAGCAGAGACCTTTGAGGGGCTTTTGGCCTAGGTTAGGCTTAGGCTTAGGCTTCGTTTAGGCTTGGGCTTCGCTCAGGCTTTGCTTAGGCTTAGGCTTAGGCTTACGGTTAGGTTGGGCTTAGATTGAGCTTGGCTTGGGTAAGACTTAGCTTAGGTAATCTAGCAGGGGCTATTGAGGAATGGTTCAATCCCCGCCGAACGCCAAAGTTTTGTTATTTTGCTTTTCTGAAGTCCCCAGGAGCGTCAGAAATCAGCTGAGCTGCCCCCACGGCTTGTAGGGAATCCCATGCCCTTTCGGGTTTTAGGGGGACCGCCTCCACATTTGGGCTTATAAATAATGCTCAAAAATAGCGGGTGTCCCCCGGCCATCATCAGCTTCTCATTTTGGTTGCGTAATCGGTTAGCCGGGGCGGAAAATGAGGCCAATTCCACGTTTCGCTGTGCCAACTCGTAAAAAGGGTGTTCCGGGTTCATTTACGCACTGGCTGGCTGGCTGGCTGGTTCTCTCTTTCTCTCTCTCGCTCTCTCTCTCTCTCTCTCTCTCTCTCTCTCTCTCCACTTTTCCGTTAGACACCTATCGACACCCCCATTTTCAGGGCGTAATGCTTTGGGTACTCTTTTTATGGCTTGCCCACGTTACCGTAATGGCAGTCCCGGAGGGATATTTCGGATGTGCAACGTTTAAAGGGCACAACAACTGGGCCGAGCTGCTTATGCAATTGGACTGCGAGCGGAGAATGCGTTAGTTTTGTGCTTGGCTTAGCTGAGGCTTATGCTTGGGCTTAGGCATGGGCTTACGAATTCTTCTATTTTAGCCGTCGTTTCTGGATGTTGCGAAACACACGCCAAGTGCTACAAGGAGAACGGCGGCAAGCTGAGGTGGGCCAGCTAGCAAGGATTCTTGAGGGATCGGATGGCTAGCTAGCCATTTGCGACGCCTAGCAGAGATTATTAAGGAAAGAGACTAACTGGGGCAGGCTAGCAGAGATTTCTTTGAGGAATTTTAACGAGTCGATTTTGGCTAGCTTCACTCTTTCCCTCATTTCTAGATGTGATCAGCAGCTTTGTGACTGTAACCAGCGCGCCGTCTATGGCAATGCGTTATGCCAGGTAATTAGGTGGTGTCTGTAGCTTGTAGTTTGTGACGTAGTGCGCTTTGTAGTCTGTAGTTTGTTGTAATCTGTAGTTTGTCGTAACTTTGGAATATTTTTTCGGACCCTGAACTGCTCGAACTTTGGCACCACGTAGTTTAATTTTTGGTCTGTAGTTTGTAGTGTTTTGGCTGTTTTTCCGGACCCTGAACTCCCTGAACTTTAGCGCCACGTCGGCATGTACTGCGACTGGATTAAGAGCGACCGGTTGACGTACGCGTTACTGCGGGGAAAGTGATAATTTAGTGCTTTTTTGAAACAATAAATCAGTTGACAGTAAAGCACACTTTATTCAAGATCAAAAAGCGCATTCTAAAGGCGCTTGGCGGCGGCGCGGCGGCGCACAACGGCGCGCCGGACGACCGCGCGACGCGCCTTCGCGGCGACGACGCGACGCCGGGCCGCGACGCGTCGGAAGACGGCGAGGCGGCGGCGGTAGGATTCCGGGAGTGCCGGGGTCGAGTCGGTGACCGCGTCGGTGACCGCGGCGCCGGCGTCGACACCGGCTGGCGGGCAGGCCGCCGCTAGAAAATAGAGCGTTAGAGAGAGAGAGAGAGAGAAAGAGAAAGCTAGTTACAGGAATTTTAGTCTATAGCCTACCATCGGCCGGAGGAGCCGGAGCCGCGGCGTCAAGGGCTGGAGGAGGAGGGGCTAAAATTGTTTCTCAAAGGATCTCTGCTAGCTCGCCCCTCAAAAACGATGCCCCTAAAACTCACGTGGCGCCACGGTCTCCGACTCGGCGGCGTCGACGCCCAACGACGTCGGCGCAGCGGACGGGTAGCTGGGGGCGGCGGCTTCTAAAAAATTCATGTAGCTTAATTTTTTTCTCCCTGGATACCTTAAATGTATACTTAAAATTCAGCTAAGGAAAATAAAGCCCACCTCCAAGCGAATTTGCCTCAATTGCCGCGTCAGCAGGAGGAGTTACGTAGCCGCCGTCACTAAAAATGGTTGTTTCCTCAAGAATCTCTGCTCGCTGCCCCAGTCCTGAATAATCGCGGCTAGTTTCCCTATTCCTCAAGAGTCTCTGCTAGTTGACCTAGCTCCTAAGGAGTCTAGGCTATACAGGGTGTCCCAAAAAAAAGCACCCCTCCGGCATTTCGCAGTGTTACATCCCAACAGTCCCAAAATTGGACTGGATGTGTACCAGACCCTAAATAACCACAATCCTGACTTATAGCCCGATCACTACAGTATTTTTCGAGTTATCGTCAAAATACTGTTTTTACGCGATTCTTAACAGTTTTCGGCTATCTTTTGGACTGCACGTTGCATCGACTTCCGGCTGCGAACCCCTAATTTCACTTAATATCGGGGTGACTTTGCGTTACACAAATTGTTGAAATCAAGGGTTGCACTAATTTTATCAGAAAAATCTCTAGGGGTAAGCCTGCCGCTTCATTTCACTTAATATTCGAAGGGTCGATTTCGACGAAACCATATGAACGGATAATAAAGTTTATTTTTGCTCGAAGATTACTGTAGCTGGCGGGCTATAACTCAGGATTGTGGTTATTTAGGGTCTGATACACCCTGGTCCAATTTTCGGAACCGATCGGATGTAACACGGCGAAAGCCGGAGGGTGCTTTTATGGGACACACATGGGCGTCACCCCGGAGGGCACCCTGGGGGTGACTGCCGCTACCCACCAGGGGTGACTGCAAGGCACCTGGGTGACCCTCCGGGTGACAACCTGGTCACCCTTAATAGAAAAGTGCTGCTTCAAATAAATTCTATGGCAAGATGCCGGTGTTTTGCCGCACATATCATGCATTTTCATTTTAATCAGTATAAAATACCCTTGAAGCGGCAGGGAAAGTATATAACTCAATAGAAAAATTTAGGCTCTGATCGCTGCCGCAGAAATTCTCGTTGGTCATTTCCATCTAAGTAATTTGCTGGACAGGGTGACGGTTCCGCACCCTCACCCCCCAAAATGGAGGGGTGCACCCCATCGTGGCATTCAGTCACCCCGGGAGCGGCGGTCCCCCCAGGGTGACCCCTGGGTGACGCCCATGTATAGTCTAGGCTAGCTACTATCTTGTTCCAAAGGATCTACTGTGTATTCCTCAAAGGTCTCTGCTGGTTAGCTACTGTCGGATCCCTTTAATCCTCAAGTATATCTTGCCAACTCACCCTTGAATTCCTCTCAATACTGCTGCTGCTCTCTTCCTCATACTCCCCTGGATCGCTGCAGCTAGCTAACTCTGCCAAGATCTTCAATAAACTTTGCTAGCTACGGAATTCCCAAAAAATCTCTGCTAGCTACCTCGAAAATTCCCCAATAATCTTTTCTAGCGGCTTCGAAAATTCCCGAATAATCTCTGCTAGCTACCTCGAAAATTCCCCAATAATCTTTTCTAGCGGCTTCCAAAATTCCCCAATAATCTCTGCTAGCTACGTCAAAAAATCCCCAAAAATCTCTGCTAGATACCCCGCAATTCCTCAATAATCTTTGCTAGCTCACCTGTAAACAGCGACGATAACGAGGGCCAGGGCGACGATCGTGCCAATTCGCATCTTGAGCAGCTAGCCGGTCTCCGGATTCCGGATGATTTCTGGATGTGCCATTTCGGGGGCTTTTCAGGCTTTTAAAGGCACGTTGGAGGCCATTTGGTAGCGATTGCCGGCTGGCAACAGACCCACTCGACGAGCACTACCTAGCAGGAAAAGGGGAGGAGAAATTGGATAAGTGCCCCGGCTGCCGAGGAGTCAGACTCATCTTCTCCCCCACTTGAGCATCTACCACTTATCCCTTTTTCGGTTCCGTTTTGCACCTGAAAACCGCGGAACATGAAAAATCACGATTTTTGAGCACCTTGTTTTTCCGCAAAATTTCTCGGCTAGCTTGCCTCGACAGGGCCATCTAGCAGAGATTCTTCGACGTTATGGCTGGCCAGTTAGCAGCGATTCTTTGAGGAATTTGAGGGCAGGCTAGCAGATATTCTTTAAAGAAGTAGGGGGGGAGGCTAGCAGAGTTTCCTTGAGGAAATGGAGGGCAGGGTAGCAGCGACCCTTTGAAAATTTGAGTGTTTTTAGCTCCAAACATGATGTTTTAGCCCGGGTTGTTTTTCTGCAAATTGTGGGCCATCTAGCACAGATTCTTTGAGGAAACGGGGCTAGCTAGCAGAGAATATTTGAGGAATCCGAGTGTTTTAACTTCAAAAATTATGTATTTATTGTCCAATTAAATTAATCAAAATCAACATGTTCATTGGAGCAGCGGGACTGTAGTTTCCTTGCCGAGCAGCACGCTGAGGAGGGATGGTCCGTATCTAAAGCGTAGGTTTTACTGATTACGCCATGGAATTCAAGCTAACCCGGTGGCTCGATCGTCAACTTCGGCAGGGGCAGCGATATCCAGGTGGATCCAGTTCAGCCCCTCGCCAAAGTCGATGTGGGAGCCGATGAACAGGCCGGCGATGGCGGATGGGGGACCCTGAAGATAGGCTTGGCTTAGGTTTAAGCTTTGGGCTTAGTTTTAGGCTTAAGCTTAGGCTTAGGTTTGGCTTAGGCTTAGGCTTAGGCTTTGGGCGCTTAAGCTTACAAGGGAACCTCAAGTTGACACGGTGGAGTTTCGAAAACGATCGCGGCTACACCTAGGTTTTCGACTATGGCGATTCCAACGCTCTAGTCAGAATTTCCTAAATGGGCCTCTGGACAGAGATACAGCACTTCCGGAAAATGATGATTTACATGCGAAAATTTAGCATCAACGATAGGTTTATGAGGTTCTCCCATCACTATGGAATCACCAGTTGAATGGCCGAGTGGTAAGCGACTCACTTGATAGGATACTGACGAGGGTTGGAATCCGCTCACGATTTTTTTTATTTTGCTTTCTGACCGGAACTTTCAGCCCAACTTCAACTTTTTATTGTCATTATAGGAAAAATTTTTCTTTATGGTCCCAGGCTGAATTCTCCGAAGAAGCCTCAAAACTCGCTCGAAATTCAACAAAGTTCGGTCTACCCATATTCCGGTTTTCTTTACGGAGGGGCCTCTATGATTTATTTGGATGATATTTTTTGCATTTTTTTTGGCTTTCCCAATGCTTTTAGACGTTTTAGAAAGAGAACGAATTTTCGAAAAAAGTAACCACACGTTGGAGTTGGGCTGAAAGTTCCGGTCAAAAAGCAAAATTTAAAAAATCGTGAGCGGATTCCAACCCTCGTCAGTATCCTATCAAGTGAGTCGCTTACCACTCGGCCATTCAACTGGTGATTCCATAGTGATGGGAGAGCCTCATAAACCTATCGTTGATGCTAAATTTTCGCATGTAAATCCTCATTTTCCGGAAGTGCTGTAGCTCTGTCCAGAGGCCCATTTAGGGAATTCTGACTAGAGCGTTGGAATCGCCATAGTCGAAAACCTAAGTGTAGCCGCGATCGTTTTTCGAAACTCCACCGTGTCAACTTGAGGTTCCCTTGTTAGCTTGGGCTTGGACTTAGACTTCATACTGACCTGCATCTTGCCGAGATTACTGTTACGCATATCCGCAACGGGGGACTTGAGATCGCCAAAGTGGAGGTCAGGGGCGAACAGCATCGACTTGACCATGTCGCCGGACCGCTTCCCGGCTGCTTCAACCTGGAAAAGACAGGTTCAAGCAGTTCAGACAGGAATTACTTTAGAGCGGGACAGCTTGCTCAGAATCAGCTTTGGAACCTCAGTTTAGCTAACCGTTGCCCTCAAGTTCAAGCAGTTCAATACTTATAAGCGCTTGAGATAAAGCTCAATTAGCTAGGGCTCAACTTCAACCAGTTCAGCCCCCACCTCATGCTCCGACGTCTCCAAATTGGTGAGCAGCGCCGCGTGTAGCTTGCCCGTAACGTAGCTCTGAGCCCCGGTCAACGTCGCCATGTCGATGATCGTGCCGGCCTAAATTGATATTTTTGCATTTTTTTACGGTTTCTACTTACATTCAACCGCTCTTTTGCGTAGAACACGCCGTCAGCGAGTACAAGCCGACCCTCAGCGTCGGTGTTGTTGATCTCGACCGTCTTACCGGACAGCATCCGGATGATGTCGTCGGGCTTGCTGAAAATGGGCTATTTTTCTCGGCCTTCAAGCCGTTCGGGCTCAGCTTTATCGAAAAGCTGTATCAGGGCAAGCCGTAGATGATCTCAAATTTTAGGGCCAAGATATTGGAAAATGACGAAGTTATGACCAAAAACGTTCATGGTCAGTCAAACTGTCGAAGTCCTTCAACAGCTTCAAACCGTTCGGGCTAAAATTTAACAACCCCGTTGGGGGGCCAACCTTTGGGGCTCCCAAAATTTAACCCCAAAAAATCTTTTAACCGACGAAGTTGCGACATAAAAAACGATCGTCAACTTGTAGCCGTTCAGCTTTTGAAGCTGATCAAACTCTACTCCTCGAACTTGCTGTAAAACCACCCACTTCGCAATTGGCGACACGTTGTTCTCGGCAATGCACAGCAGCACGTGCAGCTCCTGCTTGAAGCCGGCGCGGACCAGCGTGGCGAAGGCGTGCAGCATCCCGGCAGCGCCTCCCATGTCTCGCTTCATGTCTAATTCATGGCGTAATCGATTTGATAGATCTTTTCTTACTCGGCATTCCGGTCTTTCCCTTGATCTGCATGCCGCCAGTGTCGTAGACGATGCCCTTGCCGACCAGGGCGTACGTGTGGTTGCTGCCTAAAGGGAAGTACTGTAATCCGTTACGTTACGGAATTTTTAGGTTCAGAATTTTTAAGGGAATCCGAATCTAGTCTCGAAAATTGTTAAAAAAAGCTATTTTGAAAGTTTTATCTCTCTTAATGCCAATATTCCTCCCTTTTGCCGGCCGGGTACTGTAAATTGTTGTAACTTTTTCATACAAGTATTTTCGAGTTTTTTGAATCCAGATTCGGATTCTCCGTAAAATTCTGCCTAAGATGAACGCCTTGAAAATGTCGTGTTCAGTGTTTTCAACTTTTAGCATGCGATACCACCAAAAATTTCCAGGGTAGCGCATTAAAAATTTAAAACTTTTTCAAACCAGTTGTTTTGGTTTTTTTCCAACGGATTTTGTAAAATAAGAACTATTGAACATGTTGATTTCAATTTTATTCAACTTTTAGTATAGCGATACCTGGGTTTTTTTTTTGGGGGGGTCAAAAAGGCGCGTCACTTTTTCAAAAAAATTTGGGGTTCCCCCTTAAATTGTTCTCACAAATACACTATTTTTTTCGAAAACTTTCTGCTCACCTGCCGGCTTGTGGCTGAGCACGACAAAAGCTGGGGGCGTGGGCCCGGCTTTGCCGACGTGGTAGATGCCGCCGAAGCCTTGGTGCAGGAGATCTTCGCCACGGATCAGCTCGTGCGTAACTCCGGGGAGTTCACCAGCGAGTTTGATGGCTTCTTCGACGAGTGCGTCTAAAGATAGGCTTGATTGGGCTTAGGCTTAGGCTTAGGCTTGACTTAGGCTTCGGGTTAGGCTTAGCTTATGCTTAGGCTCAGCCTTAGGCTTGGCTTAGGCCTAGTCTTGGCTTAGGCTTAGGCTATGACCTACCAGTCGTCAAGAAGTTCGCCGGGGTATCAATCAGCCGTTGTGTCTCCCGAATGGCCGTAGAGAGACTGTTGAGGTACTCCACGTCCGAGGAGGACAACTAAAAACAGCTGAACGCCTTGAAAAAGTCTCCTTACCTCCCCATCGACCACCACCACCTCGATGTTGATCTCCTCCAGCGTCTCGGGCTTCGTTTTGAGCGAGTATTTCGGGAAAGCTCGAGCAATCGCTGCGACTTGAGCAACAACGTCGGCGTATTCAGCGACCAGCACGACCGAGAGGCTCTGGAGATTATCAGTGTTTTCGGGGGTTCAATTTTTACTTACCATTGCACTGGAGGGCACGTTTTTCTTGACCTCCCTGAAGATGGCGACCGAGTTGGAGGGGGCATTTCCGCGCGAGACGGTCTCTGGGACGGTGATTACCTAGAAAAAGGGAATTTTCTGTGTTTTTTGCTTAGATTTCTGAAGTTTTTGAAGTCGATTTGAAGCTTTGCAGCTTTTTTATTGGGTTTTGAACGCCGTTTTTTTTTATTTTTTTTTTTTTTTTTAAATTTTTTTTAATTTTTAATTTTTTTATTTTTTGGTTTTTTTTTTTTTTTTTTTTTTTTTTTTTTTTTTTTTTTATTTTTTTTTTTAAATTTTTTTAAAGGGTTTTTAAAAAAATTTTTTTTTTTTTTTTTATATTTAAGTTTTTTTTTTTTGGGGTTTTTTTTCGATAAACTATTATTCCCAAATTTTTAAAGCTTTCAGGGCTAGCTTTTGCAGCTTTCTAAGTCGCTACACTTTTATTTCTATGTTTTTGAAGTTTTTGAAGCCGAATTTGGAGGCTTTCGAGCTTCAAAAGCCCAAGTAAAGCTGCATGAAGCCTGCGTTATTTTTCTCAAGCTTTTTAGCGTTGGTAATTTCCAAAAAATCCCTACTTACCTTTGCCCGATTGAGATAAATCGGCGACGATCCCTCGTCGTAGGCCGCATTCAGCGCCCCTTCCCACATTTCACCCCCATTCGCCACGCCGCCCAATTTGGCGATGGCCAACGCCGGGTCGAGCTTCTAAAATAAAGTTAAATTATATAGTTTTAACGTACGTTCTAAAATAACGTTAAATTATAACCCAGAAAAATCATATTATTTAGGTAATAATCCTATAAACGAGGAAATTATGCCTATTTTTTCGATTTAAAGTCTCTAAAGCAAAATTACTTATTCCGGGTGTCCAATAAGCATAAAATTAAGCAGTATTTTCTGATCAAGCTATTTTTTTGAAGCATAAATAAAATAATCCTCATTTCCCTTACCTTGACATTATTGCGCTTCCCGACGAACAGCACGCAGGCGTCGTTGATCGTCGAATTCTTGTTGACCCCGGCGGTGACGCGCAGCATTTGGGCTGTAAGGAATAAGTTTATGATTTTTTTAGGACTTTTAGAAGCTCTAGAATTCTTGAATTAGCCTAATTCTTAACTCAAAAATTCTTGTGAAACTTTAAGAGCGCAAAATAGGCTGTATATAACGCGAAATTGACGTTTTGAACGTTTCTAGACGTTAAAACCCTTGAATTAGCTTCACAAATGGTTTTAAGGACCTTAATCGTTTTACAAGCTGCCCAAAATTTTTAAAATTCCCCAAAATTTGGTGCAAAAACTGATTTTGTTGCACAATAAATTCGTAACATTACGATAATAAGCTTTTTTTAAGGGTAGATGAGCTTGGAAAACCGAGAAGCTGTGAGAATACTGATAAATAGATCTAGAAAGAAATGCTGACCTAGAGCTGCGCGGGATAACAACATTTTTTCCTTTCTCTGGCAGGGGTCAGGTCAACCTGCAATCTCTCGTGGAAAATCGATGCTGGTATCTGCTGGTATCAGCTCCGAAAACGCTTTAGGTTATGCCTGCGAGAGAGAGAGAGAGCGAAAGAGAGAGAGAGAGAGAGAGAGAGAGAGAAAGAGAGAGAGAGAGATACCTTACTATGCCTAACATAATCTTTTATAGTTTAAGTTTTCAAGCTAATCTTATGAAATTGGGCGCAAAATTTCGTTGGTCACACTATAAACTGAGGCTGATGCCATCAGAAGATCAGACAATTACAAGTCTGGCCGTCTCTGTCTCTCGCTCTCTCGCTCTCTCTCTCTCCCTCCACAAAAAACACAAAAGCCATAAATATGACAGCACGCGAGCCCTGATAAGATCAAAGCAATTTCCGAGCTGTTTCTGGCGAAAGCCGATAGCCAAAATAAACTCACGCGATTGCCTGGGTGGCCCTTCATTAGGGCTAGAGCTGAGGCCGACTGACGCAAGCCCGAATATCAGAAATATTGGCAGCATTTTTACGGGAATTTCAGGGTCCTTTAGACTCGAAAAAACTGGTGCTGTAGATCGTCATTTATAGGGGATTTTCCGGGGCCCGACTAGGTCGTGATTTGCGTATAAAGATCCGGCCGTTTTGGGCGTTGTTTGCCGACGATTGGCGCGCGAGATTCGCCGGGTTTTGTTTGGGAACCGCAAAGAAACGCGGCGAACCTGCCTGAAAATCGACCCCCGCGGGCAGTAAGGGATGAAAAATGGGTTTGGGAAACGTTTCTAGGGTTAAATTTTAACTTGTAAATACGTTTAACTTTTTAGCCACTTGAAACACTAACTTCTTAACCATTCCGCAAAGAAAAATACCATAAAAGCGATCGTTTTAGTTGTGGAGCGTGAAAATTGAGGGAAAATCGCCTTGTATAAACTTTCTTTCTTTAGTTAAATTTTACTTTTGTATACTTAAAAAGTAAGAAACCGTGACACAAATACTCCAAAATTGATGTAAATTGATGCTTGAAACTGCTAGAATTATAAAATGATCAGCGACGCTTTTTTACTACAAACTATTGGCAACTGTAAAATGAAGTACGAGCTACAAAACCGGCTTTAATTTGCTATTTAATGTTCTTTATAACATGGAAACAATGGCTTCTCCTTTTTGCACTTCCGGTCTGGTTGGCCTCGAGGCTTTCAAACGATATTTTTCAAAAAATGGACTGCAGACTACAAAACCGGGCTTGTTTTGTAGTTTGTAAAATGTCAATAAGGCTGTAGAGGCTAAACTAAATAATCGCAGCCGTTGAAGCTACCTAGCTAGCTAGCTACGGCTTCTCCTTATCGACATTTTCCGGGATTCCCGTTGACGCTTATAGCTTGTTCGAAAAGCGGAAGACAAATGATGATACCTTTCGCAGCGAAAAAGTTTCGCTTAATAAGCTGTGTAATGAGGATCATAACTAACGGAAAAAAGGTCAAAACTACGGCTTCTTCCGCATTCGAAAGAGCTTCATCGCTTCCGGTCACTCGGCTCATGGCTGCTGGCTAAAGCGCGGATGGGCCCCCTCTCGGCCGTACCCCCAAGCCATCGGGCGGCACAAAACCCCATCACTAAACATAAAAAACCCTGTCGATTGATGTTTACCATTGGAAAACGGGCATCGTGTACTTTAGACTCTAGATATTATTGTATATTAATTTAATGGTTATAATGGCGTTGGAAAACGCACCAAAACTAGGTATCAAAAGCTCTAGGCGTCCAACTTTAAGCTTCTGAAGTTTTCCCGATTTTTGCTGTGGAATTGGCTGAATTTACATGATTTTGGGTTCTAAATAGCTAAATAGCATCCAAAAAATCCACGCTGAATTTCCGAAAACACTGGCAGAACTTTTATTTTGAGCATTTACGACGTTTTTGGACGTTTTAGGTAGTTTCTCTGCTTTTTATTAGTGTGAAATCGTTATTTTTCTAATCTTTAGCGGCTCTTAAAAACCAAAAATGCGATTCGGAAGCTCTGAAAACGCTTTTAAAACTTTTGTTTTGAGCATTTACGACCTTTCTGACGTTTTGCTTACGCTTTCCTTTTCATTAGTGCATCGCTGTTGTTTTCCATATTTTTCTAGCCTTTAAAAAACCGCTACAAACCTAAAACTGCGTTTTCCAGGTGTCCACCTCGACACCACACGGGTACCCCGCATCCACTAGACCGCCGAAATGTCGAAATTCCCGGCTCGCGGTCTGCCGACGGGCCTGCGCTCGTTGAATGGGCTGAAGGTGCCGTATGGGGCCGCCACGGCCGCCTCGATCCCCTCGCAAGCAGCCGGGCAACAGAGGTGGGTCCTTGAGGAAATCGAGCAAAATCGCATTTTCTAGGCAACGCAGCACATCGACGCGCCTCTCCGGACTCGTCGGCTCCCCGCCAAAGGGCGTCGGCTCCATCAACGTCGCCACGTTCAAGGGAATCCGCCTCTTCAGCACTGGTTCGTCTTTAAAAACCGATTTTGAATCAAATTCAACCTTTTAGGCAAATACCCGTCGCACAAGAAGGTGGCCCTGCCCGCCCTGTCGCCCACCATGGAGATGGGCACCGTCGTCTCGTGGCAAAAGAAGGAGGGCGATCAGCTCGGCGAAGGCGATCTTCTCTGCGAGATTGAGACCGATAAGGTAAAAAATGATTGGGTTTTTGCTCCAAAAGCGCGTTTGATCGTCTCCTAAAAATTCCTTCCGCAAAGAGTCTTTGCTAGATTGCCTAGGATTTTTTAATAGAATAGCTCGCGTTCGTCGAGAATCTTGGCTGGTTTGCCCTTGACAGGAAAATGCTCAAAATGGACAAAGGAACTAGTTTTCGCAAAGAATCTTTGCTAGCTTCCCCAGACGCTTATTTGACGCGAACCTCCTTAAAAATTTCTGCTAGTCTCTTCGTTTCCTTCTAGAGTCTAGATTCCGCAAGGATTCTCTGCTAGCTAGCCTCTCAGTTTCCCAAAGATTCTCTGCTAGTTACACTAGAATTCTCAAATGACCGCTGCTAGCTACCCCGAGGTTTCCCAAAGTTCTCTGCTAGCTGATCCTAGTTTCTTACAGATTCTATGCAAAATCAGCCCTGATTTCCTAAAGATCCTCTGCTAGCCACCCCCTAAATTTCCCATTTTTTCAGGCAACGATGGGCTTCGAAACGCCGGAAGAGGGCTACCTGGCCAAGATCATGATCCAGGAGGGCACCAAGGACGTCCCGATCGGAAAGGTATGATTTTCACCGCCTGATCGATTATTCATCTTTTTTTTGTAGTTGCTGTGCATCATCGTGGAGAGCAAGGACGAGGTGGCCGCGTTTGCCGATTACAAGCCGGAGGAGGGCGCCGCCGCTGCTGCCACGCCGCCGGCTTCCCCCAAGAAAGCCGAGCAGCCGAAGCAGGCCGAGCCCGCACAGCCGCAGGTTCAGGTATCGTTTTTAGTAGGGAAATTTTTGATGCGTTTTTGTTGCTAAAGAACCGATGCTAGCTTGCCCTGGACAGAGGCAGTTCTTTGAGCAAAGAATCCTGTGATAAATTGCCTGAAAGCTTGAATTTCCGCTGCTCGTCTCCTAAAGAATCTTGGCTAGCTTGCCTTGTGCCGGCTCTTGAATTCCGCTTTGATTCTTTCCCAAATAATCTTTGCTGGATTGCCAGGGCTCTAATGATCCTCCTTTCCGCAAAGAATCTGCTTGCTTGCCTAGGCGCTGGAAGGGCCGCTAGCCTTTTTTTAGGATTTTTTGTGAGTTAGAAGCTCGTTGTTTTTTGCTTTCAAATTCGGGATTTTTCTGCAGATTTGCTGCCATCAGATTTCTCAAAGTTTCTCTGCTAACTACCTCTAATAAAAGCTAAATTTGATTAAATGATTTTAGAAAGTGACCCCGCAGCGAGCCGCGGCCTCTTCCGCTCCGTCTGGCGGCCGTCTCTCTGCCACCCCGTTCGCCCGCAAGATCGCCAACGAGCAGGGACTCGACCTGAAGGTACCGATTAGCCATTTGGGGCGATTTTTATGGCTTTTCATGTGAAAAGTCGCGCATTTTAAACGATTACGACATGAAATTAATCCCCAGCATATCAAGCAGCTTTTCGATTAGCGTTTTGGAACTTTAGAAAGTTTTATGGCTGAGAATTGGAAACTGAAAACAATTACGATACGAAACTAATTCCCCCTTTTTCAGAGCGTGTCCGGCTCGGGCCCCGGCGGCCGTATCCTGGCCGCCGACCTCTCGTCGGCTTCTCCATCTCCGGCCGGCGGCACCCCACAACAACCATCGTCGGCGATCGGCGGCCCCGGCGACTACACCGACATCACGCTCTCCAACATGCGCAAGTACGTTTTTTGTGGATTGAAAAACTGGGTTAGAAACTACAAATTTGGCGTTTTTTGGCTCTAAAGACTCAAAATTTGTGGCCTTTTTCTGATTTCACTCTTTTTGAAGCTAATAAAAAACATCATACAAATTTTTCATAAATCGCTAATTTACAAATTCCATTTTTTCCAGGACGATCGCGAAACGCCTGACCGAGTCGAAGTCGACGATCCCGCACTACTACCTCAGCTCGGAGATCAACATTGACAACGTGCTACAGTAGGCTGTTTCTCTGCCGCTTTTTACCTTTCCCTTTTCCAGAGTGCGCGAGAAGCTGAACACGCTGCTGGCCAAGGGCGCCGTCGGCGAGCCCACCAAGCTCTCCATCAACGATTTTATCATCAAGGTATTTTTGTGAGGTGTAGCTTTCGACTTAAATTCCCTTCTCCAGGCTTCTGCCCTGTCGAACATCCGCGTGCCCGAGTGCAACAGCTTCTGGATGGACTCGTTCATCCGCCAGAACAACACCGTCGACGTGTCGGTGGCCGTGTCGACGCCGTCGGGCCTCCTCACGCCGATCGTCTTCAATGCTCACTCAAAGGTGAATTTGAAGTGGGCAGGCTAGCAGGATGAGTTTGGGAATCAAAAGCAATTGGGCAAACGAGCCGGGATTTGTGAGGAAAAATTGATTTTTTTTGTTTAGAAATTTGAGAGATGAAAGTCACGTAGCCAGCTATCGTTGATTTTTTTGGCAACACTTGATTTTTCGACGTTGAATGCGTGATGCGGCAGGCTAGCAGAGGAAATGTTGGAATTTTCGTTTCACCTGGGCGACATAACAACGATTTTTTAGGAAAACGTGATTTTCGGGTTTCTATTTTCTCAGAAAATTTAGGAATTGGTACCTTTTCCAAATTCCTCCTTTCCAGGGCCTCGCCACCATCAGCAGCGAGGTGAAGGAGCTGGCGAAACGGGCGCGCGACGGCAAGCTGCAGCCCCACGAATTCCAGGTGGGAAATTTTGAGGTTATTCCATTACGTCATTTTTTCCAGGGCGGCACGTTCACCGTCTCGAACCTGGGGATGTTCGGCAGCGTGACCGACTTCACGGCCATCATCAACCCGCCGCAGTCGTGCATCCTGGCCATTGGAGGCGCCGAGTCGAAGCTTGTCCCCTGCGACAAGGAGGGGTACGTTTTGTTTCCTAAATTGTCACTGCTAGCTTGCCTAGCCAGGCGCGTTTTCCTGAATTGTCCCTGCTGGCATGCCTTGTCTGGCGCTGCTTCCTAAATTCTCTCTGCCAGCCTGCCTTGCGTGTCTCGGCTTCCAAAATTTTCTCTGCCAGCCTGCCTTGCCGGGCGCTGCTTCCGAATTTTTCTCTGCTAGCCGCCCTCGCTTTCCTGACTTCTAAAAGTGCTATTTCCCTAAAAAATCTTTGCTAGCTCGCCCTCTCAAATTCTCTCTGCTAGCCTGCCCCCTAATCCCCCCAATTTTTCAGATACCGCAAGGTGCAGGTGATGCGCGTCACGCTGTCGTGCGACCACCGTACCGTGGACGGGGCCGTCGGCGCCCAGTGGCTGAAGCATTTCAAGGATTTCCTCGAGAAGCCGCACACGATGCTCCTCTAGACGATCGATTACGCCATGATATTCCCCCGCCCCACCCTCTAATTCTCTGCGCTGTGCCCCTCTCCCTCCCCCGTCCCCCGTACTGGTCAGCATTATAGGTTCGTTTTCTAGTCTCTAGCATATTTTACAGTTTTAAAGGGACCGTGCCGGCTAGCTGGCCACGCCCCCTTTAGAAAGCTCAATTTCTAGCCTATCTCTCTCTGCCGTCGAGTTGCTCTCGTCTCTCTCCCTCTCTTTTTCTCTAATCCCTCTCTCCCCTGTCGTGCTATATATTTGCTCTTTCTCGCTGTCCCTGTTTTTTTCTTACTTGTATAGCCAGAGATTTTCCTTCCTCTCCTCCCTTTTACTGTTGTCAGTTGTGTGTATTTTTGCCCCCCACCCTTTCTCTTTTTTCTCTCTCCCTCTCTAATGTTATTTATACTAGGGGTAGTAGTGCTAGGCGGAGAAGAATCCACACACGTCTTCTTTTATATATGTCTATTCGTTTCCCGTTTGTCGCCCTCTTGCGCCCCCTCCTTTCTTAAATTTTCGTTATATACCAGGTGAATAAATTTTACGCGATTTGCGAGCGACGAAAAATAGGGTGAAGTAATTTGTTGAATCGCTGAAAGAGAGATACCTTGAGTTGAGACGTGCTGTGCGGGATTTTGGTTTTTTTTCTGGCTCGTCTTGTTAGCGGCATGTTACAGGTTTTACTTGGGTTTTAGCCGATTTGCAGCAAGTTTGAAGCGTAAGATGAAAATCCAAAGTTTGAAAAGTTTCATCAGTCCGCGTTCGTCGAGTTTTTCAAGCCTTGCCATCGACTGTGAAAGATTTTATAGCCTTCGATTGCGCGCGATATCGACTTTCTGGTCTAGAGCGACTGCCGCACAATTTTGCCCTCGGAAAAACTGTAAATTTTGTGGGAAAACGTGTATTTAGACTTCAACGAACTCCTTACATGTCTAAAGCGTCTTTTTATAATCTTTTTTTATAGTCTAAGGCCTTTTGTTTAGCCTTTTGAAGCTCTTGGAACTGCGTAAAAAATCATAAATCTTCGCGTCGCGTTCTCGAAGAAATATTGTGCTGCTTTTAAGCCCAGGAACCGGGGAATTTGCTTAGTTTCATTCATGGGTTTTTTTCTGCGAAGTACCTTTGCGTTTAGAGCCCATTTTTTTGGTTTAGGTTCAGCCAGCTCGTGCGAAACATTTTTCCTGTGACTTCTCGAACCTAAATTTGATCTTTTTGGCGGGTTGGGGTGCCTTGGAATACTTCAAATTTTCGTGCTCGCTTCCTTTTTTTCTCGCTACAACTTTCTATCTGATTCTTTTTCAGGAACGCCCTCCATTGCCCGCAATGTGGCAATCGTTCTTCACCAGCGCCGGCATTCCGCCCAACATTGCTGCCAGGTGAGCGTTTTTTACTTTAACATTAATTTTGCGACATTTCCAGGTACGCCAAATCGTTCGCCGACAACCGAATTGACGAGGGGATGCTCGGCGACTTGGACAAGGCCACCCTCGTCGAACTGGGCGTGCAGGCAGTTGGTGATCAGGTAGAAAGAGTCGCTAGTTTTTCACGCTAATTTCCGAGTTTTAACTAGTTTTGGGGAAAAGTTGTTAAAAGTTTAAAAAAAAGTTTTTTTGGAGATCAGAAATCTTTGAGCATGTTTTTGAGGGTTCTACATGATTTTTAACTCTGTTTTTCCAGCTCGCCATTCTTCGACGTATCAAAGACGGCCCGCCACCGCCAGCAGTCGCTACTAAATCGGCACCCGTCACGCCAAAGAGTACTGTAAAGGTATTATAATTACGTTTTAAAATGATTGCCTTTACTAGGTTCGTGTCCCGATCACCGGACCGATGAGCGGCAGCCGATCTTCCACGTCCGGCACGACGATTCTGCCCGCTTCTGAAGCGCGAAAAGGACGACCGCCGCCGGATAGGTAGAGTCTTGTGGTTTCCTGAAAATTCTGTGCTGGGTGGCCGCTTATCTTGAGAAATTCCTTGTAGTTTGATGCCTATGCCCCTGCAATGTTTCAAAAAATCTCAGCTAGCATGCCCCTGCAATTCCTCGAAGAATCCCTGCTAGTCCGGCGCTCCAATTCCTCAAAAACAAATCTGCTAACGACCTCTTTTCAGTCACGAGATCTACCACGTCCGGATGCCGACCGGGGCGACAAGGAAAACCCAGCAAATCCTCCAAAAGGCCCAGGAACTCCGCACGGCAGGTGAGCCACTTTCCCTAATTCTCTCTGCCAATTTTCCCTTGCCAACCCCGTTTTTGCAGGTATCCTAAAACGTGCGCATTCTGGAGTACGGCAGGGCGGACGGCCGGTTGACCCGATCAGCCGCGACCCGGCGGCGAAGCGACTGGCGATGCACAACAAATTCATGCAGATACAGGGTGAGCTGGCGCAGATTATTGGGGAATTAGAGGGGTAGGCTAGCAGAGTTTTTGAGGAATTTGGGGGGCTGCCTAGCAGAGATTCTTTGAGAAATTCAGTGGGGGCAGGCTAGCAGTGATTCTTTGAGAATGCAAGAAATTTGCTTTTTTTCAGAAGTCTCCTCCTCAACCGACCTTTCCGAACGACTCGGCGTTCGTGGAATGTATTCCGACAAGACCACAGTTTCCGGCTCGTCGGGCGTCATCCACCGCGTGCAGACCGGAAAAATTGTGAAAAGGTTGGTGTTCCAGTTTGTAATCGAGATCGGTATTTTTTTTCAGGATATCCGCCCCTCCCGATCTCTTCTCCCGCGCCCTGGCCTCTGCGTCTACAAACCTTGACGAGGCAGAGGAGGATGATGGGGAGCCGGTGATTCGAGTCCGACTCAACGCCAAGCCAACGGCAGCCAGTCAAATGGTATTTTGCTTTTCTTTTTGCGACTTTTTAGGCGGTAAGTCTAATAGCAAGCGACTATCACTATGATTTTCTGAATCTGCGCACAAAATGACGTCGGAATGTGCTTTAGAATAATTTTTTGTAAGATAAGAATATTTTTATAAAGCGAGAACAAGCTTTCTCTTCCCTCTAGAGCAATTTTGGCGCTTTCAAGCCACTTTTCGTGTAATTTTGACCAGTGCGAGCGCTTATGACTATGTTTTTCTGAATCTACGCATAAAACTACGTCGAAAAACGCTTTAGAATAATTTTTGTAAGAATAGAACATTTTTATAAATCGATCGAAAGATCCGTTTTCCAGGCGAAACCCCAATCCATCGCCACGGCCCGGGTGACGGTGAGCAATTCGGGGGCTGGCCGGTCGTTGGTGCGCACGATTCAACAACAGCAGCAGCAACAACCACAGCAGACGACAAGGATTCGAATCGGCGGCCCCGCGGCTGGAGGCGCGATAAAGAATGTACAGCAAAATGTGAGTTTTGTTGGTTTTTAAAAATCGAACTATTTTTTTTTCTTTAGAAATCGATCTACGAGCGCATGAAAATCAAGGGCGGCTCCGCGGCCGGCGCGTCAAGACAGCAGCCAAATGTGAAGGTTCGTTTTTGGGAGCTTGGCAAGCTAGCAGAGAGACTTGAGGAATTTTTTAGCGTTTGTGGCTTGTAGAAAAAAGGTTTTGGCTAACGTTTTTGTGTTTGGCACGCTAGCAGGGGTTCTTAGGGAAGTTTTCTTAGCTCTTCTTTTGATGTGTTTTTTAATAAAACTTTAATTCACAAATTTCTTTGAGATTGGCAGCCTAGCAGGGAGACTTGGGGATTTTCATGCTCATTCTGCGTTTTCCAATACCCTTTTTGCAGATGGTCTACCGGAGAAGCGTCGGCGACACGGTGCAATACGAGGATGACGATGAGGAGGCGATGGATGATACGGTATTTAGTTTGCTCTATTTATTAAAATCGATAGTAATCGATAGAAAATTATCGATTTTTGCGCGTGATTAAGCTTGTGTAAGCTAATTTTTCGTGCTTTTTCGTTCTAAATCGACCATTTTTGCGCGTGATCGATCAAACCCTACGTTTTATTTTCGTTCAGATAGCGTAATCGATTAAGCCCTACGTTTTATTGACATTTAAATAGCGTAATCGATTAAGCCCTTCGGTTTATTCACATGTAGATAGCGTAATCGATCAATCCTTTAGTTTTACTCTGAGTTAGGTAGCATAATCGATCAGACCTGCCTTTTTCTACGCCTGTTTTCAACCCCGTTTTTCCAGGAAGAGCTGTACGACGACGACGAAGGGGAGGACGAGCCAGGTCGAAGCTCCATCTTCAGCCGCATCCGCTTGTGAGGCGCCCGAATCTCGAATATTTATTCCTTTTCATTCCCCCTAACTTATTGCCTTTTATTATTATTCGTTGCGCCGGCATTTTCTTACTGTATCCTTGTTGCCCTGTCGTTTTCGACAGATCCCTCGTTTTTTCGATTTTTACGTGTTTTTGTATGTGGTCGATTGGTGGTGAGAATAAAGTTGTTACAAGTAATACACCAATTTATATGCAACGGTTATTGTATCAGGTCGATGAGACAGCTACCCTTGCCCCACTCGAACACATTCACCAGACCGCATCTGAAAATGGCTTGTTTTTTTGCTAAGGATCACTGCTAGCTTGCCAGCTTCTTTTTTGTCGCTCTCCTAAACGATCTGCGCAAGATCGCCCCAAGTTTTCTCAAGGGTCCTGGCTAGCTTGCCCTCGTTTATCCGCAATAATCGCTGCTACGTCGCTGGCTTTCCATGATTTCCTATATTTTCGATGCTGCCAGGCGTTTTCGTTTTCCGCAAGCGCTCTCTGCTAGCCTGCGTCAATTCTTAACTCACTTCGCAACGTGGTTAATTGAAGAAAATGGCGCTTTTCCTCCGACGGTTCCGGTGCATTGGCCCTGATTGATATTTTGCTCCCAGCCGACGCTCGGCGAGAGGTAGCCCTGAAAAATTGATTTTTTGGTGTTTTCTGTTTCCCAAACAATCCCTGCTAGCCTGCCCCTCCAATTCCTCGAAGAATCCCTGCTAGCTGGCCCCCATTTCCTCAAAGAATCCCTGCTAGCCTGCCTCTCCAATTCCTAAAAAAATTTTGCTAGTCTTCCCATCAAATTCCTCAAAAAGCGCTGCTACCTGCCCCTCCAATTCCGCAAAAAACTCTGCTAGCCTGCCCTATTTCCTCAAAGCACCTCCGCTAGCTGGCCGGCCCTCGTTTTCCAAATTTCCGCAACTTTTCTCTGCTCGTTTTCCCCCACCTTCAACTCAAACCATCCATTGTTCAGCTTCGAGCAGTCCATCAACAGCTCGGCGATCCAATAGCCCGCACCGTACTGCAATTCGGAGATACGGTAAGTGTTGTAGTCTGTAGTTTACACCTTGTTATAGGGCTGATATTCGACGGCCCCCTTCTGATTCGTCGAGTAGGCCAGCGGGGTGCCGAACGCCGCGTTGCCGTCGTGGGTACCTGAAAACGGTGGAAACGTGAGTGTTTTGTTCAATTTTTTCAGGCAAACTAGCGGAGAATTTGGGGACCGATTCCTCGACGGTCTCCGCTAGCCTACCAAGGGTTCAAAATCGCGATTTTTAGCTTTCTGTTAAAAAGTAATTTTTTCAGGTGAGTGCGCGCCCATGAAGCTCCCAATGGTCTCTGCTAGCCTGCCAGCATGAAGCAAATGGTCTCTGCTAGCTTTCCGTGGCCCTGAAATAGAGTTCAGGTATGTAATTTGACGAAAAATATGTATTTTTCGAATTTTTAGACCTCGCCTTTTTCAAAGGTCCCTGCTAGCCGGCCAGCGTGGCGCAAATGGTCTCTGCTAGCTTGCCCTGGTCCTGGATTACCGTTCAGGTAGGCAAGTTGACGAAAAATATGTATCTTTTGGAATTTTTAGGCCTCGGCTTCCTCAACGGCCTCTGCTAGCCGGCCAGCGTGGCTTAAATGGTTTCTGCTAGCCTGCCGGCATTTGGAATTCGGATAGGGTAGGTTTCGTTCAAATTCTTCAAAATTTTTGCTTGTAGGCCTTCCCTTCCGCAATGGTCTCTGCTAGCCCGCCCGCGCCCCGCCTACCGTACCCTGCTTCTCCTCGGGACCCTCGAAGTCGAGGAAGCTGTCCGACTGGCGCCACGTCAAATACTCGGTGAAGAAGAAAGGTACCGTAGTGTTGTGGACTATTGGGATGGCGCAGGCGTCGCTCGCTTGTTGGTACGGGCCCGGGGAGCAGGCTGAAAATTGGGTTTTTGTTTTTCCCAAAGGGTCGCTGCTAGTCTCCCCATTTCGTAAGGAATCTCTGCTAGCTGCCCGATTTTTACCAAATGGTCACTGCTAGCTTCCCTAAGTTATGTGAGGTAATACCTTTTTTCGCGTTTTCCTAAATTCTGCCTGTTAGCGCCGGCTAGGCGATCTTTGCTAGCTGCCCATTTCCCAGAAACTTGTTGGTGGTTGCCGAACTTTCGTCGAAGGGCTCTGCTAGCTGCCCGCTATTCCCAAATTTTCTCTGCTACCCTGTTACAAATTTTTTAAATGTTGCTCTTTGAGCCCTTTTGAGCGAGATTTTTGGTTTTTTGAGCTTCCGAAATTTCCTCTGCTAGCCTAGGCTGCAATTTTTCGATCTCAGATTGTCCCTGCTAGCTAGCCTATCGTTTTCCCGGGCTCAAGTAGCCTCTGCTAGTTTGCCCGCATTTCTATAGGCACGTCAATGATCCTATGAATCACTCCTAGCTTCCCCAGCACTTTTTTTGCCCACTTACTATTCATTTTTCCATTATTGCCCTGATTGGCGCCTCCTCTGACGAATAGATCTTCTCCGGGGCTCGTATCTCGCTTCAAGAATATCACCGTCTTCGTTAGACCTAAAGGGATTTTTGAGACTTATCGCCGCAGAATTTGATCGACTTTTCTAACCAAATCTCTGCCTGTCCCCTCCGCTCTTCGATTCTTACCGGAAGGTACGGCCGGGGTGGGGTGGGGTCCATCGATTCGCGATGACTGCGAGATTGCAATGGATTGGCCACCGGGCACGGTGATCACGGCACTACCTAGAATTTGAATACGATTCCGTTCTCAAGAGAGCTCTGCTAGCTTGCCCAAGAGCTCTATGGACACAGTCTGGTCCTCAAACAACCCCTGCTAGTTTGCCCTCAGCTTCCCTTCCCGCAAATTCTCTCTGCTAGCCTCCCACGTACCGTCATATCCCACAGAAATCTTGGCGGCCGTGCACTGATTTTTGTCGAGGGCTCCGTTATATTGATCACAGTATTCTCCTGGGGGAAGTGTCGTTTGGAAAGATCTGGAAGAAGCTTGGGCTTAGGCTTAGACTTAGACTTCAGCTTCAGCTTACTTACTTTGTCCAATCGCCCTTCTGCGCATTCAGCGCAAAGAACCCAGCGGAATCGCGGGCAAACGCTATCCGGTTATTCTCCGTAACCACCTCCGCCGCTGCGCGACCCGATGAAGCTAAAATTTGGGCGATCCAGCAGGGGTTTTTGGAGGAATTTTTACCGGATCTAAAGAGAGCCATTTGCCTTATGGTTGGCCATCGATGCTCGCAAACCCAACCGGAAGCCTCGGCGCATGTCGAATCCGGGTTGAACGTCGGTGATTTGGTCTGGAAATAACGAGGTAAATGGTCTCTGCTAGCTTGCCTAGGGTTTCCTAACGGGTTTCTGCTTGTTGGCCTTTTCAGCTTGTTTTCCAGATTTTACTTGCCGAATCGGCTGTCCCGAGATTAGTTTAGCTGCGTTATCGATTAGAAATACTTACCTTAATCGAATTTTTAATGTGTATCTGTTTTCCATTTTTCAATTTTGAATTAGCCTTTTTAATGGCGCAATCGTTTAGTTTTTTTGGATTGCTATAGCGTAGTCGGTTTCTGGCGATGCTTTTAGTCGCGTAACCGATTTTTTTTATAGTTTTACCAGCCGCTTCGCCCTTTCAAACCGATTTTAATCTCGTAATCGATTACTCCGAATGGTTATACTAGCGGAATCGACTTTTCTAGGCATATTTCCTGTCGTAATCGATCAAATAGTCGCTGCTAGCCTGCCCACCAACCGCAAATCCCTTATCAGCTCCCTCATGTGGTGGCCCCTGGTTGTGATCGCTAAAGGCGAAGCTGCTCATCACTCGGGGGTACCTAAAAATTCAGAATTTTCCGCGAAATCTGCAAGCAAGCCCTGCCCTCAAATTCCTCAAAGAATCCCTGCTAGCCTACCTTTTACTGAAATTCCGCGAATAATCTCTGCTAGCCTATCCCTCAAAGAATCCCTGCTAGCTTACCCGTATGGCCAGGCCAACATAAATGCGGCCGCTTGACGATAGGCATCACCATTTTTGTAGGTTACCTAAAATATCGGTGATCTGAGGTGCCGCGCTCCCTTTGGAACTTTTTAAAGACCCATTGAAGGCACTGACCACATATGGATTATCATCCCGCTGATTATCATGATTGTCGAGGAAATTCAGCACATCGTGGTCCTCGTAGTTACCGTAGGAAAAGCCGGGGCCCAGGTGGGAAAGGGATCTGCAAATGGTTTCTGCTAGCCAGCCAAGAAATTGGTTCCTCAAAGTATCTCTGCTAGCTTGCCTTCTGCATTCCACAAGGAATCGCTGCTATTTTACCTCAAAAATTTTCTGAGTAGCTGCTAGCCTGCCCGCTTTGGCTTCCAAATTCCTTTAAGAATCTCTGCTAGCCTGCCGCCAAATTCCTCAAAGAATCTTTGCTGGCTTATCTTAAGTTTGTTCTAAAAATTCTCTGCCAGCCTGCCCTCTTTTTCCTTCGAAATTACCTACTTCCTTCCCTTTAAAACTCACTGCCAATTCGCGTATCCCTTCGCAGCATTCGACACGGCCGCTCCAAAGTTGAAATTGGTGTATCTGCCTACAATTTTTGACGTTTTTAAAGGGATAGAGACAGTTACCAATATTCGTGTAATCGCCGCATTTGACAGCCTCGCCGCCTCGGTCGATCACCTCGTGCACGATAAAGGGACGAACGTTAGACCCGAAAACCTAAAAAACTATTTTCTATGCTTTTATGAAAAATGTGGTTAGCTTTAAAGGTCTTTTCGTAGCGTAACCGATTGGCTGGACACGTTTTAGATATCGGTATTGCTTTTTTCGGTGTTTTTTTATCGATTAGTCGCTTCTTTGATCGATTTTAAAGGTGTTCCAAAGCTAGGAAATCTCTTAAAGGAATAATCCATTAACCGGCCGTATATTTTGACGTGGCGTAATCGATTAGTTTATATTTCTACCGTACTGCACACGAACACCTAAAAACCTAATTTCTATGATTTTATGAAACTTCGATCGCTTTTGAGGGGTTTTCATAGCATAATCGATTGTCCCGACATGATTTAGGCTTCGTAATCGATGCGCTACCGTAACCCACATCTGCGCGTAGATCCTTTGTCATATTCAGGACGGCCATCAGATCCCCGGGCCACATGTGTTTCGAAGCGTCGCATCTGAAAAGCTCAGGGGTAGGCTAGCAAGGATTATTGGGGATTTCTAGTTTGTGGCTTGTAATTTGTAGTTTGTAGCCGGTGATGAGCGTCGCGTAACACAGCGGCCCGGCTCCTAATAAAACGTCCGGTAGCTTTGGAAAGGAGGGAAGACCGCAACGCGTGCGATAGACGCGTCGCGCAATTGCGAAAGCAGGACTGCGCAGCTAAAAACCGGTTGCTATTCCGCGCACCCGCACATAACGCATACAGTACGCCCTTTCCCTTGAACCCTCTGGACCGAACCCATGGGCGGTTGTGGTAATCGGTTTCCTCGCGCCCTATTTCATAGTGTAATCGGTTTCCTCGCGCCGAATTGCATAGCGTAATGAAATATCGATTTCTTTTCATCTATTTCCACAGCGTAATCGATTAACTGAGCAACATTTACGTGTCGTAATCGATTAAGCTGAGCAGATCTTCATGTAGTATGGATTTTCAGGCTTGGTAAGCTACCAGAAACGATTTGGGAACGCTAGTTAGAGATCAAGAATCACCTGAACCCAGCGACCCCCATGTCTATCAGCGTGTTGAGGTAGTTGGACAGCTTGGCGCGCACCTCGGGATTGCCCTGATCGAGGTCAAGCAACCCGACGAGGCGGCAGTTTTTCACCTAAAAATTTCTATAGTTTTTCTTATTGCAGGGTCCCTTTAAAATCCGCAACTAAAACTTGCTAGTTGCCCCAAATTCCTGAAGAATCTCTGCTAGATAGCTCGGAGCTTGGTTTTTCTCAACGAACCTCTGCTGGCTATCCTCACACCGCAAAAATCTTTGCTAAGCGGTCCGGGCTTTATATTCCTCAAAGAATTGCTGCTAGCCTGCCCTCATCGACTCACATTCTCAGCGCTCTGCTGGTAGTCATTGTCCTGAATATCGCGATGACATCTCTGATCGTTGAAATCCGAAGAGGAGTACGGTACCCCGGGGAATGACTCGACGCCGTCTGTCCCGTCGAATGGACTGTTGTCTGAGGAACCTAAAAACGAGAATTTAATGGCGTAATCGGATTCTTCCCTCGAATTACCAAGCGAAATCGGTAAAATGGCTCGAGTTTAATGGGGTAATCGATCATTTGAGATTATTTTTACTATCGTAATCGATTTTTTAAACGATTTTCTGAAGCATTTAGCTCAAGTGATCCATTCTCGACTTTCTTTTTTGCTTTTTGATTTAGATGGCATAATCGGTTCTCTGGAGACGCTTTTCCTAGCATAATCCATTCTCAGGCCCTTAATTAACTAGACTAATCGGTTCCTAGGCTTGATTTTCTGCATGATCCGTTCTGGCGGGTCCATTAGACTCCAAACTACGCCACCCACCAACTCCCCCAGCACCCTGCTTCTGCCCCACGCCCACCATATGGTTCATCACGACGTCGACGATGATCCTGAAATTTTAGGACATCGTGTGGCTTTTGCTTGACCTACCTAACGCCCACTTTGTTGCAGCGTTGCACCATGTCGCGCAGTTCGGCCTCGGTTCCGCTCCGAGAGTGCAGTTTATAGGAGACGGGCTGGTAGCGCACCCACCTAAATGGTCTCTGCTAGTTTGCCACCTTCTCTTCCTCCAATTCCTCAAAACTCTGCTAGGCTAGCTGCCCCTCTATCCCGCCCTGAAATTCCTCAAATATTCTCTGCCAATTTGCCTACAACGTCGAGCAATATAGCAATCTTTGACGTCCCGGTTCCTTTAAAACTCCCATAAATAACATACCAAGGCATATCGTTGCCCCCCGTATTGGTGATGTGCTCCATCGGGGGTGAGATCTGGAATTTTTGCATTCCTCTAGGGTCTCTGCTAGCTCTCTCCCTCTCTCTCTCTCTCTCTCTCTCTCTCTCTGTCTCTCTCTAATTCTATATACCTCTCCCTTTCTCGCCCTGTCTCCCTTGCTATCTCTAATTCTATATCTTTCTCTGTCTCTCTCTTCTCTCTCTCTCTCTCTCTCTCTCTCTCTCTCTTTCTGTGCCTCTCTCTCTCTTTTTCTGTGCCTCTCTCGCTCTATCTCCCACCTGTACAGCCCCGTATCCGTAGTACTGTAGGAAGTCCTCGCATTCCTTCGCCACATCCGTCCATTTCCACTCGAACAAATGCACCATTGTCTGGCGGGTGGGCAACGTATTTGTCCGATCATACCTATCGAGAAATAATGGCCTTTTAACGGGCCCAGAAAGTCTTTTTTGTGCAGTTTTGGCTTCAAGGTTCCTTTAAAGTGTGACTCACCACCAGAATGGGGTGTCAGCGCCTAGGCACACGGCGATGAGGAGGGCCAGCGGCACGAGGGCCCGCATCCTAAACGATTTTCGGAGATAAGTTATCCGATTACGCTTTGAAATGAGCTGAGAAAATCAATTACGGGGCCATACTAATAAATTGGATACGTCATTGAAATACGCGATGAAAATTGACTTTGAAAATGGATTAAGCTACGAAATCGGCCTTACGGAATCGATTAGGCTATGGAATTCGTATTAAGGATTCGATACGTCGTGAATTTAGCAGGAATAGATCGCCGATTAAGATAAAAATGGATATGTATTTAAATAAAAGGATAGATAAGGCTATGAAATTCGGTATAAGGCAGCGATTACGCGATGAAACGTGCAAAAATGAGGTCAACAAGCAGAGATTCTTGAGGAAAAATCCGGGATTTTGGAAACGTTGCCATGCCTCTCCCACAGACTTGGGGTAATAAATATTAGGGGGTGGACGGCTGCTGTCAAATAGGAGAACCCGGCCAATCTAGATAACAACAATTCACGTGTTCTTTGTTCTTTTGCTCTCTGCACGTCTCTCTCTCGCTCGCTTTCTCGCGCTCTCTCTTTCTCTCGTTCTCGCTCAGTCTCTCCCTTGCTCTCTCTCTCTCTCTCGCTCTCTCTCGCTCCCTTTCTCTCGCTTCCTCAAATCGTCACAATTCGGAATGCTGGGGCCCTTTTATCAGCTCAAGAACGCCGTGCACCCCAAAAGGCCCGAAAAGTCCAAAATATGCTCTAGCCTCCAGCCAACATTTTGCACCCGAAATATCACCCAAAATCGCGCACATCATAGCATACAAGGTGACGCAGAAGAATCCGGGGACTGCACGTGAACGTTGCGCGCCAAAACATCTGAAAGCAAGGCGAAAAGCCTCCTCATGGAATCCCTGCTAGCTGCCCTTTCCCACCGCCTCGACTATTCCCAAATGCTCGCTGCTAGCCTACCCAGAATGCTACTTAATTTTTTTAATTCCAGGTTCGTGATCCGGAAGGATGGCCGTCTTCTCAAGTGGTCTCTGTTAGCCTGCCCGGCTCCGACTTCCTCAAGAATCTCTGCCAGCCCACCGAGTCGACTCGAGGAGGACTGGGTAAGGTACGTAGAATTTTATACTTTTCACTTCTCGCCCTCCCGTGTGCCAGATTGATGCAAGGTTGAATTAGGTGGCGTAATCAGTTCTTCGTTTCGGAGTGTTTCTGAGCCCCCGGGAAATCTTTTGTCGGCGCGTCGGCTGGGAATCGGGATTAGTCGACGTGGTGATCAAGAACAGCAAGTCTCTCTCTCTCTCTCTTTCTCTCTCTTCCGCTTCTAATTCTTTGGAGGCTCGACTCGGGGGTGTGGGCGCGCTAGGATCAGCGATGTGGTTTAAGTGGTGATTGGTTCTTTATCTAGGATGGCGGCCCTTGGGACTAGAATGGGATTCGAATACAAATGACTTATTCACGAGGTAAAGGCGTATAGGGCATATAAATGAACAATAATGGTATGTGGGCACCAGAATTGAAGAAAGAGCGGACAAAGTGTGTGTTCTATTTCCATTTTATTCGTTCCATCTCGACGCGTGGTAGTCGGGGAAATTCACGCCCTTCGGCTCCAACGCGTCTCGTTTGCACCGCTGGCATTGGACTGAAAAACATGGTTTTCTTTCGTAATTTCGAAATTTCATGGCACAAAATTCATAAAGTCGAAAGGCTTTATTTTGACAAACCAAAATTTGTTTAGGTTGTTGTCAAACGAACAACGTTTTGTTGGCATCATTAAAGGGCTGCCGACGGCATGTGTCGATCCCCCCCATCAACAAATTGGCAAGTAGCCAACAGGGCAGAGAGCGCGCCCAGGGGAGAGGCGCGGAGACATTTTCTTTTCAGCGCGTAACCGATTGACTATGCGGTCGGCATCCCTTTAATTATCATTTTCACCAATCATCATCATTAGTCCAGTACCTTAAAGTCTCCCAAAAGTACCTAACCACCTTCTGGGCGGCCCGCTGCCTCGCGCCGTGCGGCTTCTTGAAAGACGTCTTTGAACTTCATTTTGAAGTCGCGGGTGCGGCTTCGGCTGAAAAAGGGAAAAATGCTTAATAGTCGTCGATTAATTTTTGTTCGACCACTCCCCGAATAAGTGTAGTAAAACCCTCACCCAACCAATCTCCTAAAGGGCGCGGGTGCGCACGCGTGCGTCGCGTTCTCTTTGCCGGGGCGCGTCTTGTTTTCCGGTACTTTGCCCGTCTTGGGCACGAGTTGCGGGTTGGCCTGAAAATTACGAAGGTTTTCCATCCATGAATCGACCTTTTAAACTTTAAAACTTTTTATCGGCCCGCTTTTCAGACAAAATCTACATGGCTACATAAATGGCGGATGCATAGCTCATTTTCATAAATTTTTGACCAATAAGTCCAAAATTTTCCGGATTTTTTACTTCTTATAGGCTTTTTATATATAAAAATGTATAAAATGCCACAAAAATGGTTATATTGCGCTATAGATTCGTACGGGATTACTTGTGAAAATTTGGTTTCCTTGCTAAGCCCCTCCGGCCGCTAACAGTCCAGTACCTTAACATCTCCCCAAAAGTACCCAACCACCTTCCCGGGGGCGCTGCCTCGCGTCGCGCAGCTTCCTCTTGAAAGACGTCTTTCAACTTCAGTTTGAAGTCGCGCGCGCGGCTTCGGCTGAAAAAGGGGGGTTGAAGCTCACGTGGTAAAAAGGAGAGTCTTTCTTTTTGCCGGGCTTTCGCGGCAGGTTGTCTTTCTGAAAATTCCCGAATCTTCCATTTTCCAGAAAGTCTCATGTCTAGTAAAATCTGCCGCTTCTGGGCTGTTAAAGCGCACGTTCAGGGAGGGGGCGTGTACTCGTCCCAACGTGTACACTCTATGGACGTAGGGACCGCGCGCACTGTCTGCCCGTGCCGTGGGAGGCAATTCCCCTCCTTTGCGGCGGCAAAAATCTTTGCTTTTTTCCAAAAAAACGCCCCTGAACGTGCCCTTTAAAGGTTTACCCGTATAATAGAATAATAGATAAACGCATAATAGACTAGAAACTGGCGGAATGGTGCGCCGAAAGAGGTCAAGGGGCTACCATTGTACTCAATTTCTTCATTTCCGCGTGGATGCACATCAACTTTCCCGTCACGACCCCAATCCCGTGTCGAACCTTCCGTCGCTGAGCCAACGTAGGCTGAAAAACAGTTGTTTCAACCAGGGTGTGCGTGTTAATGAAAGAAGGACTTACCTCCTTGATATTGCTTTTCCCTCGCGAGTTCAGGTACTGCTGGAGCTTTACACAAGCGTTGCGTTCGATGATTTTGGCCTCCGTCCCTGCGACAGCTCTTTCCCCATAATCTTTCAATTCGGCGGGCGGGCTCAGTCCTTCCTGAGTGCAGAAGTTCAGAAGAAGTCGCCGTTTCTCGAGCAGCTAAAACGATTGGTTTTCAGGCGACGGAAAGAATATACGTGATGGTTTAGCTGGCGCGTTTCTGTCGAGCGCACAAAGATTTTCGCCGATTCGGTAACTGCATCTTCACAGGCGCCACGCAGCTCCTTCGGAAGGGTGTCGACTTGTGGTAGCAGACCCTCAATTACGTCGCCGAGGTTGCGATCAACGTCTGGGTGGCCAGGCTAAAAGCACAGATAGGGGTGGATGGCGAAACTAACCTCAAAGATGAACACGGCCGCAGACCCTGGTGGGCCGTCGGCCATCGCGCTCGGGTTCGGGATTTTTGGCCCCACCACACCGTGGATGATATGCAAAACCCTAGTCGAGATTCTGATTTCGCTTGCTAATGAATATTGACTTTGGATGGGGGAAGTTGGCCTATATCATTACTGCCGAAGTTCCTTGCTGCTGATATTTTGTGCGCTTTTCCGGCTGATTTGTGGTCCTGCGCGTTTGTGAAGTTAAAGAGCCTTGAAACGTTCTAAAGAAAGTTAAATCCGTTTTCCAGCTAATTTACGATTTTTTTTCCAGATGATCCATTGCTGCTCGTGTTCCGCGACATCCGCTGCATCCTACCAGCTCCCCTTGCGATTAAAAATTTATTTTAGCCTCTAACCGTCCTAAAACCAGTTTTTCATAGAATTTTAGACAGTCCGTTCGAGCGCTTTTTTCTGGCAGTAGCTTGCGGCTTTCTCGGCTTCTTTTACTTATTTGATGTGATCTCTGACTAGCTTGTTCTGTCTCAAAGCGTCTCTGCTAGCTTGCCCCGGTTTTGTGCTTCTTGAGAGTTCAGATTTTCCCCGGAATGGTCTGCAAAACTTATCTCTTTCCTGAAAAATTTTCTGCACATTTTTCTTCTCCATTTTCCATTCATGTTCCCTCCTGACGTATACGTTTAATTTCAGGTATACCGTGGCTCGGCCTCCTCGTCAATGGTCTCTGCTAGCCTGCCCGCCGGCTCCCCAAGAATCTCTGCTAGCCTGCCGACGCCCCTGGAAGCGATGGATTTCGACAAAATTCTCGGTAATTTATAATTTTCATGGACAAATGTTGTTTTTAAGGGTTGCCGACTTTTCCGACTTTCCCAAGGATCTCTGCTAGCCTGCCGGCGCCCCGGAAGCGATGCATTTCGACACGATCTAGGTATTTTACCATTCTCATAGAATCATACAGTTTCTTAGGGGTGGTCGACCTTCCGACGTCCCCAAGGATCTCTGCTAGCCTGCCCGGCTTTCGGAGCGATCAATTTGAAAAGTATTAAGGTATTTTTATGCTTTTTGGTTTTAACCGCTTATTCAAGGTATTTTCCTGCAGTGAAGAGACCGTCAGATGAATCGACTTCCGCAAATGGTCTCCGCCAGCCCGCCCAGCTCGAATCGGAGGATTGATGGGAGGTGAAGTGAAGCAGTGAGGTACCTAGGAGAATCGCTTTTTGGGGGTTACCGTACTTGCGCGATTATCTTGCGACTTTCTCCCCGCCCGCCCACGCTTTCCAAGGGTCTTTTTGGCTATTTGATTTCTGGGGTTTGTAAATGGGTTTTTGTGATTTTCAAGACTTCAGCTTTGCACCATTTTCGTAGCGCACTCAATTCGGAATCTCTAAAGGGTCATTAAAGTGCGCGACTTCTTTTATTTTGTTGCTTTTTTGAGCTTGGAATCTCCTCTCCTTCTCCTTTAACTGACAGAATTGAATTCGTAACCTTATTTTAGGACGTATCCAATTTTTCTTATCCTTTTTCATGGCGTGATCGGTTCCTGAGTGGCTAAAGGGTTATAGAAGTGGGCGGTTTCTTGTATTTTGTAGTTTATGCCCTAGCAAATGACGCGTTTTACTAGCATAATTGATTCCCGAATTTCCACAAACTTTTGAGGGTTTTTTTTAGCTCCGTGGCCTCATTTTCGTTGCGTAATCGATTAGTTTAACCGGATTTTCGTGGAAAAATCGATTCCTAGATTTAAATGGGGCCTAATTTATCCTTTAGTTTGTAGTTTATCGTCTAGAAATGTAGTCTTTATTCGGTCTGTTTCTGGATGTTCTCCTTCACTTTCTGCAGCCCTTCCGGGATGGCGGCCGGCCCGTTCTCGTTGGGGGCGGCGACTGCCGGGTCGGCATGGACATTCGAAGTAGTTTCGGTGGCTACGGTAACGCTTTGGCCGGCGGCTGCTGCTGGCGTAGCTGCCGCAGCTGGCGTCACGGCAGCACCTTCCGCTGCTGGAGTCACCGCGGCTCCCCCAGCTGGCGTCACGGCAGTTCCATCGGCAGCGGGCGTCGAATTGCCGGCTTCTTCAGAAGGAGCCGAGCTCGCGTCGGCCGTCACCTTCTTCTCCTCTAAATTTGGGCGTTTTAGGAATTTTGTTAAAGTTTTTCCTCTAATTTTGAGCATTTTTGGGAATTTTTAGATTTTTTTTGCTCTAAATTGGAGCATTTTAGAATGTTTTAGAGCCTTTTTAGAATTAATAGGCCGAAATTTGCAGTTTTTTCAGAATTTTTCAATTTTTTTTCAAAGTTTAACGATGTATTTTGTACCTTTGAATTTAGTTCCTAAATTTTCGGCTAAACTATTTTTCTGATTTTTTCGCAAAGTTACGCCCACGTTTCAGCCTATCCTCGTCCATGCCAACTCGCGCGTTAAGCCCCGCCCACCCCTGGCGCGTGCGGCGCTCTGTAAAAGCGTCTTTTTGCCTTTAGTGTTCCTTTAAAAGTAGGAAACCTTGCATATGTAGCGCTTTTTGGCTTCACTAGCCCTTTAAGGTCGATAATAATTTTTTTGAGTGTTTGTTGACTTGAAAAGGTGTCATTTACCCCAATTGTGCCTTCGACGGTCCTTTAAAAGCCCCCTATAATCCACTTACCATGGTGAACCTCCTTGGTCACGTCCCGTCCGACGCGCGTGTTCAGCCCGGCGGCGTGCTGCCGAGCAGTGGCGGCTTCTAAATTCCGCAAATTGTCGCTGCTAGTTTGCCCGCTTATTCAGGCCCCACCCCTCCCCAATGCTCGCTGCTAGCTGCCCGGAAATTTTGAGAAAACTCACGCAAGCCTGGGAAATTCCCGACCAATCGCTTGGGGCGCACTGAAACGTTGGTTTAAATGATCTCTGCTAGCTGTCTCGGTATTTCCTCAAGAATCTCTGCTGGCTTGCCGTCTTTTCAAGGGTCTTTGCTAGTTTTTGGGGCGATTCCTCAGGAATCTCTGCTAACTTGCCACGGGTTTCAGAGGTTTTCTGCTAGATTGCCGGCTTTCGAAGGTCTCTGCTGGTTTTTTTGTGGATTCCTCAAGAATCTCTGTTAGCTTGCTAACTTTTATAAAAAATCTTTGCCAGCCTCCCCAACATTTCCTCAATTATCTCCGCTAGCGTTCCCTGCGTCTCCAAAATGATCTCTGCTAGCTGCTACCCAGCGTTTCCTAAATGATCTTTGCTAGCCGACCCAGTTCTTCCGCAAGAATCTATGCTAGAAAAAGCTTATTTTTAAGGCGACTTTTTTACCTCAACAGCCATTTAAAAGGATTTTTTCGCGATTTTAAGAGCCCTTTTAATTTTTTAGCCGTTCAAAAAACACCCACCATCCCTAGCGACTCGACTCGACTCGACCCCAGCTGCCTTCTCTCGAGCGGCTGTCAGTTCTGAAATTCCACGATTTCTCTCTGCTAGTTTGCCCCATCCGTTCCAAAAATTGTCTCTGCTAGCTGCCCTCAAAGTCCCAAAAAGAACTCACTCTGATCGGCGAATTTTCCCGATGACCCGCCGACGAGCCCTTTGGGGTGATCTGAAAATTGGGTTTGGATTGGCTAGATAATCTCGGCTAATTGGCGCTGTTTTCCGCAAGAGTCCCTGCTAGCTTCCCACTAGCCTCGCAAACAGTCTTGTATGGATTGCCCCTTTTCCTCAAGGATCTGTGCTAGCCTGCCCTCTGCATTCCCCAAAGAATCACTGCTAGCTTGCCCGGGGTTTCCTAAATCATCTTTGCTAGGTTGTCGAATTTCCGCAATAATCTCTGCTAGTTTGTACCAAGGTCTCAAAGTGTTTCTGCTATTTTGCCTGATTTTCCTCAACGATCTCTGCTAGCTTGCCGTAGTTTCCCCAAAAATCTCTGCTAGGATGCCGTGGTTTCCCCAAAAATCTCTGCTAGCTCACCTTCCGTTGCCAAGGCGCAGACGACAAATAGGGCAGCAACGAGGAGTAGTTTCATGTTGTTGTTGTTTTGACAATCCTTTGGGGGGACAGTTGAGGGAATCTCATTGAAACTCGTCTTATATAGCCACCCATCTAGGGAGGAGATGACCTTGTTGTCCGGGGTGTTTATCTGGACTATAGCGCACCAAAATCGCCCACTGGAAATGAGAGCGGCTATTGCCGGTTTTTCCGCTCGAAAACAATTGCCGGAAACCCAAAAAAAAAACGAAAATTTAGGGTAACGAATCTCTGCTAGATTGCCTGGTGACGAGCAGTGATTTTTGGGGAATTTTTTGACACTTTTCTAGTTTTGCAAAATTCGAAATTTCCGGGGAAAAAGTCTTGAGTAGATTGCCTCGTTTGCCTGCCCGAGTACCTAGCGGTGAATTTTCAGGAAAATTTGAGAGCAAAGAACCTCCGCTAGCTTGCCAAATTTTCAAATTCGGAATCCTTTATTTTGGGAATATTTATGTGATTTCTTTCATGGCTATCTTGCCGTTTCCGGCTTCCACAGCGTCCAATCATCGCCTAGATTTCGCTCCACCTGCAAAGTTGAGGATTTTTGCCTTCATTGGCTCTTTAAGCACTGACCTGTAGCCCTGAGACTTTTATACGTTTCTGGAAGAGGTCGAGGAATTGCACGGCAGCGTTTGAGGGGCCGGCGGATACGACCGAGATTACGGTATCGTCCCTGAAAAGGCAAAGAATCTCTGCTGGCTTGTCAGACGTGAATTTTTTTACTGCCTGGTCCCGTTAAAGGGCTAAAGTTTTTTAGGGATCTCTGTGATTTCTGGCTTTCCGAGCCCTTTAATAGGAAAAAATTCTGGATTTCCTGATGGTCTCGGCTAGCTTGCCCTCGTTAATTTTATTTCCAGCACCTTGGGGTCCGCGAAAAGCCGTTTTTCCGCAGAAAATCTTTGCTAGCCTGCCTAAGGCTAGACGCCTAGCTTCCCAATCCCTTTAAAGTCCCAAATACCCGCTGCTAGCCTGCCTGCCCTTCCTGGCTTCCTGTTTCCCTTTAAAATGGACTCACTTCAAGTAGTATTTTGTAAAGTCAAAATTGGCCAGATCCCCATGAACAATCGTCGAATCGTAGTCCTCTTGATAACCTAAAAGCTGTCATATTATATCCAAATCTAAAAGTATAATATAAAATGCTCCTCTACCTGACGATTTCAACGATAATTCGTCGAAAAATCTGCCCCAGAAAAAGGGGACGAACGCGGTGAACGTGCGTTGGCCCATCAGGGAATGGGCGGCGATTTGGCCTGCAAAAATGTCGGATTTTTGAAGGGTATGACGCCAAATTTTTTGCTTGTTGTTAGAACATTTTAGAGGTTTTCTGATCCCTAACTTATCGATTAGATTATTCTTTAAAGAAATTCATCTTTTTATAGGGGAAGGGACGCCAAAAACTTTCGAGGGTTCGAACCTCGCGCGCGACAATTTTTGTTGCTTTTTGCTTTAGTTGATTTTTTACATTTTTTTTGTCTCTAATTGTTCCATTAAGCCTATTTTTTTTGTTGAGAAATTTGGCTTCCTGAAATGCGTACTGACTTTAAAAACAGCTCGTGGGTTCGAACCCCGCCCGCGACAAGGGTTTTGCTTTCTGCTCTAGATCTTTTTAAGGGTTTTTATGATCTCCAGTTTATGGATTTAACGTGTTTTTGATGGTTTGACCCTCGCCAGAGCCAAATTTTTTTTGCTTTTTGCTTTAGATAATTTTTGAGGGGTTTTCTGACGTTATATTTAACATTCAGTTTTTTTGAGAAATTTAATTTTTTTGTGTGTCACTAAAATCAGCTCGTGGGTTCCACACCACCCACGATCATTTTTTGCTTTTTGCCTAGAATTATTTTTAGAGGTTTTCTGGCCCCTAATTTATCGAGTCGAGTAGATGTCACCAAAAACGGACATGGGTTCGAACCCCACCGGCGCCAATTTTTTTGCTTTTTGCGCACTATGGGCTTGAATCCGTTTTCAGAATCAATTCGGGGGATCAGTTTTTATAAGCCGTTTTGTTTTAAAGGGGGCAGTAACACCAAAAACCACTTGAGGGTTCGAACCCCGTCCGCGACAAATTTTTTTGGTTTTTGCTTTTCCCCACTTACCATGCTTTTGGGCCACCTGGAAATGTTCGATATGAGCGTCGGGGACGTCCCAAAGCTGTAGAGGGCATTCGACCACGTCTCCGCCTGCCCAGATCTGAAATGGAGGCTTTGGGCTAGAAACTAGGATGTAGGCCAGGCTACAAACAACAACCCAGCCTACAAACACTACAGCCTACGAATTCTTACATTTTCTTCGACCGTCATGTTCTCATCTACCAGCAGATAGCCCCTGTCGGAGGTGGGCAGTTGGGAGGTGTGGAGGATGTCCGTGTCGGGGCGGACGCCTGAAAAATGGCTTAGGCTTAGGCTCAGGCTTGGGTTTAGGCGTAGGCTTAGGCTTAGGTTAGGCTTAGGCTTAGGCTTAGCTTGGCTTCGGCTTTGCTTAGGCTTAGGCTTCCGCTTAGGCTTAGGTTTGGCTTAGGCTTAGGCTTTGGTAGCTTAGGCTTAACACTCACCGATTCCAACGACGACACAAGTAGCTGGTAGCACCTCACCGTCACCAAGGTGGACGGCTTCAACCTGAGCAATACCTAGTTTTTGGGAGCAAATTGTCTCTGTTAGCCTGCCCTCCGATTCCTCAAAAAATCGCTGCTAGCCTGCCCCGTGACGCTAAACTTACAGCCCCCATCTCGGATCCGCTCAAGTAGTCGACGGTCGCCTTGACGATCACCCGGATGCCCTTGCGGTCAAAGTACTGTAACGGAGCGTATCGTAGCGTACTGGCGCGTACTTACCTTGCGCAGCGCGGCTCCTACATCTCGGCCAAAAGCCGGCAGTGGCTCCTCCGTAGTGCAAACTACAGTCACCGATTCGCAAATGGCGAGCAGAATACTGGCCGCCTCCATTCCTAAATTGTTTCTGCTAGCTAGCTGGCCTGAAATTCCGCAAAGAATTGCTAGTTAGTTAGCTAGTTGGCGCTCGTTTCCGCAAAGAAGCCTTGCTAGCTTACCTGGTAAGAGTTTACTTTACCCCCCCCCACAGCCGAAGGGTCTCAAAGTTGTCGGTATTTCCGCTTATTTTGTCGGGATTTTCGCAACGCCATTCGATAGAGCGTCGAAAAATATACTAAGAGTTTTAATTTGAGCCTACAATAATGTAAAATAAAAAAGTTATAGCCAAAACCTTCCGGCTGGGGGGGTAAAGTAAACCGTAGCCGCTTACCTATAAATGATCCGCCAATGCAAACGACATTTCCTCCTTTAGCGCGTTCCCACAAGCTCATGCAATCTTGCATCTGAAAAATGGGGTAAGAATTTATTCCTCAATGGCCTCTGATAGCCTGCCCTCCTAACGATAGATTTCCTCAATGAACACTGCTAGCTAGCGCCAGGTTTCCGCAAGAATCTCGGCTAGCTGCCGGCTTGTGACCGATTTTGTCAATGGCCTCTGCTAGCTTCCTTTCGATTTCCGCAAGGATTTCGGTTAAACCACCCATGGGAGCAAGACTCAATTTTTTTAACAATCCCTGCTAGGCTGCCTCCTCTCCCTGCTGCTCCCTTTAAAAGATCCGGAATTCCTCACGATTCGTGCTAGTTTTCTGCCCTATCTAGCGATTCCCGTGCTTAATGACCTTTGCTAGTTATCCTAGCTAGATTCTCCAAGAAACTCTGCTAGCTCTCCCGAGTTTCCTCAAGAATGTGTGCTAGCCTGCTTTTTTCTGTCGCGCTCCCTTTAAACCTCTTAATAACGAACCGTTCTGACGTAGCAAACATTGGCCAACTTCTCCCCGGGTACTTGCAGCCTTTTCGGGATACAGCCAATGGCGATGAACAGTTTGGCGTAGTAGAGACAGCACGAGTTGGAGAGGACCAGGGTTCGGCTCTTTTTGTTGATGTAGAGCATCTGGAAGTGGGGGGTTTAGAATTGGTAGTTTGTATTTTGTAGCCTAGCGAGAGAGACAGGGAGAGAGAGAGAGAGAGAGAGCGAGAGAAAAAAAGAGACTATCGTACCCTCGTATTCGTTTTGACATCAATATTCATCCTCTTGTACCAAGCCTCGTCGTGAATTCGCGTCTCCATCACGTTTTTGAAGATTTTCTACAAAATTCAGCCTTTTCTTGGGTTTTTGGGGGTTACTGTAGTTTTCAAGGGCTCGAATGTGCGGAAAACGGCGTTTTTCATTTTTGTTGGATTTTTTCGATTTTTTTTTGACCGATTTGTATGGCTTTAGAAGGACCGGAAACCGTGAAACCCAACTTTTAACGATTTGTCGATTTTTAAGCCTATAAAGGCACCTGAAAGCTCCATTTCTCTCTCTCTCGCTCTCTCTCTCTCTCACTCTCTCGCTCTCTCTACCTTATTGAGCATCGTCCTGTCATATGGTAGCTCGAATTCCTGCGTAATCATCTCGATTCGCGTGGTGCAGCCGAGCTTTCGAAGCGTTTCCACGAAGCTGAGGGCAGCTGGGCCTGCAAAAAAAGCGTGAATTGCTCCATTTCCGCAAGTTTCCTCTGCTAGCCGGCCTTCCCATTCCCTATAAAATCCCCCACCAGTCCCGATAACGATAATATTATTCTGGGAAATCGTAGAAGACGACGGGACAGATTGCCAATCGTATGTCCACGATTCTTGCAGTCCTTTCCCGCGTTTCTCGACGATCACGTTGTCGCCGCGCTCGAATACCTGAAATCGGTGGAGTTTGTATTTTGTAGCTTACTTTGTAGCTTGTAGCTTAAGTTAGGCCGTAGAGTTTTCTAGTTATGTTTGGGGCCAGTTTTTGCATTCTTTCTTAGATTTTATGATTTTTAGACTTTGTCGTGTAGCTTCTGGGCTGAAAACTACAGCCCTGCGGCCGGTATTTTTGCGTCAGTAGCCTGAACGGTCGTCGGTAGTTTGTAGTCCAATTGGCTCCCTGGTTTTTGTAGTCTGTAGTTTGTTGCCTTTGTCTGCGCCCTATAGGCTAGCTTTTTGTGTAGTTTGTAGCCTCTAATTTTCTCTAGACTACAAACCTTATACGTTGGCAAACATCCGAAACTGGGGTAGTCCTCGATATCCCCAGCTTGAACCGAGAAACGAGCCCCGTGCGCCGGACATCGAATCGACCCGTTACGGTAGATGCCTAAACACGCTTGGATTTTGATTTGTCGATCCCTTTAAAGGCCTATTAAAGCCTACCATTGACGAGTCGCGTTTTCAAATGTGGACACAGCGCCCCGGTTCCGTAGTATCTGCCCTTGTCGCGGATGACAAGCACGGGTGTACCCGCCACGTCGAATTCTTCTTTTCTAAATTTTGGAGATTTTGAGGGATTCCGACATTTTAGGGTTCAACGCGTAATGATCCGATATCAGATTACGCCGTAATCTGATAGACGCGCGCGAATTTTCGGGATTTCGGATAATTTCGGGGGGGGGGGGTTAAGTTTAGCTTACGTCGTAAACGATTTGTTTAGTTATGGTTTAGTAAATTTTTGGCATTTTCGTTGCGTAACCGGAAAGATCGTTCCATATTCTTTAAAACAGCCATGATACTCGGGTTTCTGAATTCGATGGCGTAATCATATAAACGCGCCGGATCTTTGAGGGTTATTACGTTCGATTCCGATCTATCGATTTGTTTAGCTAACGAAGGTTTAGGCATTCTTTAATTCGTTTGCGCATGCTTTCCATTCCGTAATTGAGGTTAAGCACATCCTTGCCTTTAGTGACGTAATCTAGTAATTTCACGTACCCTCCATCCGGAATCTGCCCCACCGGGCACAGCACCATTTCGAGTACGGTATCCGGGTCATCCTTCAGGTTGTCCCCATCGCCTGGGGCCGGCGAAGTGGCCGAAGAATGGCCACCACAACAGCAGAACATCTTCTGAATTTATTTCATGGCGTAATCGGCTTCAGAAAGTGAGGTTTAGATGACGTAATTGGATGAAGAAACGAAAAATCTTCATCGAACGTCACAAAATCAATTTTTCACGCCCTATCCTAACGCGTAGAAAGGCCGATGCTGTCTGCATTCTTCATGCGTAGTCGAGCGGAAAATCAGAGAAAAATTGCGAGGGGGAGAATCCATATAATGGAATTTTTTTCGAGGGCCTTTTGATCGGATTTTGACGTTTGGAGCCTGTTCTGAAAGAATCCCTGCTAGCCTGCCTAAAAAACTGGCATTTTAGAGGGGCTGAGAAGGCGGAATCCGTTCCTCAAAGGTCTCTGCTAGCTGCCATGAGCTCCTTTCTTGATTCAACCCAATTCCTAAAGAATCACTGCTAGCCTGCCCCAAAACCTGGCGTTTTAAAGGGACTGGGAAGTCAAAATCCATTGGAAAACTTTCTCAAGGGTTCCTGGATGCAAAAATTTCGTAATTTTCGATTTCGAAATGGCCGTTATCCTTTTTTGGGCGCAGAATGGCCAAAAAATGTAATAAAGAAACCCAACCCGTAATTTGTACTTGTCCGTACTCCCCGAGGGACTGCCGATTTTTTTTTCTGAATTGTTTGGGGAACTTGGCAATGTGCCAGAAGCAAAACGTGAGCCTAATTCCCCCAAAAAGCAGAAATTAGGGAAAATCCTGATTTTTGGACAGCGCTATCCATAGTAACCGGGCGGAAGGGGGCATAGGAAAGCTAGAAAAATGAAATAATTCCTAGGCAAAGGGGACACTGTAATTAGCCGGGGAAGCGCCACCTAATTGCCAGTTTCCATTACGCTACTATTTTTCGGGGCTCATTTTTTTTGGTTCTGCGCGCAGAAAACAGGCAATTTTTGCGAAGCAGGAAAGGTCATTTGGTAGTCTAAACGAGTCTAACAGGTGTCTAGTTTTTGGTACTGTGCTGTTAGAGGGGGACTCAAATTTTTTCAATAAGCTGGTACGGCCATTTAACGAAATTTAAGCCATTTTTTATATAAAAGCTCATAAAAGCACTATAAAAATCCAAATTTTTGGAATATGAAGGTGCTTTGTATAACAAGCATAAACTATTAAAAAAAAAGGTAGAAAATCACATTATTTGTAAAGCTAGCGGCGTAAATATAAAAATTAGCTACCCCCGCTAACAGTACAGTAACGATTTTTCAGAAATCCACTAACACATGCGGTTTAAGAGGACTGATTTTTCATTTGAAAATCTGAGTCACACCGCTTTCGAGAATTTGTAGTCTATAGCTTTGTTTTCGAGAGTTCTTATTAGCATTTTCTGGCTTTTTGCCATCCAATTAAAATAACGGCCAGCGACCGCGGCGGGAAATGGGAAATTTGTAGGCGCTTGGCTTTTCCGGGCCGCCCAGACGACCGGAAGTAGATTTTCCGGACCGAATCCGTAAAATAAATGCTCTCTGCTAGCTTGCCTAGCTTAGAAAAGCATAAAAAGCAAAAAATCACGTAGAATATGCTCGCTAAAATTGGGCGCGGCAACATAGGGCGACACACTTCGGCATCAGAAGCCTATCACAAATTAACTCGAGCCAGGAGGGGGGTGACCGGGCAATTAGCAGAGATCACTGGGGAATTGGGATCGGCTTGTGATCTCTCTCTTTCTTTCTCTCTCTCTCTCTCTCTTTCTCTCTCTCTCTCTCTCCCTTTCTCTTTCTCTTTCTCTCTCTCTCTCTCTCTCTCTCTCTCTCTCTCTCTCTCTCTCTCTCTCTCTGTCTCTCTCTCGCCTGGCCAGACAACAATGTGACAAGCGCACTGAACCAATTGCCGATGCTACGATACGATACGCTGGGTACGAAGTAGAATGCGGATAAAAAGTGAACATTTCACGGGGGCAGGCTAGCAGGTATCTTTGTGGAATTTGGGGAACTAGCAGTATTTAGGAAATGGTAGGCTAGCATAGAAAATTGGAATTCAGGAATTCAGGCAATCAGAGTTTTTGAGGAATTGAGGCAAACTAGCAAAGTTTCTTTCAGGAATTCAGGCAACCAACGGAGATCATTTAGGAAACGGAGGCTAGCAGAGGAAATTTAGGAATTCTGGAATACTAGCAGAGATCCTTTAGGAATTCAGGACAAACTAGCAGAGATCTTCGAAGAAATGCGGGCTAACTAGCAGAGAATCCTAGACAATTCCCTGGTGGGCTAGCAGAGGTTCTTTCGGAAATGTTGTACCTAGAAGCGAATTTTTAGTACAATTGTCGTAGAGCTGAAATTCCATCCTGGATTCCCCAAGGATCTCTGCGACAAAAACAATACCCAAAAAGACTGAAGATCTCCTCAAATTAGGCGCCCCTTGTTCCCATACACGCGCACACGCTTTACGTAGCTCGAATTGTGCGCATTTTTCGGATGTCTCTGTTTTTGTTCTTTGACTAGGCGGCGAGAAAGAGAGAGAGAGTGAGGGAGAGCGTGAGAGAGAGAGAGAGCTAGATTGTGTGAAGCTGAGAAAGATATATTTTTATGTATCCGCCACTTTGGCCTGAGAGGAGCCTAGCAAATACCGTTTAGGAAATATTAGATTTTTCTTCTGGCTAGCAGAGACAATTGGGGAGGAAAGGGGCTGGGAAAACGAGCGGGAATCAATTTGGAACTAGCAGAGGCAATTAGGGAAAGGGGAGTGAAGACAGCGAAACCCCAGAAGTTAAGAGTATCGCTAGGAAGTAGACGACGTTAGGCTTGGTTAGGCTTAGGTTTAGGCTTAAGCTTAAGCTTAGGGCTTAGGCTTAGGCCTAGAAAGCAAACACCAATCATTCCGGAAACAAAAACTGGACCCCCTAGTCCCCCGTTTCCACAGCATTCCGCCCCGCAATTTTTGTAGCCACCTGGGAGTGTTTGCGCGTAAAAATCGCCATTTGATGTTTTTAGAAAAATCCAAGATTTCCAAATTTTCTCAGGGCGGCCGGAGTGGGCGGTAATTTTGCTGAGATTGTTTTGGGCCTGTTTTTGCCTTCAATGGCCCTTTAAAAAGGGTTTATCGCTTGGAGATCATTTTGCAATGAAAGAAAAGGAGCGTTAAATTGAGGTTTATCCATCCGCCAGGGGGCGTCGTTCGGAAACGGCTTCTGGAAAATTGGGTTTAGCTGATTATACCATCTAAGTATAATTTTGAATGCATTACACTACTTAATAGCAATAGGCAAGTACGTTTAGCCGATTATGCTACCAAACGCAGGCAGTTTTTAATGGATTTCGAGTTTTAAATAGTCTAAAAATCGCGATTACTAATCGCTTAGACCATCAAAATAGAGCCAAATATTCCGATTTCGCGAAGTTTCATCGATTATGACATGTCATTCGTGCAGTTTTAAGCGATTACGCGATGTAAATGTTCTAATAGAAACAGGTTTTGTCAATTACGCCATGGAAATAAGCTAAATTATGAGTTCGTTGCGTGATTTGATTACGCCATGTAATTCGGGCTTTTTTAATAGGTTACGCTATATTAAAGGCCAAAAATATGCCATTTTTGATCGATTACGCCGTGAAATTACCTTCAACAAAATGATCCCCATCACACTCGTAGTCGCAGTGGACGTAGGCTCTTTCAACTCCATCTAGACGCCACAGTTTTCGCTCGAGAGGATGGCAGATATCATGGGTATCCTGAAAGTGACGGGCTAGCAGAGATTCTTGGGGAATTTGAGGGTTAACTGGCAGAATTTTTTGAGGAATTTAGGGCAAACTGGCGGAGAAACTTGGGGTATTGAGGGGCAGGCTAGCAGTGATTTTTTAGGAATATGAGGACAAGTTAGCAGAGATTATTGAGGAATTTTAGGGCAAGCTTGCGGAGAAACTTGAGGTATTGGAGGGGAACGAGCGTAGATTCTTAAGGAACTTGGGGCAAACTGGCAGAGATTTTTGAGGAATTTAGGGGAAAGCGAGCAGAGATTCTTGAAGGATTGGGCCCAACTACCTTGAGCTAAACGATATTTTCGGGCAGCTAGCAGGGATTTTTGGAGAAGGGAGGCGCGCTAGCAGAGATTCTTTGGGATTCGGAGATAACTAGCAGAAAAAATTTAAGAATTTTTTTACCCACCTTCAACGGCAAATGCTGGTCCAACACGACATGTAATTCCACCGTAGCCGCAGTGCCCGTTTGATAGCATATCGCGTGATCAATCTTCTTAATTCTGGAGTCGTGTTGAGAGGCGACTCGTATGACTCGAGAAAGAAGTCGCGGGTCTCCCCTCACCCCGACCATTTGCGGAATATTCTCCACGGCGTGTGAGAACCAGTTGAACGCGATTATTGAGCTGAAATTGGGGTTTATTTTTATTAGCTAGGCTTGAATTCTATAGTTTTGGGCTTGCTACCGCAATCCTAAGCATCGAAAAAATCGATTTTTTTCATTTTTCAGTGATTTTCAGGGTTTTTTTTGACGCTAGTTAATGCGTTTTTATACGCTGGACCGTCTACCGAATTATCGAGCTCGAAATTGGGGTTAGTGGTATGGTTATAATTTTTATTTACGCGCTGGCTACCTGAACCCTATGCAACGAAAAATGCAATTTTTCTCACATTCGATTTTTTGACATTTTAGAAATTTTTTGATTTTTTCTATAGCTTGCCTCTCGCTAACGTAACCCACCAAACGAGAATCGCTCCAATCGGATCAGCATATTTCCACCATTTATGGGCAATCAACGCCGCGCAGAAGGCTGTCAGACACGTGACCGCATCATTTCGCATGTCCATTGCTAGCACCTGAAAAATAGCGTGGATATGCTAGCAGAGATTATTTGGAGAAAATTTAGGTTTTCGTGGGTTACCGGTGCCTTTAAACTGGCTTAATTTGAATTTTGGAGCTTTTCTTAGTAAAAATCACGTCGGGCCAACTAGCAGAGATTATTTGGGAATCAAAAACTTATCGGGAGTGCTAGCAGGGGTTCTTTAGGAGATTTTACACTCTTTAAAGTTCGTAAAAATCGCTTCAGTAATCGTTTGGCATATTTTTTTTGCGAAAAACTCGAGGCAAGCTAGCGGAGATCTTTTAGGAATCGTAAATCTAACGGGATGGCTAGATAGATGATTTGGGAAATTTCGACTTCTCAGTCCTTTTATGGTATTAAGTTTTTCCGTTTTAATTTTAGATTACCCATTTCCGTGAGGGCAATCTGGCAGAAACCCTTTACGATCCCTAAGCGTACCTTTGAGGAAGGTGTCCCTCTTTTGAAGCATATAACAGCCAAAACAATCTTCAGCCCGGCTCCTCCAAGCATTAGCCCGCCAGAGAAATAGTCAATCTTGGCGTTCATCTGAAAATTCGGGGTGTCACGTTCCCTTTAAAAATAGCCTGAAGAATTTTGCCCTATTTTACATCCATTTTAAATACTTAAAATTATTTTTAATAAGTAAAAATAAGCAGAATAGGAATAAATAATTACCGAGTCGTTCGAAATGGCCAAAACGGATTGGAAAACGACGACGATATTCGCGATTCCCATCAAAATCGAGCACACGAGCACGCCGATCAATTCTAGGCTGCAATTCGCGTTTTAGGGGGAAAAGTAGTAGGATATGTGCCAGCGAATCTGAGCTTTTTCGATGACAAACGAGCAGAGAGACTTTGCGGAAATTTTTTGACCCTGCGGAAACTAGCAGGGATCATTAAGGCATTTCCTTAACAATGAACTTTTGTGGGGGGAGCTAGCAGAAACCTTTGCGGAAATTGCTCTGAACTTTTCTAGACGTTTCAGGGCTCTGGCAAGCTAGCAGAGAGCCTTTAGGAAATTTTCAGCGAGCTTGGGATACTTGGCGGAATTCCTCCTGATTTTTTTCTAGACGATTTTAGGCGCTGGCAAGCTAGCAGGGGCAATTTGGGAACAAATACGCGAAGCCGCTAGCAGAGATTGTTTAGGAATTTTTCGACAGACGCGGCAAGCTACCAGAGGCCATTCGGGGAATTTATAGGGTTTTCACATCGTTTTTCTAGGTCTGGCAAGCTAGCCGAGAACGTTGAGGAAGTAAAAATTAGTCTAACAGCTAGCAGGGACCATTTGGGAAAGTTTCTATACACGGGCACGCTAGCGGAGATCATGTAGGAGTTTTAAAGCGACAGTAACAGCCAAAAAAGCGCACCGATCTCTCCCGCGTGGATAGTGATAGGCATTGGTCCTTTGAATCAACATCAAACAGATGGCGATTATGATATTGCTCGTCAAATCCATCGCCGAATCGATGAACGTACTGTAATTGCGATAATTTGGTTTGTACAGTAATCCCTACCTGATAATGGCCAGAGAACTGGACAGAATTGAAGCTGTCAGGTTTCCACCGAGGAGCACAAGATTTATTCCCGTAGCGATTCGGGAAAGTAGACGATCGGCGCCTCTGAAATGGGCTTAGGTTTGGATTAGGCTTAGGCCTAGGCTTTGGCTCAGGCTTGGGCTTAGGCTTGGATTTAGGCTTGGCTTAGGCCTCAGCTTCGCTTGGGCTTGGCTTGGCTTCCCCCATTTCCACCAATAATCCCTGCTAACCTGCCCTCACCTCTCCTCCTCTTCCTTCTTCGTCCCGGCTGCGATTTGAGCGTCATCCTCATCGTACAGCGCCGTCAATTCATCGCGTAATCGATTGTACTAGAATTCCTCAATAAGCCATGCTAGCCGCCCAATTCCGGAAAGAATTCATGCTAGCCTACCTCTTCCAGCTCTTTCCTCCTCCTCCGTTGCTCCAATTTTCGGAAGATGGCCATCGTCGTGGTTGGCGCTACTGTAGAGGGGCAGAATTTAGAAAAATAGAATCGATTACGGTAGTTAAGGTGTCGTCAGAAGTTCTGAATCGTCTGATTCGAAACAAGGGGAAGGCTTTTTGCATCATCGGCTTGACTTTTATAGCCAATTTCGTGGGTTCGAATCCAGATAAGGGAGGCATAATTAAGGGTGGTGAAAGTGGGGGGTATCTCTCTCTCTCTCTCCCTCTCTCTCGCTCTCTCTCTCTCGCCATGTCTGATTCACGTGTGCCACAATCACAAAACCCAAAAAATTCGCGGACAAACTGTTTATCGACCTGGAGAACCCGGCGGGTGGGTTATCGGGGGGAGTTTTGAGCCGTTCAGCGTAATCTCGGCGAGACGCCAGTGATTTTTGGACCCAAACAACGGAGAAAAAAAATGGAGAATGCTCGAAAATGTACCCGGAAAATCTCAAAGAATCTCTGCTAGCTTGCCTGGCTTGAGATGTGGGCTTCCGAAAGGATCTCTGTTAGCCTGCCTTACAAGGATACCTCCCCAGCTCGAAGTTCAGCCTCGATTAGCTATATAGCCTATCAGATGCAGTTTTTCACGCTGATAGCGATACCGCTATTTATTTTTGCCCAAATCCATAGGAACACTATTAAAAATCACTTTAAAGTTTTGCCATCGTTTGCCGCCCGGCCTCAAAGCCCTTCCCCAGGGCTAGGGATCCGTCGGTGGCGTGGTGAAGTCGGCAAGTACTTCGTAAAAATAAATATCGGGATCGTGATCAGCGCGAAAAACTGCATCTGATAGGCTATATAGCTAGTCGAAGTCGAACTTCGAGCTGGGGAGGTATCCTTGTTAGTCTGGTCTTACTGAAAAAGTGGGGCATGCTCGAAAATTTACTCGAAAACCGCAAAGAATCTCTGCTAGCTTGCCCGGCTTGAGATGGGCTTCCGGAAGAATCTCTGCTAGATTGCCTGAAGCTGCTAGATGCAAAAAAAGCTATTTGTGAGCTTTCTCTGTCCCTTATTTTTCTCAAAGAATCGCTGCTAGCCTCCCTGCCACAAGGAATCTCTGCTCGTCGCCTCCCTTTCCTTTAAAACAGCTCTAAATTTCAGGAAAACGGTTTAGACGAAATCTAATAACTTTTTATAACTTTTTCAGGTTTTTCAGGCATCTCTTCGATTGAAAGGCATCTTTGATTTATGTCGAATAAAGATTGCGCCAATTGTGTCGTTTTGATGGTTTCACAGCCACGATATTTCCTCATCCTTTGATGAGTCACTCTGTCCATTTTCACTTCCGTTTTGAATTGGTAATCCGTTTTTTGTTTTCAGCCTGAAATGAAGCGTTTTACTTTTTCTTTAGGATTTTCGCCTTGAAGACTCGAGTGAAATACTTTTCCCTTATGCCAATACCTTCTTGAAACGTTAGAAAGTGATTCCTGATGCTATTCCTGCTCTGATATCCGCTCCTGCAGCTTCATCCCCTTTTTGCACGCGGAAAAATGAGGCTTCATCACGTTGTCTTTTCTCCTCACTCAAATCTAAACATGTTTTCATCGTCCCGGAGTCGAATCAAGCGTTATTTTATATTCTAACCTTTTAAATTACCTTTTTTGCCGCCGACTTCCTCGCTGAAGGCTCCATTTTTACCTTTTTCAACGGAATTGGGCTCGTGGAAGTTTATTTGCGACGTTTGCTTTGAAAAATCGCTTGTTTCATCGATTCCTAACTAAAGTTAGTAAGGTGATTAAAAGTTTGGTTAAGCTTCTAGCGCCTCTAAAACCTTTTCTCGCCCCGCTTCCTTTTCCGCGCTCTTTTCATCCTCTTTTGCTCGGCTTTCTATCTATCCTTGTCGGCTGCTTGCTTTCCATTCCTCTTGCGTTCTTTTTCTAACATTTCGCGTCACATTTTGCTTTCATCTGGGCAAATTCCCTGCGATTTCAGAAAGTTTGCAGAAAAACCTCGATTGCCTTTAATTCAGATTTCAAAATAAATCGACTTCAAGCACGTCTTCATCGGCTCCGGCGGATTCTCCTCATCTGCAAAGGTACCTTCTTTACGCTAGCAGAGACTCTGGTTTAGGCAGTGCACGTCACAGCCTGAAGTTGAGGAGAAGATGGAGATGGCGAGCCGATGGAGAACAGCGACGTCAAGGAGGTCGATAACAAGGTATAGATTGACTTATTCTGCTTCGCTGACTTACTTAGCTTACTTGCTTACTTTTTTATGCTAGGTTTTGGGCTTTTCTCGCTAGTTAGTGACTTACTTGTTAGCTGGTTAGTGATGCTGAGCTTCAGATTGCAGCTGTTTGAGCTTCATTTCGCTTCTAGGATCGGCTTAGCTTCAATGGCTTGCGCTTAGAGGGTAAAGGCGATTGCCTTTTTAGTTTAGCTTGGCGAGCTTCGCTTTTTAGTTTAGTTGGGCTAGCTTTGCTTTGACTTCCCTGACTTAGCGTTTGCGCTCGAGATTCCAGGCTTTCTTCGCTTTGGGGTTCCCGCATCCGTCTCCTAGGCGTGACTTAGATTTACTGGCAAGCGTAGAGACTTAGTTAGGCGGTTAGAGCGGACAGAGTTTTCAAGTTTGGAGCTTAGCTGACTTCGTTTTGCTAGACCGGTCTTGAACGGGCTTTCATAATTAGGGAGTTAGCGTAACTTTCATTAGCGTGATTTTGGCCTTGCCTATATTTTCCACCTTCTAACTTTAACTTTTTTTGTCAGACGGCGCCGCGTCTGCACGTCTTCTGAAGGAGGTCAACGCGGACGACGACGAGAAGCTGAAGACCAAGCGCGAAGGGCCCTGAAGCCATTTTAAAGATAATTTCAATTTTAAAATGTCTGAATAAAGTTGCGTCTTCTCTATCTCATAAAGATAGAGAAGTTTTCTATATTCTATAAAGACATACTAATAGTATCTTCTCTCTATACAGACACTATCCTGTTCTTTGTACGTTCTTTGAATGCGTTCTGATCACCCCCCACTCGCCACCCATCTGGCCCACCCCAAGAACATAACCCCCGGCTGGGAGATGGCGAAACTGGGCCTAGCCCAATCCTCTAGTCGAGGGGGCGTGAAACTCTCTCTTCCCTTACCCGGCCACTTTGAGTTTTACAAATTGTGAATATTCCTAAAACAGGATTTTGTGAATTCTAAGTTGATAAAGAGTCCTATTATTAATAGCACTTCTCTACTCTATAAAGAATCATTGAGAATCTTCTATAAAGACACTCTATTAATGCTCCTCTACAAAGTCCCACTAATAGTATCTTCTCTCTCTATAAAGACACTATCATAACAGATCTATAAAGAAACATATCTAATTGATACATTCTGAAATACAGTGAAATACTACCGTCCACCATCCCCAACCACCTCCTACGGTTTTTCAAAGCACCTATAGTTTCGAAGTGGTCCAGACGGGTGGCGAGAAGAAGAATATCAGCGAGCATTCAAAGAACACTCGCCCTAAAAGATTAAAAATGGACCTCTGAATTAAAGAAAATTTGATTTTCTGATGATCCTCCCCATTTTCGGGGCTTTACCAAAATTGGGCGCCGGAAGAGGGGCCAGAGAGAAAGAGAGCGAGAGAAAAAGACAAGGAGAGCTTCGCCTAGGAACAGTGGAAGCCGGGCAGAGCTCCACCTCGGACGAACCGAAGCCAGGTCTGCCAGAGCTTCGCCTCACTTAGGCTAGGCCAAGCCTAAGCAAGCAAGGGTAGACAGACCGGAAGTCGACTTAGCCCAAGCAATGCTTGATTTAAGGAGATGGAGCTTCAGAGATGAAGTCCAACATCTTTTTTTGCACTCTGTGATCACAATCGAATCATCGATTGATCCGCCAGAGTGTGCTCTGGGGGGATAGGGGCAGCCCGAAAGCTACCCGGCTAGCAGAAAAAATGGTTGGGCCTTATGCCCAGACAGTGAGCCAGACGGGGGGCGAGTGGGGCCGCGAGCCGGAAGCACCCAAAGAACACTCATCTGACCAAAAATGGTTTAGTTGCTCAAGTGTTTCGGGGTTTTTAGCCGTTTTTTCGGCAGATTTGACGTGTTCCGCTCGGTCTTCTAGAGCGTCAACTAGAAGAGATTATTGGGGAGCAGGCGAACTGAGGAGAAGCTCAATTTGGCGGTCGGAATCAGGAAAAGACACAGGTTAAATTTCGATTTCTGGAGGTTGCAATCCGTTTTTCGGCAGTTTTCACACCTTCTACCCGGTTTCCTAGTGGGTCAACTAGCAGAGATCTTTGGGGAGCTGACGAAGCTGAACCTGGTGCCGACGCCGCAGTAGTTTCAGCCTAAATTAAATTTACGCGCGGAAATAAAGTTCAGGCTTAGCTTTTCGGTGTTTCCACTGAACGTCTTCGTCCCGAGCAGCTAGCCGAGATGATTGGGGAGCAGGAGCCGTGGCGGAGAAGTTGAACTTGCTGCTGATGTCGCGGTTGTAGCGGAGAATCGTCGCGTTTTCATCTAAATAAAATCCATTTAATTGGATTACTTTAATTTTGCCTCAAATCTTCTCTGCTAGCTGTTCTCTATCGTTATTTTATTTTTATCGTATTTTCAGATAATTAGAACTTATTAAAACCTAGTTTTTTAGCAAATGGTCTCTGCTAGTTGTTTTTCATTGCCATAAATTTTCTACTCCACTTTTTAGCTATAATTTCTGGGCTCAAAGTTCCAGCTGGGACCCGGGGAACGCCTGAAACTCCACGAAAAAACGGAGACAAATATTTTCGCCGAAAACACTGATAACTGCAAAAAATTGCTGACTCGAAATCGGGGGCTTATCGCTGTTCCGGGTGGCCCGGATTAAAAAGCGAAATTGCGGCGAGGCGTGCGTAGGTAATTTTTTTGAGCGAAAAGGATGTCTAAAAACTAATAAAAGCTTGAAGAAGTGCTAAAATCTGTTTTTAAGAGCTAGCAAAATATTAAAACGCTGAGAACGACGCGATTTTTGCAAAAAATTTTTCTAAAACGCACAAAAATCTGTTTAAAAACGCCTGAAACAACGGGGAAACGCTAGAAAAACCAAGTCGGAATGCTAGTAAAATTACCCGCATGTTTACAGGGTGTCCAAAAAAATTGTTCCGGACTTTGGGCTCGAATAACTTTTGATAGAAGAATATTTTACCGTGCGTTACCATGCCAGAATGCTTAAAAGTGTCTGGAACTCCGATTTAGATCAACTTGATTTTTTCGATTTTTGGCGACGTATCAATACAAATGACACCCGAAAACTGTGCGTTCGGGGAAGTTTAATTTGTATTTTTCTCAGCCGCCTGTGGTGGGGAGTTTCTAAATTTTGCTGCGTAGATTCTTGTAGGCATTAGATAGATACATGCAAAATTTTGGATTTTTCTAAGGTCTGGTTGAAAAGTTATTGCGGACTGAAGTTTAGTATGGAGAAATTTCGTAAATTTCGAGTATTAAAAAAACCTATGGCGAAAATCCCAAACTAAGTCGTTGTGGATTGCCGACATACTCTATACTATCACATAAACATATTAAAGAATTTTTTGAGATCGGTGATTTTTCGAGTTTTTCAACGACCCCCTGGTCATGGTTTTTTTCGAAGTGACAAAACCGAACTTTGAAAAAATATTTCTAAAGCTCCGAATAGAATCTAGGTGTTTTCTTTGCTTAGTTGTGTAGGACTGGGGTCCATCTATCATGTACACAATTTCTAGCTACCGTACCCCTTCGGAAGGTTGCCTTTTAGCGCCGCCAAAACGGTTGGTTCGTGCTATTTCGCAGATCTTTGCGCCAGTCGATAAAATTCAATTGCGTGGCTAGAATTATTGTCATAATTTTATTTAATACTGCTTAATGGGCGCATTCTAAGATTATATTTAAAAATTTATTTGGCCATCCAATCTCTCAAAAGAAATTCATGAAAAGTCCAAATATACCCGAATTCGGGACGAGGTAAAAAAGTTCTCGAGGGTTTAGTAGCCCCGACTTTTTTGGCATAAACTCAGCTTGGGGAGTCAACTAGAACCCATGCAAATACAAAACCTTTTCATGGCAAACGAATTTAGAAGAGCACCCCAAAGTCGGCTATTAAAAAACGTTAATTTCGGGTTTTAAATCAAAATTAACCATTAACTTCAGCCAGATCATTCCAGAATTCTGCTCTCATACACAGTTCGATGCGTGCTTTAATTGTATCCACGAAACTCCGGTGCCTTTTTCATTTTCAAAAATTCGATATTCGACTCCGGAACTCGGATCCAAAATCGGGCCCCGAGGAGGGTTTTCCACTTTCCCTTATAACTTTGTTATTTACCACAGAAAGTAAGTAATTTTTCGCCTGCTTCCTTATAATTACTCAGAGAACATTCTAGAATAGAAAAATCTGCATTTTATGGCATTTTGTCTTGGCATGCTAAAACGCGCTCCAGGCGGGTTACTGTAGAAAACAGAAAATCGCCGTTTTCTCGTTCTTTTCACCATAGAAACGTTTCAATCTTTCAGCAAAACAAATAATAGTAGTTTTCAGTCCGATGCATCAAAATATTTAGAAATTTCCGTGGCTAAATACAAAAATAAGTTTTTTGCATATTTTGGGAAGGTGTATGGCTAGAACTTCGCGATCTTTGGCCCATAGGTCCCCCTTACTAGTGTTTACCAATGATAAAATTTTAAGCGAATTCGCAGCTTACGATAAAAAGAAAAACGCGAAAAACCAAAACTACAGTATCCCTCTGGGGCACGTTTTAGCACGCAATATTAAAATACCATAGAATCAGGTAAAATTTGGTGTTGGGCTAAGGATTATCACTCGGTGACACCATCTGCAAAAGATCAGCCATGGGCAGCGTATTTGAAGCGAGTTGCGAATTAAAAGGCAAAAAGCTGCAAAATAGTGAACTTTGTTTTGCTTGTAAAAAAAGAACTAGTGCTTCAAAAATTCTAAGATTTGGGGATTAAGTTTCTATAAATATCAGCTATTTTTAGGCCAAAATTCAGAATATTGCCACCACCCGTTCAAGAACGCACAATTTTCGGTCGTAACCAGCGTTAATAGTACAGTTGTGTACTCAAAAATCGAAAAAATCAAGTTGATCTAAATCGGAGTTCCAGACACTTTTAAGCATTCTGGCATGGTAACGCACGGTGAAATATTCTTCTATCAAAAGTTATTCGAGCCCAAAGTCCGGAACAATTTTTTTGGACACCCTGTAAAAACGTATCAAACTTGTGCAATTTCTTTACTAAGCGGGGGCAAGCTAGCAGAGAATCTTTGGGAATCAAAAAGAACCTTACAAGGTGATCGAAAAATGTTCCCGTTTTAAAATTTCCGTTTCGTCAGAGAATCTTTAGGGCTAAAAAGCCACTCACCAGCGAAATCAGCCCTCGTTCCGCGTTGAGCAGCTTGCAGAGATTTTTGGGGACGACGTAGCTGACGTAGAAGACGTCCCTTTTCGTCACGTCTTCATCCTCATCGCTGGTTCGTACAACTACAGATCCAAAAAAGATGTTAAATTAAACGAAAGCCATACCTTGGGCTTCTCGAGCTTTTGCAGTAGCTGACCTTGGGCACGACGTCGCCGGGTTTTCTGCAAAAATACACTCAATTATTGAAAATACTGATTTTCACGTTTTAAAAAACACACAAAGGAACACACCGCGATACGCAACGCTCCTTGATGAAGCTGAAACGGCGAGGCGATACAGCTGAGAAGTGGGTGACCTTCTCGATGACGTCGATGAAGCCGGACGACGGGCAGGACTTCCGAATTGCCTGAAAAACAGTTAATGTATGAAAATAGCCTGGAATTCCGCAAAGAACCGCTGCTAGATTGCCCGAAAACGTCTAGAGGCTGGGAAAACTGAAGAAATAAAAAATAATCAATTTTCTGCCGTATCTTGGGCACATTTTCGGGATTCAATTCCAATCAATTACCTGTAAAAACCATAACTCTATCAAAAAATGAGAAATTTCCGCAAAGAACCCCTGCTAGATTGCCCTGAAGCGTCTATAGGCTGGAAAAGCTGAAGAAAGCATAAAAATCAATTTTTTTTACCGTACCTTGGGTACATTTTCCGGATCCCAAAATAATTTTTTTAATGTTAGGGTAAACAGAATCCGAGTAATCTCCCAAAAATCCCGCGGAAAAATTACGGGCGTGCGCTTACGCGCCGCGCAAACAAAAACAAGGCGATTGGAGAGGGGGAAGAAATGGAGAGGGGGCACTTTGTGTTTTTGAGCATGAGCTAGTGAGGGAGAGAGAGGGAGAGAGAGAGACAGAGAGAGAGAGAGAGAGAGAGAGAGAGAGAGAGAGATACAGCCAAATGACGCGCACCATTCGAGAGAGATCTTCTCTATCTACGATAACGATCCGGCTCCCCGGGGCTGCACTTTTAAATCGAAAATATTATCCACCAGTGCAGGGGGGTATTTAACGGGATTTTTTGGGATCAAAATCAGCTCCCCAAGCATCAACAAAATGAGGATACTATTATTAGCGGCTTTCGTCGGCTACGCCACTGCCCAATGTACGGTAGCCCTCTTAAAAATTGTACAAAACTAATTTTTTAACAAAATTTTCTAATTTTAGAGCCAAAATAGTACGTTTTCTAACGTTTTCTAACATTTTTCAACCAGGGCCAGCTAGCGGAGATCATTGGGGAAAGTTTTCAGTAGGTTTTTGATAGATTTTTGGCGAAATTCGAAAGCTCCCGAGTCATTTCGAGCTTGGGCAAGCTAGCAGAGAGCATTAGATCAATTCCAAATGACAATTTTCGCTGAATTATGCTTCAAATTCGACGCCTGAGTGGGCTAGCAGTGGTTTTTGAGGAATTTTGGAGATTTTCTACTGAAAAACTTAAGCAAAAGAATCGACAATACAAAGAACAAACTACAAAAAACCGTAAAAATTGTTGTTTGTAGTCATAGCTGGCGCGGCGCCGGCAGTCGTAGTTCCCCCTCCATTGATCTCTATCGGTAAACGGGATACTTCACGAATTGAGCAACTAGGTAGGTTGGCTCGGTTTGGCTTAGGCTTGGGCCTAAGCTCAGGCTTAGGCTTAGGCTTGGGCTTAGGCTTTAGCTTAAGCAGCTTCATTTCCCCCATTTTCAGATGCTCATGACGCTAGCCTAAGACATGATCGTGATGTCGAGAAGACGATGCACAAGGAGGAGCACAAGATTGGTAGGTACAAAGTGGCGAATTTCATGGCGTAATCGTTTCCCCTGCCTTCAGTGGTCCTTTAAAAAGCGTCAGCATAAAATAAACTTAATTTTCTTTAAAAATTTGAGAGAATCTGAGCTATAGTAGTAGTAAATATCGTTAAAAACTCTAAAAAATCGTCTGAAATTCATGGCGTAACCGAATAGCAGCTATTTGACTTCAATGGTCCTTTAAACCTATCAAGCTAAAAATGTCACGTTTAGAAACCCGTCAAGTGAACGCCGGCGCGAATATGCGAGTCGGACGTGATGTCGAAAAGACGATGCACACCGAGACTATCGGTAATTATTTTCGAATTCTAAATTTAATACCTAGACCTATAGCATTTTTGTAGAATTAATTTTCTACTAATTTTAATATGCAAATTTTACTTATTTTATTATAGAGCGCCACGAGCGCGGAATCGAGAATGTTCAGGGAGCCGGAGATGGCGGCACTCAGTTCAGGGATCAGCGTGATATCCCCGATCGCAAGGAGGAGGCCCAGCTTGGTGAGCTTGAGCAAGAGCCGGTTTTCCGAGCGACAGCTATTATCGCGCCCGGGATCGAACCCGAGGCCCGAAATTTGTTAGAAAATAGTGATTCTAATAAACCAATCGCTTTTCCAGACCAAGGAGCCCGCGATGGACGCGACGCTACCCTGAACAGGGAACCCAGGACCATTGGATTGGCTACGGGAGGATACGGAGGTGGATACGGCATGGGAGTGCAGCCCGGAGTTGGATTGGCCGTTGGAAGGAAGCGCAGAGACACTAAGGGTACGGTATTTCATTAATTACGGCATGGAAAGAGCTATTAATCGGTTACATTATAAAATATCTAGTAGATTTTGCCTTAAATGGCCGTTTAAAAAACGTAAATTGTCTATAAAATGCTTCAAAAAACGCTAATTAACGCATTACGACATAAAATTTAGTCTAATCGATTACGGTACAAAATAACGAGCAGTTTTGCCTTCAATGGTCCTTTAAAACGTAACAAAAACGTTAAAAAAACGAAGATTTTCTATAAAATGCTGTAAAAACCGCTAATTAATTAGTTATGACAAAAAAATATATCCATATTTTCGCTCCCTTCAACGTCCCTTTAAAGATCAAGCACAAATCCGCGAGCCGCGCACCATTGGATTGGCTACGGGAGGATACGGAGGCGGATACGGTATGGGAGTGCAGCCCGGAGTTGGATTGGCCGTTGGCAGGAAGCGCAGAGATACGCTAGGTACGGTAATTCATTAATTACGACGTGGAAATCGGGTCTATCCGATTACGCCACAAAATCCATTGCCAAATGCGCCTTCAAAGTCCTTTAACCTCAAAATCTTCAGCCGAAGACGAGCGTCAGCCCCGCGGAATTGCTATGGGAGGCACATCTAATGGAGGAAGCATGCAAATGACCGGATCTGCCACCCGTCCCGTTCGCCAGGCTTTGAGTGAGTTTTTGTGCCTTGCCGGGTCCTTTCGGAATTGATTACGCTAGGAAAAGCGAGAGAGCGAGAGAGCGATTGAGCGCGCGAAAAAGCGAGAGATTAAACGAGAGAGAGCGAGAGAGAGATTGAGCAAGCGAGAGAGACAACGAGACAGAGAGAGAGAGAGAGAGAGAGAGAGAGAGAGAGCATCAATTACGCTACGCAATCCTAAAGCCATGAATTTCTAAAGAATCCCTGCTAGCTGGCCCCTTGAAAACCTACAAAATAACGTTAGCTCGATAGCAAACTCACACCTCTATCCAATTACGCCACTAAATTCCCCCGTTAGAAACCGAGGCAGGAGGATACGGTCGCGTTGCACCCGCTTCCGTCCAGGCCCCGATCCTCCTCCGCGAGACTCGCCAGGTTTTCAGTGAGTTTTGCAAAAAATGTGTCTTTTTGGGTTTAAAGGCCTCGGGAAGCCACTTTAAAGGCGTGGTGACACCTGGCAAAAAATGGTGATATCTTTGCAGGAAGCGAACCGGGTGGTTACGGTAGGGCCCTTAGGGACGTAGAGAAGCAGATCACCCACCACGAGGAGGAGATTGGTGAGTTTCAAAAAATAGGCAAAAATAAAAATAATCATAAACTGAAAATCCGAAAAAGGCCAAAAAAAATTTTGCCTTGAACGGGCCTTTAAAATGAAAAAATTGGATCAAAACGCTTGCATTGGCTAAAGAGCCAGGCGTACTATTCAATAATACGCTAAAAAAGACATTCCGCAACGCTACAAATGACGTTTTGGGGGCACGGTGGGGTACGGTAGTACCGCAGGGCTACGGTAACCCTAAAAAAAAAATCGATTTTTTGGTTTTTCTAGTGAAAATCGCTGAACTAGCTGCAAAAATGTAAAAATATCCATTTTTCCAGCCCGCCCCGAGCGTGAAGCCCAAACTACAACCATCGAAAAGACCAAATCCTCAGTCTGTAAGTTGATTTTGGAATTTTCTGAATGTTTCCGTCTTTTCAGCCGTGACGCGACCGGCACGCGACGCGACCGCTTCGGGTAGGCCACAGGGCTTCTATAGGATGTTTACGGATTTAGGTCAAAAATTATACAAAATTTTGGGGTTTTGGGGATCGATTACGCCATGAAATTCAACTAAATTTTCTCCTTTTTCAGAGACTGAGCGCCACCAGCGTGAGGTTGAGGAGCGTCGTGAGAGGAGGAAGCGATTTATGCAAGGTAATTTGGGGTTTTAAAGGGACTAGGAAGTCAAAAAGGCGAACATCGAATCGCGGGTTCGATCCCCGGCCACGAAAAACTTTTTGCTTTATGCCTAAAACTCTTAGAATAGATCATCTGAAGCCCGGAAAAGTCTAAAAGCAAGCTCCCGAGTTTTTAAAAGGACCGGCAAGTCAAAAATCTATAAAAAACTGACATCTGGGACCGCAGAGTTCGACCCCGGGCCGCGGCAGCCGTTTTGCTTTTTGCCTAAAATTCTCCGAATAGATTCTTTGAAGTCCGGAAAAGCCTAAAAATCAAAGCTAGACATTTTGAAAGAATTCGACAAGCCAAAAACCCTGAAAATTTTAGCTCACGCCTCGCACTCGGGCCCCGGCTTCGGAATGGGCTACGGACAGGTCCCGATGGGATGTAAGTTTCTTTAAAATCTGCAAAAATTACTTAGAATTTTCAAAATCCAATTTTACAACCTTTTAAAGGGTTTGTGAAGTCAAGAAAAGCCAAAATTTCTCGATAAAACCAAGTTTTTTTCAGACGGCTGGGGACGCTAAACGCCTCAAAAACGACACCCTCGCCACCGTAATCGCGAGGGAGCGTAGAATTTGATAATTTTCACCCCATGTATCAATTATAAAATGTACAAAAATAAATTGATACAATTCAATACACTTTGCCATACACAACACTGCGCTACGCTACAGTACGCCACACTACGCAACGCTACCCTACACTACATAGTCTCCGCTACTAGGCACCAGTAACCGAAACATCGCTAACTACGCACCGTATGCTCGCATTCACTACGCAAAAGTACGTTAGACTACGCCACACTACGCTAAGTTACACTAGACAGACTACGCTACAATACGCCAGGGTAGGGTCCGAAACTACGTGACGCTACGCTACATTCCACTCGGCCAAAGACCAGAAAAATACTTTAAAAAATCAATATTTCAATGCTACATAACCCCCAGAAGTCCAAAAGTTACCGTATCATCCAACGTCCCGAAGATCGTTTCAACTGTCAGAACGCGCAGGCTAGCAGGGATCCTTGAGGCAACCTCAGGGTCTGTCGTCTGCCGAAACCTAAAATTTACGATTACGACATGAAAATCCTCGATACGAACGATTGAATGGCAAATTTCAGTAAATCGTGGTCCAGGGCAGACTAGCAGAGATGCTTGAGGAAGCTTCAGGACAGGGCGATGCCTAGAATAATCGATTACGCTATGCAAATAGCATGCACCTATCGTTTCGAGCCCCCGGCAGGCTAGCAGAGATTATTGAGGAAGTCGGCAGGCCAGCAGAGATTCTATGAGGACACTTCGGTGCTCACGGCAGCCTAGAACAATCGATTCCGCTATGAAAATTGCACGTACATATCTTTTCAGCCCCTGGCAAGCTAGCAGGGATCCTTGAGGAAGTGGGTAGGCTAGCAGCGATTTTTGACGATTCTTCAGCGTTCGCGGACGCCTAGAATAATCGATTACGCAACGAAACCCGTAAATACCTATCATTTCGAGGTTCCGGCAAGCTAGCAGAGATTCTTGAGGAAGTGGGCAGGCTAGTAGAGACCATTTGGGAGCCAAGTGAGGGCTTTACCTGAAAAATTGGATTGTAAAAATGGGAAAATGGTGCGTTTCGCGGAAATAAATGAAAAACGAAAAACCCGAATTTTTAAAGGGATAGGGACAGCTTTAGGGAGGGTAGAAGTACATTTTCTCATTATTCTTCCGGCTGTACTCGGCAAACACTTTGATAAGGTCGGCAAATAATGGAAAGTGGTAGAAAGTAGTAAATAATCGAGCATGGAGGGTCTGGCTCGCTTTCTCTCTCTCTCTCTCTCTCTCTCTCTCTCTCTCTCTCTCTCTCTCTCTTTCTCTCTCTCTTCTAAAGGGACAGTAACAGGTCAAATCCCGAAATTACTACGCAGAAAAAGTGCAAAAAATGCGTTGTGTCTCCGGTCGTCCTTTTTTTCTCGTGCAGCCGATCAATCTCCCTCATCCACGATCATCGAGCACTTTTCCGCACGCGGGTTCCCGCTTTTCTCTAGTTTTCTCCTGAAATCGTGGTTGGCCAGGCCATCACATCCTTTTTTATTATCAGGTTTCATTATTAATTGATTAATTACGCTATTTAAATCGATTAATTCGTGGCTCGTTTTGACAAAAATCCTAATTTTTCTCTTTCTCTAGGTTACAAAATGTTTTGAAGGGTTCTAAAACTCGAAAATCTAATTATTTACGCGTTTAAGTCTGAAATGTTGTGAAAAATCGACAATATGGCTCTCCATTTTCAATTTTTACTTTTACTCTAAAAATCAACTGATTACCGCGTTGTCTAAAATTTTGTGAAAACGATAAGTGTATGAATAAACTCCTAAAAACAGCTTTTTTTCTTTCTTTTGATGAATGGTTTTCTATGAATACTCCGCCTGACTAAAAATCCCTAATTTTAATTCTGCCACGCGAAAAATCTTTAATGCTTGTAGCACCTAATCAAATCTCTAAATTTAATTCCCCGAGGCCACAAATCGATACCTGGCCCTCCTCTCAATCCGGCTGATCTTTTGATCAATCTCTGTGCCCCCGGGGGTTCTTTTCTTCCTCTTTGCCGCGGGCCGCGATATTTATGACCTGTCAGCAGGAGCCGATCGTAAAAACGCTCTCGAATCTACGATTTTGCCGCCCCAAAAAACAGTCTAGGCTGCTAGCTGACTCTAGAAAGCGCATTTTCTATTTTTATAGAATTTATGGCCCGAATTACATTGCGTAATCGATTCCGCACTAATTTCCCGACTTTTATGCGCCTAAAGATGAATTTTGAGGCGTTTATTGACGAAATTAAATTGCGCAATTGATTCCAGCACGATTTTCCGCTGTTTCAAGCAAAACAGATTTTAAAAATTTCTGCGCTTTAGAAGCTTTGAATTTGAATGCGGGAATGGATTCCAACCTGCGATTATCCTGCGCAATTGATTACAGCTAGAATTTGCCCTTTTTTCCGAGGAGGTAAGGACAAAAATCGATTGCCAAGAATTTCTCCCCTTTGAAAGCCACAAATTTGAATGTATCTGCAGTTTCCTGGACTGAATTACCTTGCGTCATCGATACGCCGAAAATCCTCATTTTATACGCGTTTTTGCAGAATCGCCGGTTTTTTCGGCTTCGAGAGCAGCTAAAAATGCACAGGTAAATCGCTTGAAACCTTTAAAAAAATCGAATACTATTACAAGCTACAATCTACAAGAAATAGTACAAAAATACAACATATAGCTAAACTACAGGCTACAAACTACAAATTTAAAGTATTAAAACGCGAAAAACCACAAACTACACTTTTTTCAGCTCGAAAGTCGTGCTCTCGACAGCTGGCCGACTATCTTATTACCATGCCGTAAGCGGATCGGGGTGGAAATCGAGAAAATCGTGATTTTAGCCATCTACCGTAGCCCTCTGGGGCGAGACAATTGGGCATAGATGGAGGAGAGTGGTGGAAGAGACCCCCGACAAGCAATTTGTCATTTTTCCAAGGCAAAACAAGCGACAGACCTACGAGCAGGCGTACAAACAGGTGGGCCAGGCTTTAGTGGTTCTTTAAAATGAAGAAACGTGATTACTAGCTGGCACCAACCCTTTAAAATCGAAAATCTATAAAAAAATCTAACGAAATGCCAAAATATGCTAATTACTAAGTTACCAACGGCTTTTCTGCCTAAAGTGGTCCTTTAAAATGTGGAAAATGCGCTTTCCTAGCTGTCACCGCATCTTTAAAACGTCAAAACGTTTTGAAAATCGATTTAAAACCCAGAAATACAAATAGCAGAAAATCCATAGCCAATTTGCCTTCAAGAGTCCTTTAAAATGTGGAAAACAAGCTTTTCTGGCTGTCCCTAACCCTTAAAAACGTCGAAAAGGTTTAAAAACGGCCAATGCCAACAATACGCTAAAACGAAAAATCCGCCGCCGTTTCTCGCCTTCAGTGGTCCTTTCAAATGTGGAAAACAAGGTTTTCTACTGTCGACATCCCTTTAAACCGGAAAGGCTTAAAATCTACGTAAAAGTCCCTCCCTCCCCTCAAAAAAACATGTCGTAATCGACTTCTTTAGAGCACGAAGCTGGCCGCCTCCCTGCTCGGTCTCGGCCTCAAACCCGGGGATCGAGTCGGACTCTGGGGCCCAAACTACCTCGAATGGGCCGAGACACATTTCGCGTGTGCACAGGCCGGACTCGTACTCGTCAGTTTTGCCTCGAACGGTCCTTTAAAATGGTTTAGGTGAATGTCAACCCGTTCTATCGAGCCCCAGAGCTGGAGTACGCCCTCAAGAAGGTCGGCTGCACGGCGTTGATCACCCCGGCAAAATATAGGAATTCCGATTATTACAGGTAATTCCTAAATGGTCCCTGCTAGCTTGAGTTTCCAATTTTCTCAAAGGATCCTTGTTAGCCTGCCTCTCCAATTCCTCAAAAAAACCTCTGCTAGCCTGTTCCTCCAATTCCGCAAAAATCTCTGCCAGCCTACCCGCTCAACTTACTCAAAAAATCTCTGTTATCTGGCTCTCCATTTCCTCAAAGAAGCTCTGCTAGCCTACTCCTCAATTTCCAGCTACTTCGAAGAGGTCGTCCCCGAAATCGCCGCCAAACCCCAGGGCCAGGGAGCGGTATCAATTTTGCCTTCAATGGCCCTTTAAAGCGGTCTAGGTCACGAGTCACAACCTGCCCACCCTCAAGCACTTGATCGTCTTCGACGCTGAAGACCCCGGCAAGAAGTTCAGGTAGGGTTTAGGGCTTTTTTAAAGGACTGGCGAAGCCTCAGAATGACCCTAGTAATTCGATCACTTTTCTAAAGCGATCGATTTTTATAAAAATATAATGATCCTACAAAAAATTATTCTAAAGGGTAAAAAAATGCGTAGATTCAGAAAATCATAGTGAGAAGCGCTCGCTCTGGGCAAAATAACACGAAAAGCTGCCTAAAAATGTAAAAAAAAAAAAAAATGTTTAGCGGAGCCTGGAACTACGCGGAGCTGCTGTCCGGAGGAGCGGGAAGTAGTCAGGAAAAACAGTTGGAGGAGATCGCCGAGAATACACACTTTGATCGGCCGTTTAATATCCAGTTTACGAGCGTAAGTCACAAGCTAAGCCAAGACTAAGCCAAGCCAAGGGTAAGCCGAAGCTGAAGCCTAAGCATAAGCCCAAGTCCAAGCCAAGCCTAAGCCAAATGTAAGCCATGCCGAAGCCACTAAGCCAATTTCAGGGCACCACCGGCTCCCCAAAAGCCGTCACCCTGTCCCACTTCAACGTGCTGAACAACGCCAGGCTGCTGGGGTTGAAGTCGGGATTTGACAAAACGGTTAGTGCATCATCCATCTCTAGCGTTTTTAGCTTTGAAAGAAACGTAAAAGCTTCAAAATCCATAGGTTTTAAGAAAGAGGTGATCTGCGTGCCGAACCCGCTCTACCATACGTTTGGCTGTGTGGCCGGGTTGTTGAATGGAATGGTGCATCGGCAGGTGAGCGTGCAGAGATTATTTAGGAGGGGCAGGCTAGCAGGGATACTTGAGGAACGGAAAAACTGGAAAAATCGGCAAAAATTATTCGGCGATCTAGCAGAGGTCCTTTGGGATAGTCGGTGAGCTAGCAGGGATTCTTTGAGGAAGGGGTAGGCTAGTAGAGGTCCCTGTGGAAACCAAAAATCTGGAAACCCGCCTGAAAATACTTCAGCAACAATGGCAAGCTAGCAGGGATTCTTTAGGAAGCCCAGGAAAGCTAACAAAGGTTTTTAGGAAGGGGTTTGCTAGCATAAATCATTGAGGAAGAGAAAAAGCTGGAACCCTGCCTGAAAAAAGCTTCAGCAACAATGATTCCTGAGAAACTCAGGGAGGCTAGCAAAGGTTCTTCAGGACGTAGCAGGCTAGCAGAGATTATTTGCCTTGAAAACTCCCTTAAAACCCAACAAAACCTATTCTAGACCCTCGTCTTCCCCAGCGAGACGTTCAGCGCCGGCGCCGCGCTTAAAGCTATCCAGAGCGAAAAGTGAGTAAACTTCGAAGCTTAAATGAGCGCAATTTTTGTAATTTGTAGTCTGTAGCCCCCCCCGGGCTCGATTTGTAGTCTATAACCCACATTCAGGGCGACGTTCGTCTACGGCACCCCTACGATGTTCATCGACATGCTCAACCACGAGACGTTCGCCAATACCGACGTCTCGTCGGTTAGCGGGGGTATGTGCTCGTAGTTTGTAGCCTGGCTAATTGTAGTTTGTAGCCTAACGTACTCTAAAATTGTAGTCTGTAGCCCAGCATACTCTAGCTTGTAGTCCATACTCCAGACTACAAAAACCCTCTATTCAGCCTATATCTCGGCCGCCCCAATCCCGAAGCCCCTCCTCGAGCGAATGTTGGACAAGATGGGGCTGCACAGGTATACCAGCTACAGACTACGAGCTACAAACTACAACATCTGCAGACTGATGGTACTGTACGGGTGCACGGAGACGAGCCCGGTGATTACGGCTGCCAGACTCGAGCAGACGCCGCAGGAACGAATCCGGAATTCTGGGTACCCGCTGGATCATACCGAGGTATGGTAGTTGGGGTATTATAGGGTACGCGGGATTAGGGTTTGTTAGGATAGAGTACGAAGAATTACGCTACGATACGGTGATGTACGAAGTATTGCGCGACATTACGTTAAACTTCAATATAGCACGCGAGAATACACGAGAGTACGCGAAATTACGATAGCGCACATGAGAGTAAGCGATACTACGCGAAATTACCATACAGTACGCGAGAGTACGCGAAATCACGATAGAGTATGCATCAGTACGAGACGATACTCTGGCCAAGAGTACTGTAGAGTTCGAGAGAGTACCGTAGAGAACGGCAGAATGTATCAGGGTACGGTAGATTACATCAGAGTACGGCAGAGTACGATAGCGTACGATAGAGTACAGCATAGTAAGCAAGAGTCTGTTAGAGTACGCTACGACGCGACCATAGGTAAGCGTGAAAAAGCACCAAGTTAAAAATGAGGGATGCGAAAAGCACGAAAAAAGTAGGGATGCTACGCTAGGATACGGATACGGTCGTGTACGCTAAAGTACGGAGGTACCATGGTACGGTAATGTACGCGGGAGTACGTTAGAGTACGCTATGCTCCGATACAGGAATTTTCAGACAGCCGTCGTGTGTCCCCAGACGCGTCTGCCAGTGCCACGTGGCTCTCGTGGGGAACTGGTAACGCGAGGTTTTCACGTGATGAGCGGTGGCTATTGGAATGACGCGGAAAAGACGAGGGAGGCCGTGTGCGCGCAGGGATGGTACAGGACTGGGTACGTTAACTGTTACCGTGCCTTTAAACCGGTTACGACATGAAATATGAGCGTTTAAAGGACCATTGAAAGCAAAAAATTCACGAAGAATCGAATTTTCCTGATTTTAAGAGCCATGAAGACGAAAAATATGGAGTCAAACTTGGTTTTTAGCGATATCGCGGTGATGCAACCAGATGGCGGCGTTCAGATTGTCGGCCGGCTGAAGGATATGATTATTCGAGGTGTCACTCTCCCTTTAAAACCCAAAAAAACCGGATTTAGGCGGCGAAAACGTGTATCCGACCGAGATCGAGACGTGCCTCTTCAAACACCCGGCAATCGCTGATATTCATGTAAGCTAGCAGAGATTCTTTGCGGAATCAGGTGTCACTTTTTTAGGTGATCGGCGTGCCAGACGCACGCCTTGGCGAAGAGGTGTGCGCCTGGGTGAGGCTGCAGACCGGCAAGAAGTTTACGGCCGACGAGTTGAAGGAGTACTGCAAGGATAAGGTGGGGAAGTTCGAAAATTCCTCGAAAAACGCTGTTAGCCTGCGCGGAAAAGTGCAAAAAATGCTTTCTAAAAGTTGCTGGGCAATTTGCAGACTAAAGCTAATTTTCCCAAAAGATCTTTGCTAGCCTGCTCAGCACCAAAACGGCTCTAAAACTTCAAAATTCCTTGTTAGGATGCCGGAAAAGTGTAAAATGATTTCTAAAAGTTGCTCCGTGATTTCGGGCCTAAATTTAAATTTTCTAAACGATCTCTACTAGATGACCGATGCGAAAACGTCGGAAAAAAAGTTGGAATTCCTCAAAAATCTATGCCAGCAGGCCAGAATTTCTAAACATAGGGGAAAACGTATTTTCCCCGATTTGCTCTGCTAGCCTGCCCTTCCTAAAAATTTAAATATTAGACTACAAACTACAGACTACATTTAGATGGCCCGCCACAGTATCCCGCGCTACATTCTCTTCAAAACCGAGGCCGATTTCCCGTTGACGGCCACCGGAAAAGTGCAGAAATTCGAGATGCGGAAAATTACGAAGAAGGAGCTCGGGCTCGACAAGGTCGAGACCCATTTCAACGAGGAATAAAAAGGAGCACGAGAGAATGAATAAATATTTGATACGGGTTGTTCTTTGTAGTCTACCAGATTTGCGTGATTTATTATAAACTGTAAACTACAAATACAGACTACAGAATCAAAACGACGATCCAGGCCAAAAAACGCAAACAATCTCTGCTAGCTTGCCTCCGGATAGCTTGGAGAGCACAAACTACATACTCCAAAAAACAGCAAAATCGCCTTGTTGGAGTCAAACCACCAGCTCCAAAACGCTCAAACTACAGACTACAGACTACAAAAAAATGGAGGGAATATCTTTGCTAGCTTGGGTGCAACTACAGGCTACAAATTACAAAAACGGCTCCTACAGAATCTCTGCTAGCATGCCCAGACTCCAAAAAAATCGAAATGGCAGTTTCCGGTTTCAAAAGTGACCTAAAGTTTACTTTCACAACGACAAACCCATGATTCATCATGCAAATCCGGGGTATATTTCTGTCTTTTCCGTCTCTCTCCCTACCTCTTTCTCTCTCCCTCTCTCTCTTTTCGCTGCATGGTCAATTTTCGTAAGAGTTAATCGCTCCCCCCCCTCCCCCAACAGTCCGGATAGTTCGGAAAACTCGCACTCAACAGCTGTGACTCTCACTTTGCGTGAGTGATTTTTGGATTTTCACCACCCCAAAAAAAGTTGGAACAGTTTTTGTGGCTCCCCAGGAATCTCTGCTAGCCTGCCATAAACTGATTTGTCCTCAAATTGTCTCTGCTCGGGTGCCCCATCCAAAAATTCCGGAAAAAGCGCTGCCAGCATGTGCTGTTGCTATCAATAAAAGTTTCCCAAAAAATTTTCTGCTGCCTCATTTGCCAATTTTCAGGGCATAACCGATTTTCCTACATGTTCTCTGCTAGCCTGCCCGGCCCCTTCCCAATTTTTGAGTAAAAAAGTGACGGCTCAACGATCCGGCTCATCATCATCACAAATCGTCGCCGCAGTAAATTGCCCAAATGGTGAGAGTGAGCGAGAGGGAGAGAGAGAGAGAGAGAGAGAGAGAGAGAGAGAGAGAGGGAGAGAGCGAGAGTGAGAGATACTTTCTCCTCCCTTCCGGGATCCACTCCCCAAACACGGAAATCTGGCCTCATTTCAGCAATCGCCCCCGATAATCAGCATCAATTTTTTGACACTTCCTTTTCCTTTTTAGCACCAAAAATTGAGCTTTTTCCTGGCTGTCCTGCTCACTTAAACAGTGAAATTTCGAGCTGTATTGCTACCCCCTTAAAGCTATTTTTCAAGATGATTCTCCGATGGGTATTCGCGTCAATAGTCCTGTTATGTACTATCCTAACGGCGCTTCCGCGTTTCCGGAAAACCGGATACGATGAGCAAGAGGCGAGGCTGTTGCTCAATTTGGCAGCCGGGGCGTATGCCGATTCGCCGTATGAATGTGTCAACAGGTGAGTCTCAGAATTCCGCAAAGGATCTTTGCTAGTCACCAGGAAAACTCAATATTCCCCAAGAACCACCGCTAGCTTGCCAGGCTCAAAATTTCAAAAATCATCACTAGCTTGTCTGCACAAAAAAAACCCTTCCCACTAGGCGGCCATCGATTTCCCAATGGTTTCCCCCTAGCTTGCCCCCCGGAAAACGGCAAATTCCGCAAAGAACCCCTGGGGCGGAGGTTGCAGAGAAGTTGCAGAATCCGGAAGAACCTAAACCAACCCCCCGCAAAGAATCCCTGCTAGTAACCCCCTCTGATAGCCAATTAAACAATTTTCCGCAAAGATCTCTGCTAGCTCCCCTCCTACCCGCAATTTTCAGAACATTCCCCCCACACGAGGCTCGAGTGTTGCTCGAGAATATAGGAGAGGAATGCGATATCGTCTCCAGCCTATGTTCTGGATATGTCGTCAAATCTGATCGGCTGCAACATCTTGTACTCGTATTTAGAGGTAGAGAGAGAGAGCGAGAGAGAGAGAGAGAGAGAGAGAGAGAGATAGAGCTAGGCTTTTAAAGGGACAGTGGCAGCAGCAAAAAAAACTAAAAGAGAGCTACATTAACCCCCATTTTTCAGGTACTAAGACGAAAACCCAGCTTCTACTGGAGGGATGGGCCTCGCACAGTGACGGCGCCCCCTTTTTCGACATGGGAGATGTTAGTGGTCTTGTGAGAGCTAGAGAGAGAGAGAGAGAGAGAGAGAGAGAGAGAGAGAGAGAGAGAGACAGATAGAGCAGCAAAAAAAACAGCTAGAAAATTCTGTTACAGTCAAAATTCCAGGTGAATAAATATTTTCTGCACGCCCACCAAGTACTGTGGCCACCGGTTGATCGCGTTTTGAGGGACCCGCGCTATCAGGTAGGGATTTAAAAAGACTCGAATGTTTAACAAAAGCTAAAAATCCACAAAGCTATGGTGCCGTGAGTTCAATGGTCCTTTAAACCCCCTAAAATTACGCTCTTTAGCACTACGCCGTAACCGTAACCGGCCATTCCCTCGGAGGAGCCCTAGCCGCGCTAGCTGCTGCCAGAATTGTGAACCAAGGTAGGAGATAACATTGACGCATTACGCAACAAAAACGATCCGATTAGGAAATCAAAATCAGCATACAAACCGGCATTAATGCGTTACGTATGATATTTCCGCCCCGATCACGTTATGAAATTCAGCGTTACAAAGAGAAGAACGCCAAAATCTAAGGAAAAGCTATAATAAGTTGGGCATCAAATTCCTGATCCGATTACGTAATGAAAATCAGGTTGAAAGGGACAGGCAAGTCAAAATCTACAAAATAGCATTAATGTTTCCATGAGATTTCCGATTCGCGAACGAAGTCGGTTTTAAAGGGACAGTGATGTCAAAATCTATTCAGGCCTTCGACAAAGCGGACAAATCCGTCTGATCACCTTTGGCGAACCACGGGTCGGATCAGGAAAGTTCGCGCGGAATTTCGACGCCATCGTGCCGAACGCGTGAGTATTTTTCAGTTTTTCCTCAATTTAAGAAGATTCTAATATTGCAAAAATTAGCCTAAGGCGTTTTTCGACGTAGTTTTGTGCGTAGATTCAGAAAATCTTAGTGAGAAGCGCTCGCCCTGGGCAAAAAAAAACGCGAAAGGTTGCCTGAAAACATCAAAATCCAAAGATTTTAGGTATCGGGTCGTCTTCCGCCGAGATATTGTCCCCCATATGCCGGCTTGCAGGAAGGATTTCAGCGATACGAGGCTAAGTAAGTCTAAGCATCTCTGCTAGCTTGTCCCCGAGAAAAAACGGCGATTTTCCTCAAGAATCCCCGCTAGCCTGCCCTTCTCCAATTGCCTCGATTTCCCCAATAATCGCTGCTAGCCTGCCCTGTTTCTTTTCCAATGCCTCTAAGGATCTCTGCTAGCCTGCCTCGTCACTCTCACCGGTCTCTCTATTTCCTCAAAAATCCCTCCTAGCCTGCCAGATGGAAATTTTTAGAGCGATCGATATTTGAGCGCGTGTGGGGTTGGATTTGTGGTAGGTTCACGAGCATGCAGAATTCCTCATTTTGGCCCGAATTCTGCCTTGCATGCCCCTTTAATTTTTAGATACGGTAGAACCCAAAAAAATCGATAAATTTAGGAGAAGAAGACGTTCATCCGTGCGATGACTACGAGGGAACAGCAGCCTATCACCACGGAACCGAAATATGGTAATCGATTACGCTAGGAAAAACTGAAAAATCACAAATGGTCTATGCTAGCTTGTCCAGTCGATAAATTGGGATTTAGGTACCCAGACTGTATGGATCCGGGCTGTACGTATCTGGAATGTACGGGATTACCCAAAAACGAAGATATGCAATGCTCGGATAAGCTGTCGTTCAACCTGGGCGATACCTCGGATTACGTCTGGGATCATAGGAATTATTTTGGGGTCAAGGTATGTAAATTCGTCGGCTTTGCCTTCTTGGGCCTTTTAGAATACAAAAAATTACTACAGCAATCCTCTAAATGCCTTCCCGGTATCTTTAAAATGAAAAAAAAACGAAAAATATGCTACTATAATTCGAAAAACTGAAAATTCGCTACCGCAATAATTTTTTGCCTTCCAAAGCCCCTTAAAATGCAAAAATGACTACAGTAACCCGGAATCTGACTTGCAACCACCTAAAAAATGGGCAAAAGTTGAAAAAGTCCGATCGTAATCGACTTCTTTTTTCTCTTCCGGCACTTTTAAAATCGCGGAACCTTACTACAGTAACCCGGAATCTGCCTTAAAACACCTCAAAGATGCGAAAAAGTTGAAAATATGCTATCGTAATCTACTTTTCTGCTCTTGCCGGAACTTTAAAATATCGGGAAAATACTACAGCAACCAGAAATCTGCCTTAAAAACCCTTTAACCGGCGAAAAACTTGAAACTATCTTATCATGATCAATTTTTTCCGCATTTCCAGTGCCCCTAAAACGCAAGAATATGCAAAAAAATAAAAATTCATCACCGTAATCGATTTTCTTTTTGTCGATCGATTTTGAAAATCGCAAAAAACGAGGAAGACCCCGAAAAATCCCAAATTCCAGGTAACGAGCTATGGAAAATCGGGTTGCGATGGGGTGTTCAACGCGACGGAAGTGAAAGAGGGCACGATACACAAAATTGTGTCTGGGCTGAAGATGTGGGCATCGAATATTGGATGAAATGTCGAATATCGAACCGAATAAATTGTATTTATTTCGTGATTCCACAAAAACCTCAGCTAGCCTGCCTTTCTATGAAATCCGCAAGAAAAACTGCTAAATTTTCTTCTCAAAAAAGAGAAATATTCCTGAAAAATCTCTGCCAGCTTGCTTGCCTCCAAAAAAGCGACATATCGCCCAAAAATTAGCATAAAATCTTGAATGCAAAAATCCTAAAAACTACGGTATTCGTCGGCGATGCCGCGCTACAGTAAGCTGGCCTGCGACGAGGAGCTGTACCCACAGTTGACACCGCATAGTCGAGAGGTAGCGAGCGTAGCCTAAGCCAACCTTAAGCCCACGCCTAAGCCTAAGCCCAAACCAACCCCAAGCCAAGCCAAGCCAAGCCTAAACCCGTGTCACGCTTCATTTTAAAGGTGTTGTGCCACGGCCCAATCCTCGTCTACTACATCCCTCCGTTCGAGGGCGTGCGGCGCATTAATGGGCACGATTTGGCGGCACCGCCGGCCGATGACGAGGACTTTCTTTATGATATTCAGGTATTCCCTAAGGGTCTCTGCTAGCTTGCCTGTCACCAAAAATAGCTGAAGCGCAGGCAGGTGCTTCCCCAAGGATCACTGTTAACCTGCCCCGTTTCAGGTGAATTGCGGCTTCAACCACCGCCTCTTCACCACAATTACGGATATAACTATCGTAAGCGATTGTTGGATATCGATTGATTTCCGGGGTTTTTAGGCGATCGTCAACTCAAAGATCCCGATTCTCGTGCCGCCATGGGTCGAGGTGGTTGTGGAGGTGAGAGAGAGAGAGAGAGAGAGAGAGCGAGGTACAGAAACAAAAAATCTCGTTTTCTAGGGTGAAAACTGCAAAATCTACCACACGCACCACTGCACCGTCGACGTCACCGGCACCATGGAGGTCGGGAGCTGGGAGCCAGCGGCAAAAAGCAAACTTTTTGATCTCGGCGGGGATCGAACCCTTGACGCTTCGAACCAGGATTTTCAAAAATTTGGAAAAATAAAAAAAATCAGAACTTTTTGACCTCGGCGGAATTGAACCTTCGTTCTCCAGACTAGCGATTTTTGGTTTTTCTGGCTTTGAAATTATGGGCTACAAACTACAACCCCCGGTTTTTTTAGCTCACCGAGAACAGCACGGCCGAGCAGCGCCCCCAGGTCGGCATCCTCTGCCTCTACGCCGCTGATGTGCGCCGTTTTGGGGAGAATATTCAGGTGAGGCGGGCAGCCAGCTGGCAGGGATCTTCTAGGACCGATTTTCATGTCGTAATCAACTGGCAAAAGGCGATTTAAATGGCGTAATGGAGCAACCAGACTAAAAATCTAATGAAATCCACAAGTTTTCAGACTAAATCAGCTGTCACCCTCCCTTTAGAATAAAATTTCATGTCGTAATCGTTTGACAAGCTCGATTTTTCTATCGCTATCGGTTTAACGGCTTTATAATCAAGGAAATCCAAGACTTTCTAGGTTAAATCTAGGAGTCGCGCTTCCTTTACCAATTTTCATATCGTAATCGGTTACCAAAACCCGATTTTCCTAGCGTAATCGGTCAAACCCCCTGGTTTTCAGGTAGTGCTCCAAGATGACGTTGTTGCGTGGGTGCCCCATGGCGGGAAAGTGATCGTGGCCCACCACTCTACCGAGCTCATCTCCTACCGCGAGCAGAGCGACCTCTGAGAACCTGTCGCTGCACCTTTAAACCCCCGCCCCCGGAAATGGATTAAACTTAACGGATAGGACTCGGTGTATTGCGTGTGCGTGTCTGATTGGAGATGATGGATAAATGGTTGCTGCTTTGGGTACAGGTTACAAAAATTGGAGAGGCTCTGAAAATGCAAAATAGAGAGCTGGCACGGAGACTACAGACTACAAAAATCGGCTACGAATGACAACTCGAGACGGTTTGGCTAGATGCCAATTTGTCGAATTTCGCAGAATACAGAAGTCGTCGCCTCCGAAAAAGACGCACAAAACTTTTGGCAAAATTCAGACAAAACGCGCGGCCAAGGCTACCGACTACAAAAATGGGTAATGCCTCAAAAATCGTGAAAATTAACCTATTAAAACCTATTAGAACAGTCGAAACCGCTCGGCAAAAAAAATCACGCGAAAATTTCTTCAAAACTCAGAAAATTGCGCTTTTGGAGGCGGCCAAACTACAGCACACCTCTAGACGTCCCGTCTAAACCCAATTTGTCAACGTCGAGAAGAGCCAGTCTACAAATAAAAACTAATATCTGCTTTCACGAGGCCTTGCAAGGTTTTTAAGTGGCTGGGATATTCAAAAAATCTCGCTGCTAAACGCCGGGCTACAAACTACCTGTAAGCCAAGTTTTAGCTCGATTCTCCCAGTAGCTGGGCCCTTAAAAATCTCACATTCGGCTTTCCGACCATCAGCCTACAAACTACAGCAGCCAACTTAATTGTTGAGTACCAGTCATACTGGGGATCTCAAAGTTGGTGCTTTCGCATTATCGGGGGAGGCTAAGCTTTTTTCTCAGTTTCCCATTTTTCGAAAAACATTGACGAGAAAAAACATTCATTTGACAAAAAATTGGATAAAAACGGCCGACTTGTTACGAAAATTTCTCATCTTACAATTGTTAGCAGATAATACACCCCCCCCCGATAATGCAAAAGCACCCCAACGTCTTTAACGTCCCTTTCCAATTCACCCACTTCTTAAGAGAAAATCCCCAGCATTCGCGTTGCGTTGCGTGTGTGGGGATGTATCTGGTGCTCGTTGGGGGTGAGGGATGAAAATGGTGCACCAGATAGCCCTCGGACGGGGGGCAGATAAGGTGGCGAGAACGGGTCAGATCCCATCTCTCTCTCCCTCTCTCTCGCCTCTCTCGCCCACCAACGCTAAATTATTAATGGGCAGGATGCGCGGGCGGGGTGCACCCTTTCGGGGAGCACGAGCTCTTTCAACGAAATACGCGCTCCCTGGTGCTCAGCGCCAGATCGGGAGAGAGCCGGACTCTGGGACGGATACGGTAGATGTGGATAGGATTTAGGCGGAATTTTCGCTTGTAAAGTGTTAATATTGTAGGCTGATGGTCAGGGAGTACGGTAGAAGTCCAAAAAACCCGGTAGCTTCTCTGTATTCCGCAACTTTCCACTGGGGTACGGTAACCGTAAAGAGGATGTGTGCGGAATTTCTAATGAGGCCTATTTATACGCAGGCTGACAGCTGGCAGCTACAGTAGCTAGGTCAGATTCTGTAAACCGAAGATTTCTGAAGTTCCACAACTTTTCGTCAGAGTACGATAACCGTAAAGCGGAACGTAGCGGAATTTTTTAGAGTGCAGCGTTCAAGAAATTTCTGAAACCTCGTAGAGTGAACTTAGTTGTAGTCTCAGAAACACAGTAATCTCTGTTGTGTTTACATTTCTTTAACCATTTCCTCAAGGATCCCTGCTAGCCTGCCCCGTCAAATGCCCTATGTAATGCCTCGGGGCATATGACACTAAAAATCCTCTCAGAACTCGTTTTTCTACTCGACCACCCTAGTAGACGGCGGATTGATAGACAATCCATCTGCGGAAACAACCCGGGCGGCCTAGCGGACTCTAAAGAGACGCTTTTCCTCGAAACGCACATTAGCGCTGCAGGAAATACCCCGAAGAATGATAGCCAATCCCCTATAAGTTGCCATAAAGTCATCTAAATATGCCAAAATTCCAAAACAATTTTCAACTATTTAGGCTTTTTAAACTGAACAAATACGTTACAAACTACAGCTCGGACAACCGGTTAGGCCACGAAAATTGCCCCCTCAAAAATGGCTAAAAAGTACCGATTTTTCCGGATGTTTGTAGAAAATAGCTCTCAATTAGCCCACGTTAAAAGTATTCCGTTAAAAATTCGCCAGTACTACCCCCTGAAAATTTCCAATTTTCGATCCCCCTTGCTTCGAAAAACGCAGAGTTCTATCTTGGCTGCGGGCCTCGATTTGGTTAGGGGGAAACCCTAAAGCAGGTTCCACCCTCTAATCAACCGCCAGAGCTTCGTAAATTCATATAGCTCTCTTTCTCTCTCTTTCTCTCGCTGGCTTCTGCTATGTGCCTATGCCAGCAGCCAAGCCGGATTTCAAATATGAGGGGCCGGGCAGTGGGAGCCGCAGGGATATTCACGCGATCAGATCGGGCACCCTCGAATGATATCGTTTTAAAGGGATCGTTACAGACTGAGTGAGAGAGAGACAGAGAGAGAGAAAGATAGAAAAATTTGACGCGATCGAAAATCAAACCAGCGTCTAGAAAACCACTTTAACAAGCTCTTTAAAAAATAGCGAAAAACCATAGAAACGCTACATTGTCTTCCAAAAGCGGATTTTACAACAAGCTACAAAATGTTCCCGTTTTTCGCTACGTTCTAAAAATCTAGAGTGCCGGAACTACAAACTACATCCTCTAAAACCTTGCTCGCGTCCCGGATATTTCCAAATCTTCCGGCTTCCTTGAAAAGCCCTTCCAAAAGCGAGAAACTGACCTACTGTGACGCCCCACCACAGACTACAAATTCCACCCATCGGTACGATACGCTATGGGGCTATACCTGTAGCCAGAAGGAAGTTGAACCCCAGGTTACAGGTAAACGACCAGTAAACAGAAAAGCGAGCTCCAGATGAAAGACTACAAACTACAAAGCAACCGCCGCAAAATCCCGCTACAATTTCAAAAATTGCCTTCAATGGCCCTTGAAAAGCCCTGCGCTTGCAGAGCTGAAATCCAGGGTCGGAGCCTACAGACTACCGGCCACAAACTGGCGCTGGATTTGGCGATACCACACTACAATCGACAAAATGCAGATGCAAAATCCTCAAAATTTTGCATTCAATGGTCCTTTGAACGCTTCCAAACTAAAAAAAAAGGAGACCCCAAACAAAAAACAAAAAATAAAAAAAAAATCTCCTCCCATACCCCCAAAAACAAAAAAAAATAAAACCGGGGTTTCCTCTCTCTAAAAGCCTCCTTAAATTTTTTAAAGCTAGAAAATGGCAACCAGGGTCCGAGACTACAGACTACAAAATCGAAAGGTCTAACTTATCTCGAGAAACTATGGAAAGAGTAGAATAATTGCCTTCAACGGCTCTTTAGCATAACGTACTTTCCTCTCCTCCACGTCTCTCTATTATTCTACGTATATCCCATGTCAGGGCGGCTATATCGTGAGGGGTATCCCTTGCTGCTCCCCTCCTAATGCTCAGACTCCGCCCCCCTCGGCCTCCCTATACCCTGGGGCTATTTAAGGGCGCGAGAAGGGATTGAGAGTTGCTCTCAGCCATCTCTCATCTCTTTAGAATGGAGTCCTCCGAGGGCCGTACCAAGGCCTACAAATTTGTCGCGTACACGGCGGTCAGCTTCGCCGTCGTCGCCCTTCTCTCCGTCGTCTGCACCCTGCCCATGGTACGGTAGTCTTGTTAATTGTCATTTTTAACTTTTCGAAACACTTTCCGATTAATTGTCTGCCAGAAAAACCAGTTTACGATTTTTAAACTCAAAATGACGTTAATTTTTGAAAAAAAAATCGTTTTTTTCGCCCGGGGTACGGTAGGAAAATGCATTGTCTCTACGATTTGTCATTTTTGTTTTTAACGTATTTAACGGCTTAGCCGTCTGCCAGATACAGTGCCAGATCTACTGTTTTAAAATTCAAATTTTACGATAATTTTCGAAGGAATTAATTTAAACTGAAATGGAATACGGTAGAAAAAGTTACGGTAATTTTTCCATAACTTGTCATTTTTACCTTGCTAACCTATTTTTGTTTGTTCACCCCTCTAAACTACAAAAATTCCAAAAAGTTCGAAAAAAATAGGATTTCGTCAGGGTACGGTAACTAAAAAAACAAAAATTAATTGTTAACACTTTTTCTACGCTTCGAATCGATAAAGGCTAAAAAGCTAAACAGCTAAGCTAAAAAATACAACCGATTACGCCATTTTAAAGTTGACGAAAATCCAAAAATGCCATATATTTTCAGGTGTACAACTACGTTGCCCATGTACGCCGGCAGATGCAGCACGAGCTCCAGTTCTGCAAGGTGAGCAGCTACAGATTTTGTTGTACTTCGTACTTTGTATTTCATAAATTTCATATCGCAATCAGTCAAAAAATGACAAGATTGCTAAATATGCCACTCCGTTTAAAAGTCCATTCCTTAGCTATCGCGCTCCCGTTTGTTGGCTAATGCGCTTGTGGGTTTACGTATAATTCGTAGCGGCCGAATTTCATGTTGTAATGCATCGAAAAACACGATTTTCACGGGGTCACTCCCCCAGAACACCGATACTTCTAGCTGTTGCGCTCCCTTTAAACTCCAATTCGAGGCGTTTCGTGCTGCCCTTAAGAGTCATCAAGTTCGTTAAGTTCGAGAGCAATGAATTACATGACACAATCGGTTAAAAACCCTTTTAAAAGCCCATTTCGAGCTGTGCATGAACCCTTTACAATGCGTAAATTCTAGGGCTCCGCCCGCGACATCTTCGACGAGGTCAACCAGATGAAGCACGCCGCCGTGGTCCACCGCAACAGGACCACCCGCCAGGCCGGCGGATACGGTGCCCCCGTTGTCAACCCCGAGCCCGAGTTCACCTGCGATGGGTGCTGCTTGCCCGGCCCGCCCGGAGCTCAGGGAGCCCCTGGACGCCCTGGAAAGGTGAGCACGAGCTCTAAAAAAGGCAAAAAATGCTCGGAAAGCAAAAAGTAAAACTTTGACCCCGGAAGGAATTGAACCCTCGACCCTTAGGTCACTTCACAAACCCTTTAAAATAATTTCTAAAACTATATCCCTAAATTAAATTTCAGCCTGGTCGCCCCGGTGCCCCCGGAGCCCCTGGAGCCCCTGGAAAGCCGCCGCTTGCCCCCTGCGAGCCGACCACCCCGCCCCCGTGCAAGCCTTGCCCCCAGGGTACGTCTACGAGCTTGAAATTTAAATTTTCAGCTAGAAATTGCTAAAATGTATTGTTTCCTAGTCAGAATGAATCCCTTTCCCCATCATTTTAAAAAATTTTGAGCGAAAAAAGCAAAAAGCAAAAAGTTTGTCGCGGCCGAGGATCGAACCCTCGACCCCTAGAGCGATAGAGATAAGGCTAAAAATGCTTTAAAAACTAAGTCAAACTTTAAATTAGCAGCTATACAGGCTACAAACTCCATTTTGGGCCTTTTGAGTAAAAAAGCAAAAAGTTTGTCGCGGCCGGGGTTCGAACCCTCGACCCTTAGATCGGCAGAATGAAAGCTAAAAAGCTATCAAAAAGAATCGAAATACTAAAATGAAAGACATACTAGGCTACAAACGCCATTCTGGACTTTTTGAGCAAAAACCAAAAAGTTTGTCGCGGCCGAGATTCGAACCCTCGACCCCTAGAACATCAGAAATAAAGCCAAAAACGCTCTAAAAATTACGCAAACTAAAGCCAAAGTAAAGCTCAAAGTATAACTCCATTTCCAGGACCCCCCGGCCCACCCGGACCCCCTGGAGCCCCCGGAGACCCCGGAGAGGCCGGAACCCCTGGACGCCCCGGATCCGACGCCTCGCCTGGACTCCCCGGACCCCGTGGACCCAACGGACCCCCCGGAGAAGCTGGAGCCCCTGGACCTGCTGGAGAGCCCGGAGTGCCCGCCCAAAGCGAGCCCCTCACCCCCGGACAGCCCGGAGAGCCCGGAGATCAAGGTAAGGGAGTATTACGAGTGAGTACTAGCGACGGAAACGCGTAATTTGGAACATAGCGTCGTTCACAACTTTTTAAACCCCAGGAATTGTAAAATGTAGAAAGCGTAGTCATCCGGCTCAAAAATCTTACTAGAGTACGGAAGAGTACGGTAGCGACGGAATGTCGTCATTTGGAACATAATGTAGTACCTATCTAAGTAATTGGAGCGCGTAGTCAACAGCTATCTCAGGTAGGAGAGGGAAAACTGAAGCCCAAAAAATTACGTCAAAGTACGATATGATACGTTTGCGACGGAACTACGTAAACTGGTGTATCGCGTAGTGCTAAATCTAAAAATTACGTGTAGTTTGTAGTTGCGCGTAATTTATAAAATTTTGAGCTGGTCATACTGTAATATGCAATCCAGCCTAGCCATATACCTCAAAAAAACTGACTTCAAGCAGTTCAGGGTTAAGTAGGCTTCGCCACAGAATGTACGGAATTTGGAGCATCCATCGCGTAGTCGGTAGCGTTTTAGGGGTAAAAATTGGCAATTTCAGCATGGATTAAAGAGATTAATCACTAAATCTAAAGAAACTAAAAATTGCAGGACCCACTGGACCCCCCGGCCCTCCCGGAGCCCCCGGAAAGGACGGACCCCCCGGCCCACCCGGACCGAAGGGAGCCCCCGGACCCGATGGACCCCCCGGAGCCGATGGAGGCGTCGGTCCGGCTGGACCCCCCGGACCCGCTGGATCGGGCGGAGAGAAGGGTATCTGCCCCAAGTACTGCGCCATCGACGGAGGCATCTTCTTCGAGGACGGAACTCGCCGTTAAGGTCAGGGTTTTTGGGTTGCGGGGGCCTTTAAAGTTGGATTTTAAGCTCGTAATTGGTTAAATCGCATCTAGAAACTAGCCCGAAGTCTTTAAAATACAAAAATCTACTCTAGTTTCAAAAAGCAAAAATTTTGGCGCCGGGCGGGGTCGAACCCTCGGCCCCTTGGATCGTTACTTATTACAAATTTTCGAGAAATTAAAGCTTGAAAAACATTCCAGAGTAATAAATTAGGTCATCGAAGCGCTTCAATTAATTTTTTACAACCTAAAAACCCCATTTTAGAAGTCAACTTGTCCAAGTTGTTCATCTACCTCCCTCTGCTCCTCATCCTCAACATCTACAGGTCCCGAATCGATTCTACAGTCTCTACCTGCAATCCAATTCGTGCCAAGCCATCCTTTTTCTGCTTATTCTCTTCTCAAGTACCCAACAACACTCAAAAACTGTGTAATAAACTGTATAGTACGCAACTGTACGCTGCGCTACGCAACAGATACAGTAGACTAGAAGCCACAAAAATTGCAGAAAATGTTGAGAAGCGACAAAGTGAGATTCAGACGAGCAATTGGACACTTTAAAGCCGTTTTAAAGGGCCGTTGAAGGCAAAATAGCTCGCTTAATCGATCAGCCGATCGAGTCCTAAAGATTCTCTGCTAGCTCTCCCAGACAAAATTTTCCTCAAAGAATCTCTGCCTGCTGGCTAGACAACCCATTGAAGAAAAAAATCCGTTTTAAAGGAAAATTGAAGGCAAGTGGTTTCCGAAACGACCTCTGCTAGCCTGTCCCAAAGAATCACTGCTAGCTTGATTAGCCCAAAATTTCCGCACAGAATCTCTGCCAGCAGCCTAACAAGCTATTGCCCGACTTTAGAACCATGTTAAAGGACCATTGAACTAAAAAAATAGGCCATTTCCACAAAGCGCTTCTGCTAGCCTGCCCTAAAAGACCGATGATCACGTGCTTGCAAGGTACATATCTTTTTGGGGCACACGTGATTGTTGCCGATCGGTCAAGGTTGTGAAAAGCGGAGGCGAGAGAGAGAGAGAGAGAGAGAGAGAGAGAGAGAGAGAGAGAGGCAGATCTGGATGATTAAAGGGAAGGGGTCAATAGGGCAGATTATATCGTATTCCGCCACAAACCTCACGACACCCCGACTAGCCCTAGGGCATAAATAGGATAAACAAGGGGGAGAAGGCGAGGGGTAGAAAATATGAACAAATGAATTCTGCTAGCCTGCCCTCAAAATTCTTCAAGAATATCTACTAGCGCCCCAAATTCCTCAAAGAATCCTTGCTAGCCTGCCCCTCCAATTCCCTCAAGAATCACTGCCAGCTCGCCACTCCTCTAAGAATCCCTGCTAGCCTGTCCCTCCAATTCCTCAAATCAATAAAAATCAATAAAATCCTCCAATTCTTTGCTAGCTTGCCCCAAAATTAGAATACAGGAATTTTACGAAAAATCTCCAAAAAACTATTCCACTCCCCTCCCCTCCTACAGTATGGTCCATTCGAAGAGCAACGAGTACAAGGTTTGCTCCCAGATATTACACGTCGTAATCGATTAGCCGGACTACAAAGTACACCACTTGACAGTTACTTAGCTGGCGGAATCGATTGACTAGTGTTTAGAAAAACCCCGTTTTCAGAAGGCCAGCCTTCACACGCGCACGCGGTCAGCGTATGGGGTAAGTTGGAGTTTGTAGCCATGGATTACATGTCGTAATTCACCTTTTTAGATGTCGTAACTGGTTGCGATCTAGCCATTTTCATGGCGCAATTGATTTTTTGTAGGAGGCGCAAACGCAGGAGGACAAAAAGAGCATTACGACGGGGAAGCCGCTGACGGCGCCGCATACACCGGTCAGCGGAAGGAGGGGAATATCCCCGGCACCCAAGGATATGAAGGAGCTGAAGGAGCAGAAGGAGCAGAAGGACACGAAGGAGGATGGGGCAAAGTCAAAGATCGAGGGTACGTAATCAGTTGGTTACTTATCAAAATTGTCTGCAGGAAAAAATCGGGAGCTTTAGCATTATCGGGGGGACCAACTTTTTTCTTCAGAGCTAATTTTTCAAATATAGATAGTGGAAGTGTTTTTAAATGGTTTTTTATTATCCCTAAACGCGAAAACTGGACACATTATGATTTTAAAAAAGGCACAAAGATATCGATTTTTCGATCAGAAATGGCAGATTTACGACCGAAATTTCGGATTTAAAAATCTCAATCCCTACAATTACGTCTAGATATTACTGGAGTTTAAAAAAATCCCTCACCCCCGGTAATGGAAAAACACCACGCAATCGCTTAAAATCCGAAAATCCCCGCAAAAATCAGTCAAAGCGATGGAAAATCGTCTAGAATGGAGTAAAACGTTGTGTAAAAACGAAATTTTGAGATGGAAGGTACGGCAGTGAGTTAGACCATGAAATTCAGCAAAATAGCTTGAGAAAATCGAGTAAAATATCTCCCCCAAAAATCAGTCCAGGCTATGGTAAAATGTCCAGATTGGCGCAAAGAGTGGATGAGTGGAATTTACGCTTCAGAATTGTCTAGACTGACGCCCTAGCTACAGTATGCTAAGCAAAAAAAGTAGATTTTAGAGCGTAGAACAAAAAAATGCCTATATTTTGGCGAGAAGAGAGTCGCAGCTGGGGGTATGGTAATGCGTTACGTCATTCAAAGTTGTCACTCGGAAGGTTGCGCCTCAGAATTGCCTAAATCTACCCCCGAGCTACAGCATGGCGCGCGCAAAACACAGATTTTTGCACCCCTAAACTCCGTAAAATTCCCTTAAACCTAGTTTTTTTTTTGGATGTTTTATAGCTTCAGTAAGAAGGTCAAAAGGTACCTCACTGCTTCGCTTCACCTCCCATCAATCCTCCCAAATATCGATTGATTCGTGCGGGGTAGGCTAGCAGAGTCCATTGGCGGAAGTTGACTCATCTGACGGTCTCTTCTTGAAAATCCACCAATTCCAATATTTTCGAGGCTGGGGCAGGCTAGCAGAGGCCATTTGGGGGCGGCTGGCTTGCAAGCTACCTAAAATCAAATAAATTAAGCTATGAAATTCAGAAATACCTCCTTAAAATTGGTCTTCTAGGGGCCTACAGGCTAGCAGAGATCCTTGAGAAACGAGGCAGGCTAGCAAAGACCATTGGGGAAGCCTAGATTATTTAATTACGCTATGAAACTGCAAAATACCTGCCGAATTTTTGCAGGAAAGCAGAAGCAGGGGCAGCAGAAGTTGGGCGTGATGAAGAGGGGCGTGCTGTTGATCGATCGATTCGACATCCGGGAGATGATCTCGTTCGGCGGGTCGGCCGAGGTCTACAAGTACGGCGGTTTAATCGATTACGAAATGCAACTTTTGACGCTACTAAAAAATGGTTTTCCCTAATCCAATACGTTTTAAAATTCCCTATCCGATTACGCAACCAAATTCCCCCCCTTTTAGGGCCTACGACCGGTCGACGAAAAAGGAGGTGTGCGTGAAGGTGGACATCAAGGACAAGGCGAGGCTGAAGCTCGAGATACAGGCACTCGCTGAGTTGAGGGGCACGGTAGGCAAGAGGGCAAGCTAGCAGAGACCATTTAGCCGTTCGTTCCCGAGATCCTGGCCTACGGTGAGCACACGGATCGTGGCTTCATCGTGATGCGGCTGACCGGGAAGAGCCTGATGGAGCTGAGGAACGCGCGGAAGTCGAGGCATTTCACCCAGGAAACCCTGTTTAGGGTCGGGAAGAAGGTGGGGTGAGAGGCTGGCAGAGATTCTTTAAGGAATTGGGTGGCGTAATTGGTCTAGAAAAAGTCGAAAATTCACTTTTTTTTCTTACTATCGCATTTTTACCTAACCTTTGGCAAGCTAGCAGAGACAATTTGCGGAATTTTCTTCTAGATCGTCTCGGCCCTAGAGGCAGTCCACCAGGCCGGCTGGGTGCACCGCGACGTCAAGCCGGCCAATTGCTGCATCGGGCGACTCGACTCGTCCCGCATCTACCTCCTTGATTTTGGTTCGTGGATTTTTGTCTTCAACGGCACTTTAAATCGATTTTTCGATTCTAAAGGGCCCCTAAAGGCATTTTTGCAGGCATTTCCCGGCAGTGCAAGACGACGCACGGCGAGATGAAGAAGCCCCGGAAAATGGCCCAATTCCGCGGCACGTTCAAGTAGGGCAGGAGGCAGGCTAGCAGAGATTATTGGGGGAGGAGAAAATTGGAAAATTGGGGGAAAATTGGGAAGCTAGCAGAAAACTTTGAGGAAGTCAGGGACCCAATTTTGAGAAGTTTAAAGGAATAGTGAAGCCGAGAATCCATAGCCAGTGAAGGGCAGGCTGGCAGTGATGTTTCGGAATTTAAACCTTGGGTAGGGCAAGCTAGCAGAAATCTTTGCCGAAATTAGATTTTAGGAATTTTTTAGTTTCATTTTGATCATTTAAAGGACCCTTGAAGTGAAAATTCAAAATGAGGGCGTGCCAACTAGCAAAGACCATTTGCGGAATTCCCCATTTTTTCCCAATTCAGATACGCCTCAATCGACGCGCATCTGAAGAAGGAGCAGGGCCCGTCGTCGGATCTGCAGTCCCTCATCTACTCTATGGTCAGCGAAAATTTGGGAAAAATCGTTAAAATTATTTTAAAGGGACAGTGACACCCAGTGAATCCCGATTTTCAGGTGGAAATGGGCACCGGAACGTTGCCGTGGACGGCCAAACTGCACGGGGATGAGGGCAGGGCGGCGAAGGCGCAGCAGGACATCGACATTCTCAAGATGAAGCGCGACCAGACGGCCCCCAAACTCTGCGCCTCGTTCCCGCAGCCATTCCAGGCGCTTGCCAAGGCATTTTTTTATGTCTACCGTAACCCGAAAATCGCATATTTTGCTAAAGAACGCTGTTTTTAGCTACCGTAAGCCAAAAAACCATTCTATATTTTTCTACAGTACATCCTCGGGCTCAACTACCACTCGGCGCCCGACTACAAGAAGATTCAGGTAAGAAGACCCGAAACTAAAGACATTTCCGCAAATAAGCCCTGCTAGCCTGCCTCGAATTCCCAAAAGATCTGCGCTAGCCTGCCCCAATTCCTCAAATTGTCTCTGCCAGCTCGCCCCGGATTCCCCAATTTACTCTGCTAACCTGGTTCGCACGAATTCCTCAAATTTTCTCTGCTAGCTTGCCCTCCGCAATTTCTCAACCAAAAACTGCTCTGCCTGACTCAATTTCTCAAAGAATCGCTGCAAGCTCGCTATGGATCCCACAAATTGTCTCTGCTAGCCCGCCCCAAATTCCTGAATTTCTCTGCTAGCTCGTCCCAAATTCATCCATTTTCCCTGCAATCTCGCCCCAGATTCCTAAAACTTCTCTGCTAGCCCGCCTAACCTAACCCACTTGCAGTCGCTGCTCGACGATTCGCTGCCCCCGGGCCTGACCCTCGATGATTGGTACGACTGGGAGCTGAGCGGCGAATAGACACTCACTTTCTACACTTGCTATCCCTTTAATGCTTTATCTTCTTACCCCTTAATTATACTTTAATGTACCCCTGTGTTGTTTTTTTTGCAATTAATCGAGCCATCCGATTTTTTGCGTGTCATTTCCGCCCCGAATAAAGTTATACGATTTTTCTACGATTTTTAAGTTTTAAAAGGGTAGAAACGGTTTTAGCGATTTTAAAACTGCATTTTGCTAATTTTTCTTTTTCGTTTCCATAATTTATTGAATCAATAAGTACTATAAATATTATTTTCCCAAAATTTTTAATTCTATCTAATGATGGATTTTAATGACAATTTTTTATACGGATTTTTTTTAAGTTTTAAAATAGCCAAAAAGTAGATTTACATGATTTCAAAATCGCGTTTTTACTATTATTTCATTTTTCCCATTTGAATTTTTATTTTAATTCGATCGAAAAGGCACATGCATAGAGAGAGTGAGCAAAAAAGCTAATTTACAAATATAAGTATCACAGATCGAGGGCGTGGAAAGGAATGGAACGGAATTTGGAGCGCAAAAATAGAGAAAAATTCCTTAAAAAGTAGTGTACTAATTCTAGAAAAATCGATAATACCATTTCATATCGGAAAATGAACTTTAAAAAGCTGGAATTATCGATTTTTCGAGACATTTCAATTTAATAAGTCTAGAATAATTTTTTCAAGCAAAAATTAGATTTTTTGAAGCTTTTCAAGCTCTAAGCAAAAAATAGGACTACGAAATGTACAAGCAACGGTCGTGGAAATCGAGCCGAAAAGTGGAATGGAACAGAATATTGGAGAGCACGAAGGAATACTCGAAAAGCGAGAACACGGAGAAGACGTACGGCTCGCAGTAGGCATTATGGCGGTAGAAGAGGTAGAAACAGGTGAGCAGACACGAGACCGAGAGGCAAAAGGCACGTTTCTTCAGCCTGGAAATGAGGGGGGAGGAGGATGCAGGAAGATTCCGCAAAGAGTTCTGCTAGATTGCCCTCAAAATTCTGGGCGGGATGCAGGAATTTTTAGAGTTTAATCGATTACAACATGCCATTTTCAAGCTTAGTTGCATAAAGAATTCCTAAAAATTAGTTTTTCCGCAAATTGTCTTTGTTAGCTTGCCCTGGATTTGGTGGTTCGATTAGGCATTTAATTTATCTAGTTTTTTAAAACCAAAAAATCACGTAATATTAATTTTTCCGCAAATTTCCTTTGCTACCCCTCCCCGATTGGATTTTTGAGAATCGGTTACGACGTGTAATACCCCAAAAATGCATTAAAAACCGATACCTCCACGCCTGCATTTGAAGCTTCGTCTGGACGTGCAGCTCCAGCCGCCGGCACAGCGTCAGGTGGACCAGGGCGTAGAGTAGGGAGGTCGACTGAAAAAACGGGATTTTTTAGGGCAAGCTAGCAGAGATTCTGCTGAATCGAGGGGAGAAGAGGGGCAAACAAGCAGAGATTCTTTGTGGAATCTATTCAAAAACCCACGCCAAAGATGGAAAACGAGACGACGTGGTAGAGGTGGTTGTAGTCCGAGTTGTAGTAGGTCAACGACAGCAGCGCGGACAGCTCGACGAGGCTCAGGGTGGCGTGAAGTCTGAAAATTGGGTTTAAAAAGTAAATTTAACAAGAAATCGAGACTATTTGAAGTGTTTATCTGAAAAGCGCAAAAAAGCCGATTAACTCAGCTCCGAAACTTATTACAACGCAATTTTTATCTACTATATATAAATTTTAATTTCCCGCCCCGGAATTCCAAATTTTTTAATTTAAAATTAAATTTCCGGGGGGGGAGGGGGGCCGGGGGTAACCTAAAAATCATTTTTCGAGAAGAATCAAGACAAAAATTTTTTTCGGTTTTTATGAGATAAAGCGCAAAAAACCACCTGTAAAAACAATTTTTGAGGTTTAAAAATTTGTAAAAAACCCCTACCTTATCAAAAACCACGTCAACCGGCCTCTCCGCGGGGCCCTCGGGATGAAAACGTTGTTGTAGGCGAACGCCGGGATTAACCTGAAAATCCAAATTCGCCTATAGACTACAAACTACAAAATCCCACCTGGGAAGGGCGTGCAGATAGATGGCCCAGCTCCAGATGAAGTTCGTCTCCCAGAAGCCGCCGATGACCGTCGAGATCGAGGGCAGAATGTTCGGGACGTGGCAGTGCGTGCTAAAAATGGAATTGGATGTTTTGGTACTTGTGCACTATCGGGGGGGGGTTAGAAGTCCAGAAACGCCTAGAAATGTGATATTCAGGATCTTGAATAGTTTTTTAGTCGAATTTAAGCATATTTTAAGTGACGCGCAAAAATAGTTTTTGTCGTAATTGTGGTCGAAAATCGAGTATTTTTACCCTAAAAAGCTACCATTTTTGTATTTTCTAATCAAAATTTCTAACGTTTTGACGGTTAGAATAGTAAAAACAGCTCACCCTATTTAAAAAACTTTTTCTCAACCTTTAAAAAGGAGATTTTTTTATAAAGGAAAAGAAAGTACCATTAAAAAAAGCGACGCACTCCAGCATAGATCATTTAGGAACACTTTCAAAATAAAAACCCACTTCGTGGCCTCGTCAAAGTGGAAGAACAACGCCAGGAAGATGCACGAGACGAGCGCGAAGGTGGGCAGGAAGCAGACGATCAGGGTTAGGGTCCGCGCCTCGATCCGGAGGTATCTCTAGAAATGTCAAAAGTTTCAAAAGTATAAAATTTTAGCCGACCTGCCCAATATAATACGAATACGCCTCGCGCTCGCTGCCGAAAAAGAGCGGCAAGCACGCGCCGCTGACGTATTCGGGGTGGGCGACCTGAACAAAAGATTATAACTTCTGTCTCTAAAGCTTTTGAACATCTACAGCAATTTTAAGCACTTAAAGGGCGTTTCTAAAACTATCTAATATTTTTTGAAGTTTTAAATTGAGTCCTGAAACTGTAAAACCATGGTTTTCTACACTTTTAAAAGCACGAAAAGCCTCAAAATTATCAGAATAACATCGTGCAAGCGTTTTCTATAGTTTTATTTGCGAAAAACAAGTATGAAACCGCTTTCCACTTCTAAAGAAACCTAAAATCCGGTTATAGCTGTTTAGAACGATGTTTTCGACACTTTCTAAAGGGTAACTCCTCCTAAAACTAATAGAATAATATTTTCGACAAATGAAAAGAATGACAAAAAAAACAAAACAACTGGAAAAAAACAGGGACAAAAATAGTACAAACTGACCCAAAATGGCCAAAACCTCCGAGTAGTATCCCAAAACAAAAAGAAATGAAAACTACCCAAGGCCACACCGGACCAAGCAAAGAGAGGAAACCACAAATTTCAAATCGAAAAAAGAGAACCAAGAACCAAAACCACCAGAAAAAAACACCAAAATAGGGAACCCCCATAACGACCACCGAACCTATCAACCCCCATACAAAAAACCCAGAAACCCAAAAGAACCAAGCCAAAAACATTACCCAGGGAGAAAAGAAAAAAGAAAAAGTAAAAAAACATTAAAAAAAGCGAAACAAAAATGAAGAAAATACGGAAAAAAAACCACAAATCGGATAAACGAAATTAACTCCACAAATATCAACCCCAAAAAGCCCAGAAATCCGAAAAAAATGTTAAAAAAACATCCCCTGAAAAACATTTTCCGAACAATTAGCCATAATCTGACCAATCCTCAGGAGTCCACGATTTACCCCAAACCCCAACCAAACATCCCCATTCCAAGGGTCCACTTACTACCTCCAATTTTTAAGTCCCGATTTTTTTAAAGTCCACATTTCGTTTGTCACTTTTTTTTTCCACGATTATGGTCCACTTATGTAAGCCTTTTTCTATCGTTTTCGATACGAAAAACTCTTTTCTAATAAGTTTTAAAGTTAATAAAACCTTTAAAAGCCAATTTTTGCTAGTTTTTAGCTTTTTTCTGAACCCAACCCCCCAGAATTCGATGGGGAACCCGAAAACGCACCTTTTTGCTCGTTGGCAACAGCGTGTCGACGCCATCATCCCATCCCATTCGTCTGTTTCCGGTTCAGGATCTTACTTTTGGTTGATTCACGCTTTCCCCGTCGTAAACGAAAGCCTACGCGCCAATACAAAACCACGTGGAGCCGGAGCGGCGCGTTCGAAATTTGCCTTTTCGCCGGTCATTCGCCATTTCCCGCAAAATTCCATTGTTCTTGCGCTCGTCTTACCTTCATTCATAACTTTTTCGCCGTTTTTAGAGTTAGATTGTGTAGATTTTTATTACGTGACTGTTGATCTTTTTCAGTAATTTCTACGCTTTCCTGAGCAAATTTGGCATGAGAAACTGGTTTTGCGTCTCTTGTTATTGTTATTTAGTATTATTTCGCGAGTTTTTAAGCCTGTATGAACCACTAGAACCGTTTAATGCTAAATCTGTCTTCATTTTCTTCACTTCCCGGTTTTCCTGAGCAAATTTCGCTTTAAGAGTGGTGATTTGGGTCATCTAAATTTCATCCATAACTTTTTATGCGGTTTTTATTTTTAGAATACTTCCTAGATTAGTTTTTGCTAAGTTTGGCTTCGTTTGGTTGATTTCCGCGTTTTCTTTACACAATTTGAGTTTGGAAAACGTTATTCCATTTTTTTTTCAGGTAAAATGACCTTCGGCCAGCTCGATGAAACGCGCCCGAATCGCAGCTTCTACGTGAAGAACATCCCCGAGGAGTGGAGCGATGTAAATTTGCCTTTCCTCAGATCAAGTTTTCATTTTAGTGGGACGTCTTCGAGGCGTTCACCCGCTTCGGCCTCGTCCACAACGTCCACTTTCGCAAGATGGCCGACCAGCCGAATGGGCAGCATGCGTAAGATTTTCTAGCCTAGAAAATTTATGTGTTTTTTAGGTTTCTCGACATGCTCACCGACGAGGCGGCCGCCAACCTCAACAAGTCGATCGCCGTCAGCCACAAGATGAAGCACAACGGCGCCACGCTTATTGTAAGCGCCTTAAATAGTTTATTTTACACTTTTTTAGATTGACCAAAAGAAGCAGCGCACCGAGCTGATCAAGCTGCGCGAGGCCCGGCTGCTCAACGCCGAGGACAACAAGGAGAACGAGGCACCGGGCGGGTCGGCAGAGAAGAAGAAGGCCAACCCGAATGGGTAAGGCAGTTGATGTTTATAGGTTTTTTGTTTGCACTTTTGATTCGTAAATGCAAAAATTTTTCGAGGAAAAAAGCTACTGTCACGAAATTTTAAACTTTTTACGCTCTATAAACTTTCTAATTTAGCTACTGGACGGTGCCCGAGGGATACAAGCCGCGCCTCTCCGACGACGGCCCGACCCCGCCCGCCCAGTCGACCAAGAAGAAGACCGAAGCCGCGCGAGCCGTCAAGACTCTACCCTTCCAAGACCTCAAGCTTCATCAAGAGACCGGCATCCTGCTCGCCGAGACGCCCCGCGACCACGTCGACGTCGGCGCCGAGCTGACCTTCTTCGTGAGGCTGCACCCGTCTGTTGCCATGCCGAGGTATCTTTGCGCAAAATTCTGAAAAAATCATTATATTACAAAGATTTTATCGAATAGTGGAGTGTTTGCGCTATATTTCCACGTAAAAACTTCAAATTTTTATGAGAGTGCAAATATCGATCTTTTCGAAAAGAATTTCAAATTTGCAAACATTTTTTAAAGTTTTTTTCAGAGTTTTTCGATTTGGAATGTGGCTAAATTTTATTAGAAAGATTATTAAGAGACTACTTGCAGTTATTTTCCGAAACCCCCAGTTTTTCTTTAGTTTTTAACTCTTCTTTTTTTCAGCTACGAGCACATGCAGCAACAGTTGAACACCTACGTGTCGATTAAACAGTCGGACGGGTTCAACGCGCAGGAGGGTGACTACGTCATCATCACGTCGAAGGACGTCGGCTACCGCGCACGCGTCGTCGCCCGCAAGCCCACCTCGCACGTCGTCTACCTGGTCGACTTCGGGAAGGAGGTCGAGGTGCAGCCCGACAACATTTGGCTGATCACCGACTGCCAAGCCCATCGTCAAAGCGACTTTTTCCTGCCCACCACGGTAATTTGACTTTGGTACAAGGATGGTTGGGGGGGGGGGCCCACTTTTTTTTGTCGGTTTCAGAGTAGTTTTTTGTGCTGGGTTCGAATTTCATAAAATCAGGTTCGAATAACGCCGTTTTCCACCGTAAAATGCCTTAACCTGTTTAACAAGGGTTTATCGCAACAACCAGGATATAACAAGATAATAGACTAGTAACAAGTGTGGTCGCGCTAGCTTATCATTCGCAAGGGTAGAGATCGTGGACTTGTTCCCAGAAATGGTAGAAAGGGTCGGTGGAAAGTTCCTGGCGCCATAGAAATAGTATAGTATAGGCTTAGTCTAGGCCTAGCTTAGGCTCAGGGTTGGTCTTTTTTGACCCGGACCCGGACCCGGTCCGGACCCGGGGGTCTGGTCCGGGTCCGGACCCGATCAAATTTGCATGGGTCCGGGTCCGGGTCCGGGTCCGGGTCCGGGTCCGGGTGGGTCCGGGTCATTTGCATGCCGATTTCTGGATAAATTCCACGATATTGCACGACATTTCTCACGTCTGCTAACTTCGGATGGGGGCTCCATCCGATGTGATTTGATGTTCTGGTCTCCACTCCTATATACCTGAATCATACCGGATAAACTATTATAATTAATGCCGTTGTCTTTTTCCGAGGAAAATTAGAATCCTAAATCTCTATCTCAAATAAATGCAAATACCAACTTCCGGACGGCCCGGACCTGGCCCGGCCGGTCAAAATGACCAACCCTGCTTAGGCTTGTTCTAGACTTAGCTTAGGATTGGGCTTAAGCCTAGGCTTGGCTTAGGTTATGCTTAGCCTGGGCTTGGCTTGGTTAGCTTAGACTTGGAGAAAAGCTTAGGTCGGAAAAACCCAAAAAAAAGATGCCCCCCCAACATCAATAGCTCCGGTTGTATTTTAGGAAAGTGGATATCGCGGCTGATACCGCCGTTTTACGGTGGAAAACGGCGTTATTCGAACCTGATTTTGTAAAATTCGAACCCAGCACAAAAAACTACTCTGAAACCGACAAAAAAAAGTGGCCCCCCCAACCATCCTAGTACCTTGACTTTTTTTATTTCGCTAATTCTTTGTTTTAGGTTTACAAATGCCAGCTGTACGGCGTCGACTACGGCTCGGCGGAGAACGTGGAGAAGACGCTGCGCGTTTTCGATGCGTTCCGGAAGAAGATCGGCGGCCAGAGCATGAAGATGACGGCCACGACAAGGGGCTACAAACGCGACTACAACCTCGTGCAGGTCATCGTCGAGAACCATCGGGATAAAGGTATTTTTTTGAGCGCGAAATTTTCGAAAGTTTGCTTAAAAAATTGGCCCTATTTTAGTCGAAAAATAGTTTTAAAACTTTGAAAAAGCTTTAGAATTTTGAAGTTTTGGTGAGGAAATCGGTCATTTTTGATGACAATTTTTTTTCTGATTATTTATTACCTATATTTGCCTAATTTTTTCTAGTGGACGAGCTGAAGGACCTGGCGCTGGCCCTGGAGGAGCGCGAGCTCTGCCGCTACGTGCAGCCCCAGGACGCGTTCATCTACACGAAAGAGGAGCTGCTCACCCTCAACGAACATGCCGATGTCGCCGGATTGGTCAGTTTTTCGTATTTCCTTTACAAATTTTATTTTAGGTGATGGATATCCCGGCCAAAATCAACCTCAACGCCCCCGCAGACGAGAAGCCGAGCAACACCAACCCGGCCGGCGGCCTGCTCAACACGGTCAAGCACTTCTTCTCCACCCCCAAGAAACAACAACAATAGATAAGCCAAATACTCCCGATTTCTCTCGTTTTGTTATAACAAATTGTGTCTCCTCTTTTCCCCCATTTTGCAAGTCATTTCCATGTCTTTTTATTTGCCACCAACCTTGCGTTGAAATTCCACAAATGATCTCTGCTCCGTCACCGAGTGTCCATTCCCCCAGTTGTCCCCTCTATACCTTCTCAATTACCAGCGCTCAATTCCCGATGTTTGTTTGTATACTTTTATCGTTTTTGTGTCACGCCGGTAACCGATTTTGGGTGGAAATAAATTTTTTGGCTAAAAAATGTTCAGTTTTCCAAGTTTTTGAATTAGCACAAAGAAGATTGCCGGTGTGGATGCGGATTTTCAAAGAAAGATGATCTTTTTTGTTTAGGTTTTGGATGAAGCTTTCCAAAAGCTGCGATGAGACTGCGCGACGTGGCAACTTCTTCGGGGGTGGTGAAGCTCGAGCCCGGCCGGAAGCGCGCTTTTCGAGGGATATGGCGATGGAGGAGCGAGAGCAGGTGCTTTTCGATTGTGCCTTTTAGTTTTAAAGTTTATTCTGTAGCCTAGGCGTAACTTTAATATCTCAATATCGTAAATTTGCTAGGGCGATGTCGAGTTCTGGAGGGCCTTGAGAGTTTAGGCTTCGAGGAGCTTGTGACTTACGCTTGCTCGTACGTATTGCAGCCCTCCCCTATTCTTCAAGGTTTTCGAGTTATCGACTGCTCGTAGTTTGTGGTTTAACGCCTGTAATTTCATAATTTGAAGCGCTGCCTTTATCCTCAAGTTTTTAACTTTTTCAAGCTCGGTTTTCATCGCCGGAGCTCGTAGTTTGTAAGTTCACTTTTGTAAAGCTAGGCTCACGATTTATTCCTTATTTTCTGCGTCTCGCAACTAGTTCTCTATGAGCTTGGTCTTGCTCGTACTTTTTAGCTAACTTCTGTCATTTTCTAACTTCGATGGAAAACGCTATTTTTGCCAGCCTTTTTAGGTCTTTTCACAACGCTTCTTTCGTCACTACTGTTCCTAGTTTGTGTTCAAAAGCCTGTAAAGTATTTAATATTCTAACTTAGAGGCAGAGCTGTATTTTTAGGCGTTTTTCGCGCTTTTCACTACGCCCTTTTGTCGCTAGATTCCTAAATGAATTTTCAAAGCTTCTCCTTGGCCTTTAGCGCCTTTAGAAACTCTCTGCTCGTACTCTGTAGTCTAACAATCCCGCCCGGTCATTAGGTCAGCGCCGAGTGCCCCGCGCGCAAGTGAAATTGTGGCACAAATTGCGCGCAACTTGAGCTTGGAGATTTCTGTTTAAACAGGTCACCCCCGGCTTCTCCACTAGCGGGGATGGGCCCCTTTTTGAGTTGCTAGAGAGAGGCGAGAGAGAGCGAGAGAGAGAGAGAGAGAGAGCGAGAAAACTCTGACTTTTGTCTTTATGAAAGCAGCCACCGTGGGGGTCTCATGCCTCCCCCCTCGTCAGAGTTTAAAGTCAAGAAGATCTGTGCGAACGAACCCGGGCCCCCTAACGCGCCTGTTTTCCAGACTTTTCCTTGGTTTCAGGCTCCTCTCGGCCTTGTTGAGCTTCAGCGATTTGTCATGTGTTTTGCAGGCGGAAGTGCTGAGGGAGACGCGATGAGATTTTTGAGGAATTTAGGGCTAGCTGAGAGAAATGAGGAATTTTTGGTGCTAAAAATACGCGAATCTGTCGCTAATTGTGGCTTTTTCACTCTGAGGATCGCATTTCTTCAGGGGAGGGCTGGCAGAGATTATTTTGGATTCTAAAAATTAACTCAGCGTCGGGTTGAAGCTGTCTAGCAGAGATTATTGAGGAATCTGGCGGCCTAACGAGGGTATTTTGAGAAAATCGAGAAAAACTATTGCTATAAAAACTAGCAGAGATTATTGGGGAATTGAGAGGCCAGGGGGGGTCAGGTTTAGGCAATCTGGCGGTGGTTCTTTGAGGAATTTGACGTCTTTAGCTGATTTTTTCGAGAAATCGAGCCATTCGAAAGCTAAAAACAACATCGTGGAATCGAAAAATCAATGTTTGGTCAATTTTGGGCATTCTAGCAAAGATTTTTGAGGAATTTTTGCGTTTCTGAGAAAATTTCCGCTCCCACACCTCCCAGTAGTGCTCCCCCAGCTGTTTAACAAACTTTTCGGGGCCTCCCCTCCATAACCCTCTGCCTGAATTTTTCGTCTCTAGTTTCTAGTTCCAGGGCGCTTTGCAGGACTTCTCTCTTTTCTTCCTTGCCTGCATCTCTCTCTCGCTCTCTCTCTCTCGCTCTCGCTCTCTCTCTCTCGCATTCTCTCTCCCTCCCGCTCTCTCTCTCTCTCTCTCTCTCTCTCTCTCTCTCTCTCTCGCTCTCTCTCTATCCCGCTTTTCAACTACCTACCTGGCTCAAATTTTGCATGTTTCGCTGGCGGCGGTAGATCGTCAAAGGGTCTCTGCTAGCATGCCTTGGGACTAGGATTTGGTTTTTAGTGGTTTTCAAACTTTCGAAGCATCCGAAAACGTCTCTGCTAGATGACCCCGATTTTAAACTCTGATTTTCGAGAACATACAGGAATTTTTAGATTTTTTGGGTTCGCAAATGGTCTCTGCTAGCTTGCCCTGCCGTGGACAGCCATTTTGAAGCTATTTTCTACCTGTCAGAGCCTCCCCAAATGGGCTCTGCTAGCTTGCCTTCGTCTAGAATTATTTTTTCGCAATTATTAGTCTTTAAAGTGTCGGATTTTGAAATTTTATAAGTCTTAAGTGTCCTTTAAGGCTTTAAAAGTGGTTTTAAACAATTTTGAGGTGATCTCTGATTTCCCTAAATGCACTCTGCTAGCTTGCCCGCAACTCTTTCACATTTTTCACACTTCCCAAGGCCACCCGCGGCGCTTCTTCCTGCTATATTAGGTTGTTCAAGGCTAGGAAGGGGGCCCAGGGCCCTCTTTGGCCCCAGAAAGGGCCCCACTTCCGAGTGGCTCCTCTAGCCACACACAGCAACTGAAAAGAAGAGGAACGAAAAAACGGCTGCCTCGCCTCCTTCTTGGCCCCCTCGGCGGGTCGGCCCCGCCGGGATGACGCACTTTTTAGACGGCGCTGCTTTAGCCGCTCTGCATATCTGCGTCTCTCTCTCTCTCCACTCTCTCGCCTCTGCCATCCCCTCCTCTTTTTTGCGAACTGCTCGGCCCTCCAGCCACCCCCCGGCCAGCCGGCCGGGGCCGTTTCCAAGAATCGGGACTGCCTCGGATTGTTCCGCCTGGGGTTGATTATGTTTTCTTGGCTTGAAGTGCTTAAATTGCTGATCTTGTATTTTATATTGTTTCCGCATGGGCCCGGAATTTCATCGGAAAATTGGATTTTTATGCTTTTTAGCCCTGGTTTTGCCTTGGAAATTTTGATTTTTCGCAAAAAAATTTGATGTATTTTTGCTTTCTATATTGGTTTAAAGTCTTTGTAATGAATTTTTGGCATTTTAAAGGCCCGGTGAAGTTAGTAATGCTCAGGAAAGCTCTAAATTTCGTTTTCTAATCGTAAAAATGTCGATTTTTAGATTTTTAAAAGAATTTTCATCTTAAAAAGTTTCTAAAAAATACTGGCGCAATTTCAGGCTTTTTTAAAGGTCCAGTGCAGTCAGAATTTCTTGGAGAAAATTTCTTGAATTTTAGGAACATTTGGCGCAATTTCTTCGGATCTTTCGGATCATCCCGCCTCTAATCGATAGGCGCTTTTATGTGGTTGATGTGTCTGTTTCTGTCTAATTGACTATCTGTCTATCTGTCTGCTTCAAGAAGAAGCCCCCCCATCATCGAAAAGCCCTTTCGAACCCCGGGCACTCGATCTGGTCTCTCACCTTCTGGACGACACTGAAGCTAGAGGGGGAAGATGGACTCCCATCAAACCATCTCTCTCTCTCTCTCTCTCTCTCTCTCTCTCTCGCTCTCTCTGCCTATATTTGTTCGTCTCTCTGTCTTCTGTCTGAAGATTGGCACAATGCAAGGGGGCGACTAGACTGGTCTAGCGGGGCTTAACGAGAGGGGGTAGCTAGCAGGGAGCATTTGCGGAAGCGGAAGGGCAAACTTGCGGAGAGTCTTTGAGGAAATTAAGGTTGGCCGTACTGGGCAAACTCGCGGAGATCCCTTAAGGGATTAAAAGGGCAAACTAGCAAAGACCATTTGTAGAAGAGGTGGCAACTTAGCAGAAACTTTTGAGGAGATCACTAGAAACTCGATACGATGGCAGGCTAGCAGCGACCCTTTGATCTCCAACTTCCGGACCCCTTTAATCCGCCCTCGGCCTCATTCCCCCACCCCTGAAATGCCACCCGATTTGACCTCTACCCCCTCCCCCGTCGGCCTTTCCTGCGAGCGGTCAGTCCGTCGATCGAATCCCCCGCCACCTCGTACAGCCAATACTGGCCTGGGAATGACGTCGGGTTTTGGGTTTTAAGGGGCTATTCTCTCTCTCTCTCTCCTCTTTCTCTCTCTCTCTATTTTACCAAGTGGTCTCTGTTAGCCTGCCTTACGCTTTCTGGCGTCCCAAAGAGTCTCTGCTAGCTTGCCTGATTTTTTTCCTAGCGTATCCTGAGTTTCCGAGAGGAACTTTTCCCAAACAACCTCTGCTAGCCTGCCCAGATGTTTTTACTGCTCAAATAATCTCTGCTAGCCTGCCCTAGTGTCTCTCCCTTCCCCCAATGATCTCTGCTAGCTTGCCCGATTTTTCCAGAACCTCCTGAGTTGGGGATAGGCGTTATAACGGTCCTAATGTTACTTGCTAGCTTGCCCTGGTGCCTAATTTCCTCAATAATCTCTGCTAGTCGGCCTCGACGTCACTATCACCCCTCCATTACCAACTCCCCACAAATCAAAGCCCGAAAATCGTAAAAAACCCGACACGACAAGCCCCAGGAAATCAAGGCCAAACCCGGCTGCCAAAAGCGTGAGAAACGGTCCCGGCCATCTGCAGCAGGAGACAGAGAGAGACAGAGAGAGAGTAAGAGATTGGCAGAAATTGAGAATGTCTCTCC